CGGTTCAAAGCCAGCCCAGGCAGGAAAGTCTGTGAGACTCTAATCTCCAATGAACCACCAGAAAACCAGAAGTGGCACTGTGGCTCAAGTGGTAGAGCGTTTGCTTTGAGCTGAAGAGCTGAGGGACAGCGCCCAGGCCCAGAGTTCAAGCCCCACAACCAACACAAAAAAAGTAGAGGCTGAGCCTCTCAGGCCTGCTGTCCACCCGGGTCTTGTCAGAAGACCCTTGCCCGGGGCCCATCCTGGTCCTCTGTGCTGTGGCCCTTGGGGCTGCCTGAGCAGAGAGCAGCCTGCAGGCCTTGTGAACGGATCCCCACAGCACTTAATTTTATTGATCCTGCAGATTCCTTAAGGCCGGCGGGCAGTGGGAGAGGGCGGCTGCAGCCCAGCCCCCTCCTCCGGCAGCACCCAGCGCCCAGTGGGCGCTCGGTCCCGACCTGTTTTGGCTGCCTATTCAATGGCAGAGGAAACCACAGGAGACCAAGGCAGACAGTCCCTCTGCAACCTGAGCCAAGGAAGCAGCAGCCCCAGCTATATATATAGAGAGAGAGGGAAAAACAGCGTGCACCAGTAAACAGCACCCCAACCCCGCCAGCCCGTTAGAGGGAACCAAAAATACTCCCTGTAATTATGCTATTAAAACACACCAGAAAAATGGATCCGCCCCATTCAGCTGAGGCCCCAAGACACTGCAGGTCAGGTGCCCGTGGTGGAGGGGCCGTGGTGGAGGGCCTGTGTCACGGAGCCGGGAGGCTGCTGGACAGCTGAGCCTCTGCAGCCCAGCCCGGAGCTGCACTGCCTCCCCACGGGCCGGCCAGTGGCCCCCAGGGCACATGTAGGAATCCACTGTCCCCCAGAGAAATGGGGGCCCTCCCCAGCTTCACACAGCCCTCAAGGTCTCCCCAGCCCAGTCATGCCCTCCTGGACACCGGCCCTGCTCCGAAGGCCCAGCACTTACTTTAGGGAACCTCATTTGAGGGTGTGACTGGGGTCCCCCAGGAAGCGTTATTGGGAGGCCCTGCTTTGCTGGTACGTTTCGCTCTTCCCACCTGTGGGCGGCAGCAAGCACGCAGAGCCCCCAGGCCCCCAGGCTCCACACCCGGCACTCCAGGCCTCAAATCCTAACTTAGCCCCTGGCTCCCACCCAAGGCTGCAGTCCACAAGACCTAGATGAGAGCCGCATGAATGCACTTGGAGCCAGGGAAGGGGCCGCGGGACTCCACCGGCTGTGTGGACCTGGCTCCAGGGACTGGGCTGGAGACACCCCGGGGGGATTCATTCTGCACACGGAGGGTGGCAGACGCCTGGCTGGGTCCCCGCGGAGCCTCCCCTTCTAGAGAGCATCAGGGGGAGGCGGCCCCCCTTCACAGAGCTCCCTCGAGGTCTGGCCTGGCCGCTGACCACCAACGCCTCAGCGCTCGGCACCGCACATCTGGGAAAGCACTCGGGACTCCCAGGCCTGCGAGGGCTGGACTCAGGGCTGGCCTTCCCGAGGGCGGGCTGCCCACTCCGCCCAGCAGGCCCCAGGTGAGAGATCTGGGAGCCCCGTGAAACTTGCATTGTCCCGTCTACAGAGGAGGTAACAGGGCAGAGGGGAGATGAGGCTGCCATGCCCAGGGCAAGCAGAGCCTCTGCGGGTCGCCCACAAACCCCTCCAGCAAGCTGGCCGGGCCTCCGCCCAGCACTGCCTCCAGCCACCTCGGCCTCCTCTCAGCGACCTCCCAGCCCAGGTCCTTCACAGGTCCAGCTGCCAGCAGGAGAGAAGGACTCACTTGCCCAGAGGAAAGCAAGACTTCTCCCCCAGTGGTTCCCCCTCCAGAGGGCAAATGAACTCCCCATACTCCAGAGCTGGGGTCAAAGGTCAAGGGAGGGACAGAAGACAGGGCTAGGGGTGAGAGGTCCTCCTCCAGGCCACCCCATTCCTCCAGGCGCAGGCTGCGGGCAGGCCGGGGGGCGGGGCGGGGCGGGGCGGGGCTGGGCAGGGCCAGGAGGCCTCTGCTCTGCAGGGACCCTCACCAGGCCAGGCTGCCCGCAACACTGCTCACCTTAAGTAGAACAAAAAAAAAGGGCCACATGGGTGCTTGTGCTGCCATAATCACTGCTCAGATTAACACTTAAACGTCTCACAATGACAAAACACAAAACTACTGCAGTAACAAGAACAAAACATGGATGAGGGCTGGGAAGGCGGCTCAGTGGTAGAGCGCTCGCCTTGAGCTGAAGAGCTGAGGGACAGCGCCCAGGCTGAGTTCAGTCCCCAGAACCGACAAAAAAAAAATAAACAAACAAAAAACATGGACGAAAATGTAAATGGGTAATTGCATATGTCTAAACTAGATAGCAAAGACCAACGTTGCTGGGTTTAGGATGTGTGGGGTCAGGGCATGGTGTCCCTGGACACCCGTGCCTACAAGGCTCACCATCCCGATCTCTGATCACAGAGATGTGATCTCTGATCACAGTGCTGTGCCAGTACAGGAGACACGGCCCAGCAAACAGCCTGGGGCCAGGATCGAGGAGCAGCTCCCTGCCCACCCTTTGGGCCGGAAGACCACTTCTGCAGGAAGACCCTCAGCCCAGTGGCTGGCCAGAGTATGGAGGTGCATCCTCAGCTCCTGGGTGGGTCCCTGGCACCCCACCTTAGGCTCACCCTTGAATACACACCCAAGTGCACTGTAGCCCTCAGTTCCCCACCCACCACAGAGGCTGTGGCCTTTACCAGTGCCAGGCCCACCTGGGGTCCCTGCCAGGGAAGCGGGACCACCCAGACCCCAGTGGGTGGCTGCCAAGCCTGGAGCTATGAGATGTAGCACAAGCACCCGCCAATACTGAGTTCCCTGGGATCCTCATTACTCGCTGGCCAGCCACTGGGCTGAGGGGCAGATCTGAGGCTGAGTGACTGCTAACAAGTCCCGGCTGTTCTCAAAGCCGAGCCAGAGCCGCCTCCTCCTCCCCTCCTGTCTGCCCGCCTCACCCTGTGGAGAACAGTGAGAAAGCCCAGATCAGCACGACCTGAGGTAACACGCTGGGGGAGACCTGCGAGCCCCAGGCCAGGCTGAGGGCAGAGGCTGCAGTCTCTCACCACCGGGTGTTCCGTTCTGATGTCCATGCTGCTGCTGGGTGGCCCCAGCAAGCCAAGAGCCAAAGAGGTAGCTGCGGTCCTTTCTATCCAAGTACAGAGTGTTCTGCCCGGACAACCCCAGGAGCTCATCCCCGAGGGCTCCCGCCACAGGAGACACCGGGACACGATCACTGTGCCACGCGGGGTGCGGGCCTGGGGCCAGCGCTGCCGGGCTTTCCAGGTGGTGATGCTAGATGGGGCGTGGTGAGGGGGCCAGCACTGGGTGACTCAGGCTCTCCCTCCACACAAGGTGACTAACCCTCCAAAGGTGTCACTTCCAAAATACCAGAGCACCAAAGCTCCATGAACAGGGGCACTCTGGAGGCAGCACATGCGAGGCTCAGGTGTCACGAGACAGGGCTCGGGCCAGCCCTGCACCCCTCCCCCAGGGTGGAAGGCCCACACTCGGCACACAGCCAGTGGGTGTGTCCTGGGCATCGGCATTTTCTTCATGAACAGATGTTATTCAGGGCAGTTCGGGCTTAGGGAAAGCACAGAGTTAGTCACTCCCCAGGTGACTAACTCGGCCTGGGTGGAACCCTCAACTAGTGAAACCCCACATCCTACCCCAGGAGCTCGGGTTTCCCCTCACCACCCACTGCCCTCCCGATGGGCAGGGGAGGGGGTCACAGCCCAGCTGCCCACTGGATCTGGCCGCTCTGCCTGTTTTGGTACTGCCCACAGCCAAGAATGTTTTTTACGTGTTTAATGGCTGGAAAAAATATCAAAGGAGCATTTCATTTTGTGAAAGTGTTTACCATCTGGCAGGGCAGAGACAACTCTGCCGACTTTGTTCAAGGGCTGTTACCATCTAGGAAGAAATCCTCCTGCTAAAGGAACACAGATAACCTGTCTGTCCCTCCCTGGAATGCCCCCAGGGGGTCCCAGGTGAGCTCATTTATCTCCTGGCTCCGGGGCCTACGACTGGCCCAGTACCTTTGTTTTTACCATCTGGCTTTCTACAGGCCAGGGAGGAAGGCAGGCCGGCTGTGTGGAGCTTGGACCCAGCTCTCCTGCGCAGAGTCCACACGGGCCGGGGTGTCCCAAGGCCCCTCCTTTCTCAGCTCAACGGTTCTCCTCGATTCCTGCCTTGAAGTCCCCCGTCTGGCCCCCCTTGGGTTCGTCGGGGGCCGCAGTGGGGGCAGCCGCAAAGCTCTGGAAGCCCCGCCGACAGACCTGGCTCGGCGTCGGGATCCCTCCCCGCGGACGCTCACAGAGCAGCGCCCCCGGGCTGCGGGCAGGGACTCCGGGCGGGGCGCGGTGGGGGCAGAGGGCCCGGCGCCCGGGGAGGACGCTTTCCCGCGGACAAGGGGTACAGATTTTGGGGACCCCGGGACCCTCCTCCCGCCACGCCCGCGCACCCCAGGCCTCGTGCGGCGCCCTCCACGTCCGCCAAGCAGGGCACAGGGGAGAGGGCGCCCAGGGAGCCAGGGGGCGCGGGGCGGCGCGGGCCGGGGCTCGACGGCTCCTGGGCGCGGGGAAGCCGGGCAGGAAGCCGCCGTTCCCCGGTCAGGAAGTCCCGGTGCGCGGCCGCGCTTTCTTCCTTCCTTTCTCTTTTTTTAAGCAAGAAGGAGAGCCGGGGATTCGCGCTCCGACCCGCGGGCGCAGCCGCCCGCCCCGCGCTGGGCCCCGGCCCCGGCCCCGGCCCCGGCCCCGGGCGGCCGAGACGGGCGCGCTGCGCTGGGCGCCGCGGGACCCGCGCGGGGAGGCGAGGGGGCGCCCGGCCCGGACCACCGCGCCCGCGCCCGGCCGCCCCCCGCACCTCCGCCGCCCCGCGCCCGGCCGCCCCCCGCACCTCCGCCGCCCCGCGCCCGGCCGCCCCCCGCCCATGCTTCTGGAATGCGGGCGCCCGGGGCCGCGCGTCCCCCGCCCCACTCACCCGCCAGCAGCGCCGAGGGCAGCAGCAGCCAGTAGAGCCCCGCGCCGAGCACGTGCGGCTCCATCGCCGCGGCCCGCCCGGCTCCCGCGCTAGGGGGCGGCGCAGGGGCCGCGGGGCCGGCGCGCCATGGCGCTCAGGGCGAGTCTCGGCGCGGCCGGGAGCCCGAGGGCCCGCGGGGGCCCAGCGCGCGCCGCCGCCTCTCCGGGCCGGGGCCCGCGGCGTCCGCCCTCCGGTGCCGACCCCTGGAGCCCGCGCGCCGGGCGTCAGCGTCGCGGCTGGCGGAGACCGAGCTGGGCCGGACGGCGCCTCCGCGGCTCCCTCCGCCCTGCCCGCCCGCGGGCCTTTATAAGCTCGGCCCCCGCCCTCCCGGCGTGCCCGCCTCCGCGCTGCCCCGACGGCCGGCGGCCGCGCCCTGGCGCCCTCCGCCGCCCCGCGGCCGCGCCCCGCGTCCCCCCTCTGGGCGGCCCGCACCGCCACTCCGCGAGCGCCCGCAGGCCCCCGGGGCCCGGCCGACCCACGCGCGAAGCTGCCCCGCGTGGCCCGAGCGACTTCCGCTTTGCTCCGGAGCCGCGAGGGCGCGGCGCCCCCTGGGGCCGGCGGCGGCCACGCTGGCGCGGCCTGACCCGCGGGGACCGGCTGCGCCCCCGCCTCGCCGCCCCAGCACCCGCCGTCCCGGGGAGGCCGGGCCGCGTTCCGGGCGCCTCCTCCAGACCCGCGGCCGCCTCCGCCTGCCCGGGGCGGGGGGCCAGGGAGAGCCCCGGACCGAGGCCGGGCCCAGGTCCCTCCAAGACCCACCCCCGCCGCCGGCCTCCCAAACGGCGGCTGGGAAGAGGCCGAGACGGGAAGTAGCAGAAGCTGCACTGTGCACTGTGCACTGTGCGTGCCCAAGGACTCTTCAAAGCGGCAACCCTTGAACCGGAGTTCTGCGCGGGGGCGCGGGTCAACGCTTACAATGTATCCCGCAGGTGACCTGCCGCCCTCCGGCTGTCACCGTCACCCGAGCGGGGACCACGGGGTCAGCGGCCGCCCCTGCCGCGACATCACCCGACGGGGGCCACGGGGTCAGTGAGGGGCCGCTCCTGGGGTCAGGGGCCCCAGCAGAGAGACTTTCCTGGATGTCCTTTGGTGCTGTGTCATGCACCGTCTACCCACAGAAGTACCACAGTGGGACAGAACTCATGCACTTGCGTGCTCAGTAGGCTCAGTTGAGGCAGACAGCGCAGGGGCTCCGCCTGGCCCACAGCTCTGACATTTCCGGGACACCTCCCTGGTGGTACATGTGCCTGGCACAGGTGTGTGTGTGTGTGTGTGTGTGTGTGTGTGAATACTGCACCCAGGATAGTGTACATCCAGGCACATTCTTTGTTGTTGTTGTTTTGCCAGTCCTGGGCTTGAACTCAGGGCCTGGACACTGTCCCTGAGCTTCTCTGTGCTCAAGGCTAGCACTCTACCACTTGAACCACAGCACCATTTCCAGCTTTTTCTGTGCATGTGGTACTGAGGAATCAAACACAGGGCTTCATGCATGTAGGCAAGTACTCTACCACTAGGCCACCTTCCCAGCCCTGTCCAGGCACATTCTAAGCTAAGTTACAGTCCAGTCCTTGGGTTGTTTTTCTAATCTAACTCCCTTTGCAGAAGAGAATACTGAAGGCTAAGTGGGAAAGCCTCTGCTAGAGGGGAGGCCAGGCTTGGAGCCTGACCTGGATCCCATCTAAGGCCACTTTTGGCTACTGCCCGCGGTGTGGGGCCTTCCTGAACTTGTTTAGAATAGTGGGAAGGACCAAGACCACAATGACCAGAGGGGCGTGGGCACCACCCCTCAGGTTGTCACCAGCGTCCCAAGGATAATCCAGCCATCACTACTTGTCTGCCCTTCACTTCAGCTGGGCATGGTGGTACACACCTGTGATCCCAGGACTCAGGAGGTATTGGTGGGCGGATGGCAAGTTCAAAGCTAGCCTGAGCTACACATTATTCCTTGTGTCAAATATCAAGGACTAGGACAGGGTGTTGCTCAGTGGTAGAGCACCTTCCCAGCATGTACAAGGCCTTGGATTCAAACCCTGGCTCCACACACACAAAAATTCAATCTTGAGTTAAAAACAACCCAAGTGTCCTTTAGAGGATTAAAAGTTAAAATCCTAGGAATGTGGCTTAGTGGCTGATGGCTTGCCTAGCATGCACGAAGCCCCAGGTACTCCTCAGTACCACTTACACAAAAAAAGCCAGAAATGGGGCTGGGAAGGTGGCTCAGTGGTAGAGCACTTGCCTTGCATGCATGAGGCCCTGGGTTCGATTCCTCAGCAACACATAAGTAAAAAGAAAAAAGCCAGAAGTGGCGCTATGGCTCAAGTGGTAGAACGCTAGTCTTGAGCTGAAGAGCTGAGGGACAGCACCCAGGCCCAGAGTTCAGGCCCCACGATCAGACCAAAAAAAAGCCAGAAGTGGCACTATGGGTCAAGTGGCAGAGTGCTAGCCTTGAGCAAAAGAAGCTCAGGGACAGATCCCAGGCTCTGAGTTCAAGCCCTAGGACTGGCAAAACAACAATACAAAAGACAAAACATCATCCATACATATAACAGAGCATTACTTGGTCATAAAATGATATAGCCAAGCCTAGAGCCGGCGGCTCACGCCTGTGATCCTAGCTACTCAGGAGGCTGAGATCTGAGGATCTCGGTTCAAAGCCAGCCAGGGCAGGAAAGTCTGTGAGACTCTTATCTCCAATAAACCACTAGAAAACTGGAAGTGGTGCTGTGGCTCAAGCGGTAGAGTGCTTGCCTTGAGCTGAAGAGTGCAGGGACAGTGCTCAAGCCCAGAGTTCAAGCCCCACAACTGACAAAAAAAAAAAAAAAGTGATATAGCCTATGAACTGGATAAACCTTTAAAACAGTACACCTAGAGAGAACAACTACTGTACCACCCCATTGTGCTCAAAGAATAAAAAAGAAAACCGGCACTTCAGCAAGAACAGGAGCAACAGCATTATCCACACAGCCAAAGGTGGAAACAGCCCATTGCTGATTTTTGGCCTTTGCTTGCTTATTGGTAAGGACCTTGTACCAGATGCTCTTCCACTTGAACCCTACCCCCAAATAGCAGCCTGCCATGTGGCCATGTAGAATTCATACTGATATGTGCTACACAGTGGATGAAGCTGGACACGTACGTGCTCAGGACTGGCAGATGGAAACGAGGGGTGGAGACCTCACAATTCCACTCGTATAAACTGTCCACAGGAGGCAAGTCTGAGCCAGGAAGCATGATGACTGGCAGGAGCCGGGAAGGGGGAGATACCCAAGTGTCACTTCTGATGAGGAAAAGGTTCTGGAGCTCATAGTCACACCTTTTGGAGGCTGACGCAGGCTCAAGCCCACAGCCTGTGTGGAGAAGAGGGGTGACACAGCTCAGCCCCAGTGAGCCCAGTGTTAGAAGGTTGTCAGAGGCGTCACCCCCGTCAGTGCCACCAGCCCAGAGCTCAAGTAGATGCCATGACCAAGAGACAGGACAGGCCGCAAACTGAGCAGAGGTGACACCACGCTTGAGTGGCCGGTGCTGTCCTGAGCTGCAGCTGACAGCGGTCGGGTTGGTGCAGCGCAAGGGGCCTGGAGCTGGCCACGAGGGCAGGACTGGATGGTCTCTGCTGACCCCTCCCAGCCTCTGGATGGTCTCTGCTGAGCCCCAGCCCCTGGATGGTCTCTGCTGAGCCCTCCCAGCCTCTGGATGGTCTCTGCTGACCCCTCCCAGCCTCTGGATGGTCTCTGCTGAGCCCTCCCAGCCTCTGGATGGTCTCTGCGGAGCCCTCCCAGCCTCTGGATGGTCTCTGCTGAGCCCCAGCCCCTGGATGGTCTCTGCTGACCCCTCCCAGCCCCTGGATGGTCTCTGCTGAGCCCCAGCCCCTGGATGGTCTCTGCTGACCCCTCCCAGCCCCTGGATGGTCTCTGCTGACCCCTCCCAGCCCCTGGATGGTCTCTGCTGACCCCCAGCCCCTGGATGGTCTCTGCTGACCCCTCCCAGCCTCTGGATGGTCTCTGCTGACCCCTCCCAGCCTCTGGATGGTCTCTGCTGACCCCTCCCAGCCTCTGGATGGTCTCTGCTGAGCCCTCCCAGCCTCTGGATGGTCTCTGCTGAGCCCTCCCAGCCTCTGGATGGTCTCTGCTGAGCCCCAGCCTCTGGATGGTCTCTGCTGACCCCTCCCAGCCCCTGGATGGTCTCTGCGGAGCCCCAGCCTCTGGATGGTCTCTGCTGACCCCTCCCAGCCCCTGGATGGTCTCTGCTGACCCCCAGCCCCTGGATGGTCTCTGCTGAGCCCCCCAGCCTCTGGATGGTCTCTGCTGACCCCTCCCAGCCTCTGGATGGTCTCTGCTGAGCCCCAGCCTCTGGATGGTCTCTGCTGAGCCCCAGCCTCTGGATGGTCTCTGCTGACCCCCCCAGCCCCTGGATGGTCTCTGCTGACCCCCCAGCCCCTGGATGGTCTCTGCTGACCCCTCCCAGCCTCTGGATGGTCTCTGCTGACCCCCAGCCCCTGGATGGTCTCTGCTGACCCCTCCCAGCCTCTGGATGGTCTCTGCTGACCCCTCCCAGCCTCTGGATGGTCTCTGCTGACCCCTCCCAGCCCCTGGATGGTCTCTGCTGACCCCCCAGCCTCTGGATGGTCTCTGCTGACCCCCAGCCCCTGGATGGCCTCTGCTGACCCCTCCCAGCCCCTGGATGGTCTGTGCTGACCCCCCAGCCCCTGGATGGTCTCTGCTGAGCCCTCCCAGCCCCTGGATGGTCTCTGCTGAGCCCCAGCCCCTGGATGGTCTCTGCTGACCCCCAGCCCCTGGATGGTCTCTGCTGAGCCCCCCAGCCTCTGGATGGTCTCTGCTGACCCCTCCCAGCCTCTGGATGGTCTCTGCTGAGCCCCAGCCTCTGGATGGTCTCTGCTGAGCCCCAGCCTCTGGATGGTCTCTGCTGACCCCCCCAGCCCCTGGATGGTCTCTGCTGACCCCCCAGCCCCTGGATGGTCTCTGCTGACCCCTCCCAGCCTCTGGATGGTCTCTGCTGACCCCCAGCCCCTGGATGGTCTCTGCTGACCCCTCCCAGCCTCTGGATGGTCTCTGCTGACCCCTCCCAGCCTCTGGATGGTCTCTGCTGACCCCTCCCAGCCCCTGGATGGTCTCTGCTGACCCCCCAGCCTCTGGATGGTCTCTGCTGACCCCCAGCCCCTGGATGGCCTCTGCTGACCCCTCCCAGCCCCTGGATGGTCTGTGCTGACCCCCCAGCCCCTGGATGGTCTCTGCTGAGCCCTCCCAGCCCCTGGATGGTCTCTGCTGAGCCCCAGCCCCTGGATGGTCTCTGCTGACCCCCAGCCCCTGGATGGTCTCTGCTGACCCCCAGCCCCTGGATGGTCTCTGCTGAGCCCTCCCAGCCCCTGGATGGTCTGTGCTGACCCCCCAGCCCCTGGATGGTCTCTGCTGAGCCCTCCCAGCCCCTGGATGGTCTCTGCTGACCCCCCCAGCCTCTGGATGGTCTCTGCTGACCCCCAGCCCCTGGATGGTCTCTGCTGACCCCTCCCAGCCCCTGGATGGTCTCTGCTGACCCCTCCCAGCCCCTGGATGGTCTCTGCTGACCCCTCCCAGCCCCTGGATGGTCTCTGCTGACCCCTCCCAGCCCCTGGATGGTCTCTGCTGACCCCTCCCAGCCCCTGGATGGTCTCTGCTGACCCCTCCCAGCCCCTGGATGGTCTCTGCTGACCCCTCCCAGCCTCTGGATGGTCTCTGCTGACCCCTCCCAGCCCCTGGATGGTCTCTGCTGACCCCCCAGCCCCTGGATGGTCTCTGCTGAGCCCTCCCAGCCCCTGGATGGTCTCTGCTGACCCCCAGCCCCTGGATGGTCTCTGCTGACCCCCAGCCCCTGGATGGTCTCTGCTGAGCCCTCCCAGCCCCTGGATGGTCTCTGCTGAGCCCTCCCAGCCTCTGGATGGTCTCTGCTGAGCCCCAGCCTCTGGATGGTCTCTGCTGACCCCTCCCAGCCTCTGGATGGTCTCTGCTGAGCCCCAGCCCCTGGATGGTCTCTGCTGAGCCCTCCCAGCCTCTGGATGGTCTCTGCTGACCCCTCCCAGCCTCTGGATGGTCTCTGCTGAGCCCTCCCAGCCCCTGGATGGTCTCTGCTGAGCCCCAGCCCCTGGATGGTCTCTGCTGACCTCTCCCAGCCTCTGGATGGTCTCTGCTGACCCCTCCCAGCCTCTGGATGGTCTCTGCTGACCCCTCCCAGCCCCTGGATGGCCTCTGCTGACCCCTCCCAGCCCCTGGATGGTCTCTGCTGAGCCCCAGCCCCTGGATGGTCTCTGCTGACCCCCCAGCCCCTGGATGGTCTCTGCTGACCCCTCCCAGCCTCTGGATGGTCTCTGCTGACCCCTCCCAGCCTCTGGATGGTCTCTGCTGACCCCTCCCAGCCCCTGGATGGTCTCTGCTGAGCCCCAGCCCCTGGATGGTCTGTGCTGACCCCCCAGTCCCTGGATGGTCTCTGCTGAGCCCTCCCAGCCTCTGGATGGTCTCTGCTGAGCCCCAGCCTCTGGATGGTCTCTGCTGACCTCTCCCAGCCTCTGGATGGTCTCTGCTGACCCCTCCCAGCCTCTGGATGGTCTCTGCTGAGCCCCCAGCCCCTGGATGGTCTCTGGTGACCCCTCCCAGCCTCTGGATGGTCTGTGCTGACCCCTCCCAGCCCCTGGATGGTCTCTGCTGAGCCCCCAGCCCCTGGATGGTCTCTGCTGACCCCTCCCAGCCTCTGGATGGTCTCTGCTGACCCCTCCCAGCCTCTGGATGGTCTGTGCTGACCCCCCAGCCCCTGGATGGTCTCTGCTGAGCCCCAGCCCCTGGATGGTCTGTGCTGACCCCTCCCAGCCCCTGGATGGTCTCTGCTGAGCCCCAGCCCCTGGATGGTCTCTGCTGAGCCCCAGCCCCTGGATGGTCTCTGCTGAGCCCCAGCCCCAGGATCCCTCGCGATTAGCCCCGGCTGGTCCATCCCCCTCAGTGGGGGTGATGGGTGAGAGGAGGAAGCCATGCTGCCAGCCCCCTGTGCCCTGCTGTCCACCCCCCCCCCCCACATGTGCCCTCCCCTTCTCTCCTGGGCTGCACTCAGTCAGCCAGAACTTCCTAGGGCAGGGCCGAGGGTTCTGACTGGGGCTGCCGCCCAGCAGAGCACCCTTTCCAGCAGCTCTGGGTGTGGGCGGGGCCAGCGCTGACCCTGCCTCTTTCCTCTTGTTCAGGAAGCCCCAGGAGGCTCTGCTGGGTGGGTAGGTTCCAGGCCTGGCCGAGGTGTCCCATCCACACTGCTCATACACCCTGAGTCCCCAGCTTTCATCGTGCAGAGGGCTCCCCTGTCTCCCAGCCGTGACCCCAGGAAGGCCGTGCTGCCCAGCAGAGGAGGGACCAAGAGGCCTCCCGGGAGCTGCAGTCTGGACGAGGAAGCTCCGGAGTGTTCGGGGATCACAGTCAGTGAGTCTGACTATGTCCCGCTGCCCTCACAGTGGTAATGACCACCACATGGTCCTCAGCCTCCAGCTCGGGGTACCTCACTCAGCACCCCTCCTCTGAGCTTGTTACCCATGGGCCTTTACTCTGGTGGGATCCGTCTTTAATTATGGTGGGCAGGTGCTATCAGGGAGAACGGCCGGCAGTAAAGCAACACCCACCTGACCTGGCCGAATGCCTCTTGCCAGCCTCACCTCTGTGGCTGCAGGACTAACCACATGTGGGTGTAGCTCTCACCTGGAGAGTTTCCAGGTAACTTGCAGCACACGGGCCAACCACTGCCCGAGTCACCCTTTCCAAGGTGCACCTTGGGGTCAGGGCTGCCCCCAGCGACCCAGGAGAGGAGGGGGAGGAGGCCTCCCTCGGCCGGCCGCTCTGAGCGTCAGACTGGAGTCCTGCCAACACCACGTCAGCCAGGAACGCCAAGCAGCCTCTCCGAGGCTCTGGGCTGAGGATGTGCTGGGAAGAAAGTTGGAAATGTTGTTCTTGTCGGACTACAGAGGCATGGCCAGCTGCCCTCAGGCCTGGCTGGGTTCCACTCGGGCAGGAAGCCCCGGGGCCTGGGCCTTCCTCCTTCCTCCTGTGTGCCACTTCCTCACCGCGGGCAGGGCTGTTCCACGACGGCCTGGCCCCTGGCTGCTCACTGTGCAGCCCTGTGCAGCCCTGGGCGCCGGGAGGCTGGTGCAGCCTTCCCTGGGCCTCCAGCTGCCTGGCCTGTTCTCCAAACCAGAGGGACCTGATGCCACGGGCAGTTCCCTCCCCAGCAACCTCAGGAGGAAGTTCAAAGTCGTTCCTGGTTTGGTGGCCACGCCACCCCGGCCTCTCAGTCATGAGAGCCATGGGGGCCACCCCGGGATGCTGCCTCCGCCGCATCACCTAGGACTCGGCTCTGACCACACTTGGCTTCAAAACGCGATCGCCTCTGGGCGGCCTCTTGTCTGGCGGCTGCTGGTCCTTCTGGCTGAACACCCCGGGTCCACACTGTCCCCACCTGTGGCTGAGGAGCGTTGCAGCTGGCCCCCCTCCCAACCACGGCCAGCTCCTGCTTCTCCAGCACTTCCCGCAGTCCTGCACTGCAGCCTCACAAAGCGGGGTGGGAAATGCTGAGGCCAGGCCACACATCCAGGGCCCTACACAACTGGGCCTTTCACCACACCGCTCTGTGTACTACAGGCTGGCCTAGAACGTGAGAGCCTCCTGCCTCAGCCCCCACCGTTCTGGGACTGTAGGTGTATGTGATGCTGCCTGGCTTGCCTGACCTCATCTGTGACCCAGAGGCCACAGGGCTTTTGCAGTAACTGCATCAGCCATTCTCGGCCTCCTAGCTGCATTCAGGCTCTCTCCCCAGCGCAGGACTTCACTGTTCTGGGGAGAAGCGGCATCCTTCTGGAAAGACTGCCTCCAGGGAGCCGTGTGAGTTTCAGTGCTGGGATAGAACCCAGAGACACACATGCCAGACAAGAACGCCACGCTGAGCCGTATCTCCAGTCCCGGTGGGGCCGAGTAAACCCCACTGCCCAAATACCAGCTGCCCCCTTCCCCCGACTCTCTCTTCCACACCTTGATGTCTGCCACCCGCACATCCGCAGGCCCAGTCAGTGCTGCTGGGCCGGCCGCCGACCGTCCCACTGCCCTCATCGCTGAAGGACTGCAACCTCCCAAATCAAGGCCACGGCCACTGCATTCTGCACCTCCAGCTGCTGGCTCTCTCTGATGTGGAGCAGGGCCTTCAAAGTCATGGCAGGAGGGAACTCGAAGGTGGTTCAGGGGCCTGGCGAGAGCTGCCCAGCCCCGTGCAGGGGCAGGGGACACCCACCTCGCCTGGGGTCGAAGCCCCCGGGGTTTGCTCAGTTGTCTGGATACGTTGGGAGACCTCGGCCTTCTCCCTGAATAGGGAGCAATCTGAGGCAATGCCAAAGTGTTATCAAATGACTCAACTGCTCTCAGGCATTCTGGAACTCTTCTGCTTGAGTTCTCATAAACAGTGCAATCACTGTCAGGGAGGGGGCTACATCTACCAACACTGGTAGGCCGTGGAGGGCTACGGGTGTCAGGTAAGCCAAGGTGGCCTCAACCCAGTTGGCCTGTGGTCCCCAAACAGGGCACACACACACACCAAGAGCCTAAGGACCCAGCTAGGGCCAATGCCTCTGTAGCCTGACCCTCTGCCCAGGTGGTCCAGCCACGTGAGCAGCGGTCCTGGGCACGGGGGCTGGTCTGCCGGTTCACTGTATGGGCAGTGGAAACGGCGGCTCAAGAAGCTTCCTGGCTCCACGTACAGCAGGGCTGGGCCCAAGTTGCCCTGCCCATCCCCCTTGCTGCCGTGGGGCAAAGCCAAGGTGCAGACTTGGCTCAGGTCCTCACACTCTTCCACCCCGAGGCCTGACCCCTCACCTGACCCCTCACCTGGCCTCCACTGGCTGGAAGTCAGGCGTGATGCTCCGCCATCTGGGGCATGTGGTCAGTAGAGTGGGTTTGAACTCAGGCTTGCTTGGCTCACTTGCTCAGTGGTGCTCAGCATCTCGACCACACATCTAGCTCATTCTTTTGTTGATTATTTTGGAGATGGACTCTCTTCCTAGGCTGGTTTTGTATCTCAGCCTAAATAGCCAGGCTGATAGGCATGAGCCTCCAGGACCCAGCTTTTTCCTGGGGCCTGAACTCGGCCTGGGCGCTGTCTCTCAGCTCTTCAGCTCAAGGCAAGCACTCTACCATTGAGCCACCTTCCCAGTCCCAGCACCCAGCTTTGGAATTACAGGTTAATCAGAATGTTTGTGGTGGTGGTGATGATAATTGTGTTGAAAGACAACAACTTTATGAGTTCTTGCTTTTTTTTTTTTTTTGGTCGGTCCTGGGGCCTGAACTCTGGGCCAGGGCGTTTAGCTCTTCAGCTCAAGGCTAGCACTCTACCACTTGAGCCACAGCGCCACTTCTGGCTTTTTGGTTCTTGCTTTTTATGTGTGTGCTGATACTGGGGCTTGAACTCAGGCCCTCATGCTCCATGCTTGTTTTGTTCCATGTGAGTACTCTACCCCTTGAGCCACACCTCCACTTCTTGCTTTGGCTAGCTAGTTGGATATAGGAGTCTCTCAGACTTTTCTGCAGGGACTGGCTTCACACCATGATCCTCAGATCTCAGTCTCCTGAGTAGCGAGGATAATAGGTATGAACCACCAGCGCCGCTCACATTGCATTTCTAGTGGGCTAGATGCTCATATAGGGGTGGACAAAGTTAAACCTCTTCCCATCCTGATCTCTCTGAAGTGTGACAAGTGTCCTCACTGAGACAAACATGAGGGCTCCTTTTCCCAGAATCCTCACTGCAGGGTCCATGAGATCTTGTGGTACACAGGGAAAACTGAGGCTGGGCAGGAGGCGGCCTGGGTCACTCCCCTGTGGACAGCAGTGGTGTCTTCTCCGTCTCCGCTCTTTGTCCCATCTATAGCAGATTGTAGGGTTGTCTGGCGGAAGGAGCCAAGAGCAGCTGGATCCTGGTGGAGAGCCAGTGGCCCTCCTGGGAGGTGCAGCTGCCCGGGATGGGGCTACAGCCTGGAGTTACAAGCCTAGAGTGTGCGGGCTCCCCTGCGGGCCTTCCGCAGGCCTTCGGGCGGGCAAGGACGGAGCCGCTTCCCGGCTCGCCAGCTCTGCGCCCTCGGGGCGCACACGCGGGGCACTGGGGGTGAGACCCACGGGGGCACTCCAGCCTGGGGAAGAGGGCTGTGTGCAGAGGCCAGACCAATGCTTCCCAGCGTGGCTTTCAGAGCCGGGGTGCGCGGCTCGGGTGCTGGGTGCGCCTGGCACCGGGCCGGCACCCGGGCCAGCGGGTGGGCCGCTCGCGCCCCAGAGCGCAGGTGCCCTGTGCCCGTCTCCCCTCCCAGCCCTAAGGCCGGGCGGTGCAGCGCACGAGGGCGGGGCCAGCGCACGAGGGCGGGGCGCAGCTCACAAGGGGCGGGGCGCAGCTCACAAGGGGCGGGGCGCAGCTCACAAGGGGCGGGGCGCAGCTCACAAGGGGCGGGGCGCAGCGCATGAGGGCGGGGCGCAGCTCACAAGGGGCGGGGCGCAGCTCACAAGGGGCGGGGCGCAGTGCATGAGGGCGGGGCGCAGCTCACAAGGGGCGGGGCGCAGCGCACGAGGGCGGGGCGCAGCACAGGAGGGGCAGGACAGTGTACTAGTGGCAGGGCACATTGCTTGAGGGCGGGGCAGGGCACGAGGGCGGGGCAGGGCACGGGGGCGGGGCACGAGGGCGGGGCAGGGCACCAGGGCGGGTCAGGTCTCGGGGGCGGGGCAGGGCTGGGGGGGGTGGCGGCTCGTCAGGGCTCGGGGGCGGGGCAGGGCAGGGCTCGGGGGCGGGGCAGGGCTCAGGGGCAGGGCAGGGCTCGGGGGCGGGGCGGGGCAGGGCACCAGGGTGGGTCAGGTCTCGGGGGCGGGGCAGGTCTCGGGGGCGGGTCAGGGCACGGGGAGGGTCAGGGCTCAGGGGCGGGGCAGGGCAGGGCTCGGGGGCGGGTCAGGGCAGGGCTCAGGGGCAGGGCAGGGCAGGGCACCAGGGTGGGTCAGGTCTCGGGGGCGGGGCAGGTCTCGGGGGCGGGGCAGGTCTCGGGGGGGGGGGGGGGGGGGGAGGGTTGGCGGGGCGGGGCTCGGGGGCGGGTCAGGGCAGGGCTCAGGGGCGGGGCTCGGGGGCGGGTCAGGGCAGGGCTCAGGGGCGGGGCTCGGGGGCGGGGCAGGGCACGGTGGTGGCGGGGCAGGGCTCGGGGGCGGGGCGGGGCTCGGGGGCGGGTCAGGGCAGGGCTCAGGGGCGGGGCTCGGGGGCGGGGCAGGGCACGGTGGTGGCGGGGCACGGTGGTGGCGGGGCCGGGCGGGGCGGGGCAGGGCACGGTGGTGGCGGGGCTCGGGGGCGGGGCACGGTGGGGGCGGGGCCGGGCGGGGGCGGGGCAGGGCACGGTGGTGGCGGGGCTCGGGGGCGGGGCACGGTGGGGGCGGGGCCGGGCGGGGCGGGGCAGGGCACGGTGGTGGCGGGGCTCGGGGGCGGGGCACGGTGGTGGCGGGGCCGGGCGGGGCGGGGCAGGGCACGGTGGTGGCGGGGCTCGGGGGCGGGGCTCGGGGGCAGGGCACGGTGGTGGCGGGGCTCGGGGGCGGGGCACGGTGGTGGCGGGGCTCGGGGGCGGGGCACGGTGGTGGCGGGGCTCGGGGGCGGGGCACGGTGGTGGCGGGGCCGGGCGGGGCGGGGCAGGGCACGGTGGTGGCGGGGCTCGGGGGCGGGGCACGGTGGTGGCGGGGCTCGGGGGCGGGGCACGGTGGTGGCGGGGCTCGGGGGCGGGGCACGGTGGTGGCGGGGCCGGGCGGGGCGGGGCAGGGCACGGTGGTGGCGGGGCTCGGGGGCGGGGCACGGTGGTGGCGGGGCAGGGCACGGTGGTGGCGGGGCTCGGGGGCGGGGCACGGTGGTGGCGGGGCTCGGGGGCGGGGCACGGTGGTGGCGGGGCTCGGGGGCGGGGCACGGTGGGGGCGGGGCACGGTGGTGGCGGGGCTCGGGGGCGGGGCACGGTGGTGGCGGGGCTCGGGGGCGGGGCACGGTGGTGGCGGGGCTCGGGGGCGGGGCACGGTGGTGGCGGGGCCGGGCGGGGCGGGGCAGGGCACGGTGGTGGCGGGGCTCGGGGGCGGGGCTCGGGGGCGGGGCACGGTGGTGGCGGGGCTCGGGGGCGGGGCACGGTGGTGGCGGGGCTCGGGGGCGGGGCACGGTGGTGGCGGGGCTCGGGGGCGGGGCACGGTGGTGGCGGGGCAGGGCTCGGGGGCGGGGCGGGGCTCGGGGGCGGGGCCGGGCGGGGCGGGGCACGGTGGTGGCGGGGCCGGGCGGGGCACGGTGGTGGCGGGGCCGGGCGGGGCGGGGCACGGTGGTGGCGGGGCACGGTGGTGGCGGGGCAGGGCAGGGCACGGTGGTGGCGGGGCACGGTGGTGGCGGGGGCGGGGCGGGGCTCGGGGGCGGGGCTCGGGGGCGGGGCACGGTGGTGGCGGGGCTCGGGGGCGGGGCACGGTGGTGGCGGGGCCGGGCGGGGCGGGGCAGGGCACGGTGGTGGCGGGGCTCGGGGGCGGGGCACGGTGGTGGCGGGGCAGGGCACGGTGGTGGCGGGGCTCGGGGGCGGGGCACGGTGGTGGCGGGGCTCGGGGGCGGGGCACGGTGGTGGCGGGGCTCGGGGGCGGGGCACGGTGGGGGCGGGGCACGGTGGTGGCGGGGCTCGGGGGCGGGGCACGGTGGTGGCGGGGCAGGGCTCGGGGGCGGGGCGGGGCGGGCGGAGCGGGACGGGCGGTGCTCCAGGGCGAGGTCGGAGCAGCCGGTGCGGTCGGGGGGAGCGGGCCCGGGGCGCCGGTCTGGGGTCGCCCCCCCGCCCGTGCGCCCGCTGTGGCGCCTGTCCGGCCCGTCGGGCGCCGACCCCGGGCGGAGGGCGCACGCGGCACTCGGCGCGGGGAGGCTCGGCAGGCTCATCGCACTCGCCACGCACACCCGTGTCCGGCCGGGACCGCAACCCCACTCCGAGGCCGCACCGAGTCCAGGGGCCGAGTGCAAACTACGCGCGGGACCTGTTAACGTCCACGGCGCATGTGCGGAGGCCGCACAGTCGGCCACCACTGCGCACGCGCTGCGCTCGCCCAAGCGTTTCCCCCTCTCCTCCCCCCCCCCCCCCCCCCACCGCGAGCAGGCCCGAGCTCCTTACCACACCGCTCGCCTCAGTGCGCACGCGCTCCGCTCCTCCAAGCGTCTCTCCCCCACCGCTTCCGGGCCACGCCGCTCATCCCAGCGCGCATGCGCCCGAGGCCATTTCCCGCCCCACCCCCGTGCGCTCCGCTCATTGGCGCAGCCCCGACGGGAGGCGGAAGCTGCCGAAAACCGCGCGAAAGCTGCGAGCGCGCCCGCGTCCCGCCATGGCTCAGCGGCGGCTCACGGACTTCTTCGCGCGCCGCGGCCCCGGCTCCGCCGCGCGGCGGGCCAAGCCGGCCTGCCGCACCCCGAGCCCCGCGGGGCCCGTCCTCGCCTCGGGCGGCAGCCGCAAGCGCGCCCGGGCCCCCGCCGAGCCCGGGGCCGCCCGGCCCGCGCCACCCGCTCGCCGCCGGCTGCGGCTGCTGGACGCGGTGAGGGGGGGACGGGGGGGAGGGGGGCGGCTGCTGGACGCGGTGAGGTGGGGGACGGGGGGGAGGGGGGACGCGGGGGGGGGGGGGGAGGAGGGGGGCGGCTGCGGCTGCTGGACGCGGTGAGGGGGGGAGGGGGGGGGAGGGGGGGCGGCTGCGGCTGCTGGACCCGGTGAGGGGGGGGACGCGGTGAGGGGGGGACGAGGGGGGAGGGGGGGCGGCTGCTGGACGCGGTGAGGGGGGGACGGGGGGGAGGGGGGGGAGGAGGGAGAGGGGGGGGCGGCTGCGGCTGCTGGACCCGGTGAGGGGGGGGACGCGGTGAGGGGGGGGACGGAGGGTACGGGGGGGAGGAGGGGGAGGGGGGGCGGCTGCGGCTGCTGGACGCGGTGAGGGGGGGACGGGGGGAGGGGGGGGCGGCTGCGGCTGCTGGACCCGGTGAGGGGGGGGACGCGGTGAGGGGGGGGGACGAGGGGGAGGGGGGGGGCGGCTGCTGGACGCGGTGAGGGGGGGGACGGGGGGGAGGGGGGGGGAGGGGGGGGGGCGGCTGCTGGACGCGGTGAGGGGGGGACGGGGGGGAGGGGGGGGGAGGAGGGAGAGGGGGGGCGGCTGCGGCTGCTGGACCCGGTGAGGGGGGGACGGGGGGAGGGGGAGGAGGGGGGCGGCTGCGGCTGCTGGACCCGGTGAGGGGGGTGGTGGGGGGGAGGGGGGACGGGGGGAGGGGGGGCGGCTGTGGCTGCTGGACCCGGTGAGGGGGGGGGACGGGGGGGAGGGGGGACGCGGGGGGGGGAGGAGGGGGGCGGCTGCGGCTGCTGGACCTGGTGAGGGGGGGACGGGGGGAGGGGGGCGGCTGCGGCTGCTGGACCCGGTGAGGGGGGGGGTGGGGGGAGGGGGGACGGGGGGGGAGGGGGGCGGCTGCGGCTGCTGGACCCGGTGAGGGGGGGGACAGGGGGAGGGGGGACGCGGGGGGGGGGGGAGGAGGGGGCGGCAGGGGCTGCTGGACCCGGTGAGGGGGTGATGGGGGGGAAGAGGGGGGGCGGCTGCGGCTGCTGGACCCAGTGAGGCGGGGGGAGGGGGGGGTGAGGTCGGGGGGGGGGGGGTTGGGGGGGCGGACAAATGCAGGAGAGCCCGGAGGTCAGGCCTGGCCCTGGTGCACCGGGGCCCTGCGGGCCCTGTGGGCCTGCGAGCCAGCACCGCCCTGGCCGGCTGGGAAGGCCCAGCCGACCCTGCCCCTCCTAGACAGCTCGCGGGACCCTGATTTCTGGCCAGGAGTCTAGATAAGTGACTGAAGCCAGCCCCTGCCCCTGTCCACACTCACCATGGACGGTTCTTTTCTTGCCAGGATTCCTCTGCCAGCTCCCCGGCCACGCTCAGCTTCCCTGATGTTCCCAGCTCCCCCGATGTTCCCAGCACCCCAGATGTCCCCAGCTCCCCAGTTGCCCCCAGTCCCCCAGATGTCCCCAGCACCCTGGCTACCTTCAGTTCCACCCAGCAGTCCCTGGGTAAGAGGACCAAGAAAGCCACAGCTACAGTGGAGCCCCAGCCCCACCCCAAGACCCACCAGGAAGAGGTGAGGAGGCGGCCAGGGCAGGTTGTGGGAGGTACTGTAGGGTGATGGCCTGTCCTGACACTATCTGAGTTCCTAGGTCTCCTCTAAGAACTCCATCTCTGATCTCCGGTGTCGCCTGCAGCGGGCACGAGAAGCGGGTGCTAGGGTCCAGGCACTGAGGGCCCAAGCCCAGAAGGATGTTGAGGAGGCTCTCAGTCCCCAGGCTGAGCAGCCTGCAGAGCCATGGTGAGTCCCATTGGCTGTTGTGTCTGGGAGATAGGCTGGTGGGAGGCACTGCAGGGCCAGGGTGGGTGATAGACCCGGGAGCTGCTCCTTGGGCTGGGACAGTTGGTGTGCCTGGCAGACAGACCCTAGATGCCTGCTTGCTAGCTGCACTGCGTAACCTCATCTGGAGGTAGGGTGGACATACAGTCTGCTAACTGTTCCTGTGTCCTCCTGTCTGGGTCAGGCCACTGGACAGGCATGCCGGAGGGCTCCCTGTGTGGGAGCACTAGCCTTGCAGGCAGGCAGTGGGTGTTCGCTGGCTTTGTGCAGTTCTCTGACCCTGTGGCCTGCTGCTAGGCACTGGAGGGAGTGTGTGGTCTCATGAGTCTGCCCCCCTCTGACAGTGGCGAGAAGGTTCCCGCCTACCAGCGCTTCCATGCCTTGGCCCAGCCTGGGCCTCCGGGCCTTGTGCTGCCCTACAAGTACCAGGTGCTGGCCCAGATGTTCCACAGCATGGACACCATTGTGGGCATGCTTCACAACCGCGCGGAGACAGTGACCTTCTCCAAGGTCAAGCAGGGTGTACAGGACATGATGCGCAAGTGAGTGGCCTGTGTGGCTGGGTTCTGTCTGCCCTCCGTGTCTGACCCAGCCCCGCCAGTTTCTTCTGACCAAGTGTCTTCTCTGTAGGCGCTTTGAGGAGCGCAATGTGGGCCAGATCAAAACTGTGTACCCCGAGTCTTACTGCTTCCGTCAGGAGCGCAATGTCCCCACCTTCAAGGATGGCGTCAAGAGGTCAGATTACCAGCTGACCATTGAGCCGCTGCTGGACCAGGGTGAGCACGGGGCCTGGCCTTGGCCACATGCGTTCACCTGTGACCCACGTTTGGAGTATGGCACAAGGTGTTTGCTCCCCACCTGTGTCAGGGGTCATGTGCTGGGCGAGCCTGGGGCTCAGATGGACTCTCTTCTCAGAGCCCGGTGGAGCTGCAGTCCCCCAGCTCACAGCCTCGCGCCTCCTGCACCGGAGACAGGTGTTCCGCCAGAACCTGGTGAGGCGCGTGAAGGAGCACCACAAGGTCAGTGCCGGGCGAGTGTCGTGCCCACACCCAGTGGGAGCTGCTCTGTCAGCAAGCACAGCATTCTGGAAGTGGAAGGCTTTCAATCTCAGGAGGGGGAGAGGAGAGGCTTGGCATCTGCTGCTGGGGGCCTCAGGACTAACCATAAGCTTTGGTGCATTTGGTGCTGCCCATGTGTAAGGCCGCAGATCCTCCTCCTACCTGGCTTTTAGTGCCTAGACAAGCGGTTTTCCCAGGGCCATCTAGCTGGAGCAACTCCAGCAGCCTAACGCCCGCTCTCTCCCACAGGTCTTCCTGGCCTCCTTGAACCCCCCCATGGTGGTGCCTGAGGACCAGCTGATGCGCTGGCACCCACGCTTCAACGTGGACCAAGTCCCTGACATTGAGCCGGCAGAGCTGCCCCAGCCGCCCACCACTGAGCAGCTCACCACGGCCCGGGAAGTGTTGGCCCACGCTCGCAGCTTCATGTCGCCCAAGGTGAGGCTGGCCCGGCTCTGAGCTGGCCCTTTGTCCTGGGGTGGAGCTCAATGCTGAGCAGCCTTGGGTACTTGGTGCCACCTGGCTGGGCCAGTATCGGGACGCCCTTTCACCCACCCACTTGGGGAGTAGAGGAGTGCAGGCCACTGAGGTGCTGGGACCTTGGGCAGGAATCCACGCAGAGCTGGGGTTTTCTTTCTGACCTGTACTCACCTGCAGATGGAGAAGGCCTTGAGCGAGCTGGCCCTGCATTCAGCTGAGTCTGGCAGCCCCGGCTCAGCTCTGCTGGCCACCCCACCTGCTGCCCTGCCGGCCACGCCACCCGCCACCCCCCCTGCCGCCTCCCCCAGTGCCCTGAAAGGCGTGTCCCTGGCCCTCCTGGAGCGGGTAAGTGAGTGGGGGTGGGGGCATGGGACCCCCTTCTGCTGCTCACTGCCCCTCCCCTGCAGATCCGGGCCAAGGAGGCCCAGAGGCAGCTGGCACAGATGATGCGGCAGCCAGAGCAGGACCTGCGCTTGCAGCGGCTGGAGCGGCTGCCTGAGCTGGCTCGTGTGCTACGCAGTGTCTTCGTGTCTGAGCGGAAGCCAGCACTCACCATGGAGGTGGCCTGTGCCAGAATGGTGGGCAGCTGCCGGGCCACTTTGAGCCCAGGTATGTGCTGGTTTACTCGGTTGGCCCATAGTGCCTCCTGTAAAAGCCGGGCTTGGGCCTGTCTCCTGGATGTCCATGTGGACTGTTCATGCCCGGTGCGCCCTGGGGCCTGCTGCTGAGTGCTGTCAGGCCCATGGCCTCTGTGCCGGTCACACAGCTTCCCGGTGGCTTCCTTGTGGCCTGACCCTCACAGCTCACGAGCCTCTGGCTCTCAGCTACCCAAGGACTGCCAGCTGCTCTCTCCCAGGCCTGCTCACGTGGCTTCAAGCACCAGAGGCTCCTGGTGGGCCACCTGCAGGGTACCAGCTGGTTTGGGCCTTCCCTGGGTGGGGTCCACATGCTCAGGCCTCAGCTGGAGTCTTTGCCTTGTCCATACTTAGCTTCTGTCTTTGGGGGCTCTGCCCAGGAAACTCAGACCTGGCTTCTACCGGGTCTAGTTTACGTAGCAGTCACTGCTTTTTTCAGACAGTGCCTGATTGAAGGTCCTGGCTGGAGGGCTGTGCCAAAGCTCAGGCACGTGGGCACATTGGGATTCCAAGTCAAGCCCCACTCTTCGCAGGTGAGATGGAGAAGCACCTGCTGCTCCTGTCTGAGCTGCTGCCAGACTGGCTTAGTCTGCACCGTGTCCGCACTGACACCTACATCAAGCTGGACAAGGCTGCTGACCTGGCGGACATCGCTGGGCGGCTGGCCCGGCAGGCCCGTGCGGAGGGGCTGAGCTGAGCTGCCACGAGAGCCCCCCCCATGCCCATGCTTGCTCTCTGCCAGCAGGCGTCTCCGGGTCCCAGCCAGGCAGTCCCACGCCCTGGCCAGGGCCTCATGTCTCTGCTGCTGTGGCAGGTGCACTGGGGGTCATAACAGAACATGATTGTCACAGATGCCCCCCAGATACCCATTGCCTATCCTGAAGCAAACATATCAGGGTGGAGGAACATTGCTGTCCATCCCCAAGGCCTGTGGGTGGCCTCCACCCTGAGCAATTCAACATCCAAGGCTTACTTAGATAGGCTTGAAGCTAAGACCAAACTGCGTCAGATGTCAGGAACTTGCAGACTTGTGTTTAGGTTTGAGAGCAATTAATGATGAGGGTCTAACCATAGATTATTTTCTACATTTTGGGCTGAAATAGCTTGTAAAAATTGAGCTCATTTCGTTTTTTTATTTTGCTCTAAGCATTTAAGTAGGACCTGTAGTATGGCTTGATCTGTTAAACTCTAAAATAAACATTCCTAATATCTGAAAGAAAGCTCAGCAAGAAAACCTGATTTTCAGTCTTAACCTTTTAGCCTTGTCACCAAGAGGACCCCTGGGGCTTGGGGACGTGGCTCAGTGTGGGGAGTACTTGCCTAGCATGCATGAAGCCCTGGGTTCCACCTCAGCACATGAACTGGAAGTGGTGCTGTGGCTCTGGAAGTGTCCAGGCCTCATTACTGACCCCCTCCCCCAAAGTGAGGACTCAGAGCAGGTGAGGCTAATGGCCTCCAGGAAAAACACTTGCTCTCCGTGGGGCTGCTATTTACTGCCGTGGCTGGGTTTATACTTTGGTCCAGGCCTCCCAGCCCTGGACCACAGGACACAACACATGTACAAAAGCTCTTTACTGTGATATTGCTGTTTGTCGACACTGGGACCTTCAGGAAGGCCCTGGGGGAGCCCCACAGAAAAATGTAGCTGGCTACTGCCAGGGCCCCCGGAGGATACTGAAGGCAGGAAGGTGAACCAGTCTGTCCTGAGGTGGTGGAGGTGCTGTTGGGTCACTCGTACTGCAGGAGAGAAAAGAAGGGCACTGGCCCCAGCTTCTCCCTGCCCTTGAGCGAGGTCAGCTCCACCAGGCTGATGCACTCCAGCACCTCGGCGCGCAGCTGACCCAGCAGCTCGCAGGCTGCTCGCATGGTTCCTGTGGGTGCAATAGTCTGCTCTGACCTCCGGTGGGTACAGGAGGGAGGAAGTGGACAGCACAGTGCTTCTCACCACCAGTGAGCGGCCAGGCACCCAACTCCTGCCCTTCAAAGCACCCTTTGAGGCCTTGGGTCTGTTCTGGGGAAGTCTTACCACCAGTGGCCAGCAGATCATCCACAACCACCACCTTCTGCCCCGGCTCCAGGGCATCTTTCTGGATCTCCAACTCAGCCTGTGCACAGGAAGAGGACACTGCAGAGCCCGAGAAGCAACAGGTGGCCACCCCTGGCTTCCTGGCTGTGTGAGCCATAGCTCCTGTAGCCACAGGCTCCCAGGGAGCTCAGGCCCAGTGACCCCCGGTGAGCTGAGGAGCACTGGGTGGTGACTGTCCCCTTCGACCTGACCGTAGGCTCACCTTGCCGTACTCCAGTGCATAAGACACAGACACTGTGGGGCCTGGCAGCTTCCCACGCTTCCTGATGAGCACACAGCCCAGGCCCAGCTCCTGGGCCAGGGAGGGTCCAAACAGGAAGCCCCTGGAGTCTAGGCCTGTGGGTGGTAGGTGCTGGGTGGCAGAGCGGCCCGGACAGGAGTCCCCACAGGCTGGGGTGCAGCCCAGTGACCCTGGACCTCCAGCTACTCTGCCACTACAGCCACAGCTCCACTTCCAGCTTTTTGCTGGTTAGGTGGGACTAGTTTTTGAGTCTCACTGACTTCTGTCCAGGTTGACTTTGAACTGTGACCTTTGGATCTCAGCTTCCTTACAGATAACAGTCTGTGAGCCACAGGTGAGCAGGTCTCAGGGCTTTGTCCTGCTGGGCTTCATCTTAGCCCTGGGGCCGCCGCCTGCCTCGGGCACTGCCCAGAGCCACTTAGTATCTGTCACGTGTAGCAAGCCATGGAGTGCCCAGTCCACCGGGGAGGCCGCAGCGAGAGCTGGCCAGTCCACGTGAGCTGAGCTGTGGTGGAGACCATCCCATCATGGGTGGCCAGGGCCTTCCTGCAGGGCCAGTCAGGAGACCCCTGTCCTCCCTGCCCGGTCAGAGCTGCCTCCTGGGATGCGGAGTCCCAGGACCAGGCACTCGGGGGTGTGGGTGTGACCACCACACTGCAGGAGAGAGGGAAGGGAGGCGGCCCTCTAAACTAGGCGGATAGCAGGCGGCAAGTGCGCGAGGGGCTGCGGCCTGCAGGGGACTGGAGCTTCCCTCTGGCCGTGGACGGGACACGCCCAGCAGCAGGGTGCTGTGCTGGGCCAGGCCAGGCCAGGAGGGGGGGGGGGACGGAGTAACGGGCCGGGGTAGGCCGGGGGGGGGGGGGGGGGGGGTGACGGGCCGGGGGAGGGGAGGAGGACGGAGTGACGGGCCCGGGGAGGGGGGGTGATGGGTCGGGGTGGGGGGGGGAGGATGACCACCGGGGAGGGGGGGGCGGGCCGGGGGTCCGGGCGCGGCCGGCCACTCGCCTGCGATGTAGTCGATGCGGCTGCCGTGCGTGGCTCTCAGGTGGGCGGCCAGCAGATGGATGGAGGCGCGGAAGGAGTCGGGGTCCTTCAGGAGCGGCGCGATGTCCCTGCACGGAGGACGGGCCGGTGAGCCGGGGCCGGCGGGCGGCGGCCCGAAGGACCCCGCGCCCGCGCCCGCGCCCGCGCCCGCACCGGAACAGCACGCCGGGGATGGGGAAGTCCGGGAAGCTGCGGATGCACCGCGCCACCAGCTGCAGCTCCGGGTCCGCCATGGCCGCGTGCGGGAGCCGGGGTGGGGAGGGTGGAGCGGGAAGCGGGAGAAAAGGCCCGGGGGCGGGGCCTGCGCGGAAGGGGCGGGGCCGAGCGAGGGCGTGGCGTCGCGGGGCTCTGGGCTTCGCGGCCAGGCAGGACAACACCGAGGCCGGTCTGCGCGCCGGGCGTGACGCTTCCGGGGGCGTGGCTCCGAGGCTGGGCGTGGCGTCGCGGGGCTCTGGGCTTCGCGGCCAGGCGGGACAACACCGAGGCCGGTCTGCGCGCCGGGCGTGACGCTTCCGGGGGGCGGGGCTCCGAGGCTGGGCGTGGCGTCCCGGGGGCGGGGCTCCGTCATGGGCGTGGCGTCGCGGGGCTCAGGGCTTCGCGGCCAGGCGGGACATCACCCAGGGCCGGTCTGCGCGCCGGGCGTGACGCTTCCGGGGGGCGGGGCTCCGAGGCTGGGCGTGGCGTCCCAGGGGCGGGGCTCCGCCATGGGCGTGGCTTCGCGGGGCTCAGGGCTTCACATCACCGAGGGCCTGGTTCTGCGCACCGGGCGTGACGCTTCCGGGGGCGTGGCTCCGCCGTGGGCGTGGCGTCGCGGGGCTCTGGGCTTCGCGGCCAGGCGGGACATCACCCAGGGCCGGTCTGCGCGCCTTCCGGGGGGCGGGGCTCCGCCGAGGGCGTGGCGTCGCGGGGCTCTGAGCTTCACACCACCGAGGGCTGGTTCTGCGCGCCGGGCGTGACGCTTCCGGGGATGTGGAGTCGCGAGGCTCAGGACTTCGCGACTGGGCGTGGCTCCGCGGGCGGGGCAGCCGGCTCCCCCCCCCCCCCCCCCCCCCGCAGGAGGGTCGCCATTTCGCCCACCCGTGCGCGCCCTCGGGCCACCCCCCTCCCGCACTGGGCGCAGCGGGGCCGAGGCGCGTGCCCGGCCGGGAAGCCCCGTGCGCAGAGCCCCTCCCCGCGCGGGGCGGAGAGCCTCGGCCCGAGGTGGGCAGGGCCAGGGCCCTGGGCGGGGGTCCCGCAACAAGCCCGCCAAAGACCAAAGAGGACACGGGGTGGAGTGCTTCCGATTCTTGGCCAGACTTCTCCGCTCGCCCTCCACAGCTCAGCTTCGTAGGGGTCCCCGTGCAAACATGAAAGGTGTTCCAGCAGCCCCGGTGGCGGTGGCGGGCCAGGCCCCACCGGGCTGGGCGGGCGGGGGACCCCGGCTCTGCGGCAGCGCCGGCAGCTTTGCCATGGTGGCTGAGGCTGCTGCCTGTCTCCAGCTCCCCCGGCTCACAGCCCTGTGGGTGGCGCAGGACGGGAGGCCGATGCCATGGGTGCTGTCCTCCTGCTGCCCAGCCCCGAGGGCTCAGTTTAGATCAGCCCCACGGTCTTCAGTGCCAGGGGTGAAGCAGACCAGCGAGAAGATGCCCCCTGGGCTCCAGACCCTGGACAGGGGCACTGGGCACGGATGGGCTACTGTGGTCAGAACCTATTTGTGGCCAGCTGCATGGCAGGTCCAGGACTGGACAGCACTAGACTGTGGGCTCTAGGGACGGGTCTTGGGTGTGGTCTCAGGCCCTGCCACTGGTTGCAGGTGCTATCTGGTGGTGGGCAAGGCAGAGGGCAACTGGAATTCTTCCAACATGGGAGTCCTGAGGCCAGAGCCTTCTTATCCTCCAGCGGGAGATTCTGAGCCTGGCCTGGGTCCAAACAGAAGCTAATGGGGCCAGAGGCACTTGGTGGGAGCCGACTCAGGAGGCGTCAGGCACTTCTTCAGCTTTTCACAGCCCGGCGGTGCCCAGTTCTAGGAAATAAAATTCAGCAAAGAATGTGTAGTTATTCTAGGCACCTCAGCCTGGCCTGTCCCGGACACTGGTCCCACCCCCTGGCAGGGTGGAGGTTGGCAGCCTACACCATGCAGGTAGAAGCTCACGCGCGCATTGGAATCACAGGAACGTGGAGCCCTGTACTTTCCCTGAAGCCTTGCTCTGCGGAGGAGTATCTGGGCAGTGGGTGTGGGCCACTGGGCAGGAGAACATCTGGTAATCAAATTCACATAGCACTCACAAGTGGCAGAAGCTGGCAGGAGGTACACACGCAAGTGCCAGGAAAGCTGCCACTGCTGTGCCTGTCAGGGTAGCTTGGACAGCCCTGTGTTCTGGAAGCCTCTGGGGGTGGGGGGGGGAGGGAGGGCTGGAACATGGACCCCTAGGAGGAACCCTCTGAGAGAACTGGAGGTGGCCTAGTCTGCTGGGCTCCCACCCAAGCCTTGTGTCTGGGTTTATTGAGCCAGAGAGTGTGGAGACAGTGGCTTGGCCCCAGACAGCGACAGTGCTGCTGCTGCGGGCTGGGCACTCCCTGCCTGTGAAGGGTGGAAGCAGTGCTGTGGGTCTGATCAAGGGTGAAGAGGGCTGTGATGGCCTTGATGTGAGACCAGAAGATGTCACAGCCCCTCATCAGGCTGGCCCAGGATTTGGGGGGCAGAGCTAAGCAGGGAGGCCCTGATGTGGCATAGGGGCAAGACCACCAGGGGTCCTCACAGCTCCCAGGGAAGCACTGCCGATGAGGCTGGACAGCCACACAGCCCTGTCTCAGCTGAGTTGGTTTGAGGACCCAGCACCACTTTCTGGAACCTAACCGTGGCCTGTCGGTGTTGGCAGTTCCACTGGCATCCAGAAGATGGCATTGGCAGCCAGCAATGTGCTGCCTGCTTCCCTAGCCCAGCACCAGCCTGAGGTGGACAGGTCATTTCTATGCAGCTGGACAGTGACCACTCCCTGCAGTCAGCCCTTACTTCAGGATGCACTGGGTGCTCAACACCTCAGTAGTCCTGAGAGAAGGGCCCTTGCTGCCCTCCCGCAGCACCTGCAACATTGCTGTTGAAGGAAGGGCTTCGTCTGCCCTGGGCAACACTAGAGCATGAGGCACCGGTCGCCGGCCTCCACAGGGTCCTCATCCACGGGCTGCTGTGGTCCCCGGGCTCCGCCCTGCCCAGTCCCGGCTGACTCCTCATCCATGGGCTGCTGTGGTCTCCAGGCTCTGCCCAGTCCAGTGCTGGATGAGTCTTCAGCAGGGCAGCCATGGACAAAGCTGTGCACATCTGTCTTCACTGCTGCAAGTGCACTCTATGTCCCTGGACAGTCCCTCCACTGCACGAAGCCCCCCCACTTCCTCCTTGGTACCCACAGCCCATCAAAGCTGCTATGCAGTATGGGCAGTAGCAGCCCGGCCCGCAGCGGGCCAAGCACACAGACACCTACCATGACTGCCTGGTCACATATGTTGAGTTGCGGCTGGCCAGGGACCAAGGCCTCTTGATGCTGCTGGACAGCCCAGGTGGCTCTCTCCAGGGCAACCTGGTACTCCTCACTGGCAAAGCTGGAGACAAGAAGACACTGGTCACGAGGCTGCACTGTGACCCGTCGGCTCTGCAGAGGGCCCAGACAGGCTAGGGAGGGGGACCAGCCTAGGGGGCAGGCACACTGAGGATCACATCCCACACAGGCCTGGCTCCTTCTGCTGGACCCAGGCCTCACGGACAGGCAGCGTGCCTGTACTTAGACTCAGGGCCCAGGGAGGGAGATGAGGGCTAGTCCAAAGGAAGGTGAGCAGCCAGTCCAGCCGGCTCAGGGAGCATGGCTGTCCCCTGCTCTGTCTCCACTAGGACCCAGAAGGTATCGCCCAGAGGCTGACCCTGAGAACGAGACTTCTCTGTGGGGACTCCATAGCACTGACTACTGCTTAAAGTATTTACAAACATCGTACACCAACTCAAGGCCTCAAGCATGCGGGGCTAGCACTCTACCACTTGAGCCACAGCGCCACTTCCAGTTTTCTGGTGGTTAACTGGAGATAAGAGTGTCACAGACTTTTCTGCCCTGGCTGGCTTTGTACCACGATCCTCAGATCTCAGCCTCCTGAGTAGCTAGGATGACAGGCGTGAGCCATGGACACCCAGGGTCTTAAAAAAAACTTAGTAAGCATATCAGGTGATCATTCATAGGGGATCTGGGTGTCCCCAGGCACAGAGTCCCCAGAGCCCAGCTTGCCACGCCCCAGGTCCTGGCAATACCCACGCTTCTTCCCCACCCAGCAGTTCGGGGCCCAGGGCTGGCCAGTCTCTTGTCTGTGCTGGACACCTGTCCTCAGCGGCAGCTCAGAGCAGGGACCATCCTGGCCTGGAATGAGTAGAAGAGGGGAGGCCACAGGGTGGGGAGCGGAGGGGGGATGCAGGGAGAAAGGCGGACCCCAAACCTGGTGAGCGGCCAGCTCTGCTCCCAGTGCTCATTGTCCCTGTCACCTCTGCCACTAGAGTGTGCAGAGGGGCCTGCTCTGGCTGCTGGACGGGGCAGCCCCGCCTCACCTGAGTGGGAACCTCTCCCCTGGGTCTCGGCCTAGGTGGAAGACCAGGGGCAGCTTCGTGTGCTCCTCCTGGGTGTGGGTCGTGACTCCTGAGACGTTCTGCCCGGGGCAGAAGTTAACGCCCTGAAAGGAGAGATGGAGGGGCGTGAGCACGGACCTGTGGCGTCGGGTGGCCCTGCCGCCTCTTCCAGTGTCCGCCTGATGTCCACTGGGTGCAGGGAAGCGGGGCAGGTGAAGCCTGGCCTGTGTGCCCCACACCCCTTTGCGGGGGAGGGTGGGCATCTTTAACGCAGCCTAGCCCATCTCCATCCTGACTAACAAGACTTCAAGTCCCAGTGAAGAGCTCCTCTTAACACCTTCAATATGCACCTCTGGGGGAAGACCGCCTCTCTGTAGGAGTTGAAAGTCAGGATGAAGCCCCGTGCTGGTGGCTCATGCCTGTAATCCTAGCTGAGATCTGAGCATGGTTCAAAGGCAGCCTGGTGGAGTGGCTCAAATGGTAGAATGTAAGCTATGAGCAAAAAGCTAGATGAGAGTTCAAGGCCCTAAGTTCAAGTTCCAGTACTTGTTTAAAAAAAAAACAGGGCTGGGTGCCGGTGGCTCATGCCTGTCATCCTAGCAACAAGGAGGCTAAGATCTGAGGATCAGGGTTCAAAGCTGACCGGGCAGTAAAGTCCATGAGACTCTTATCTCCAATAAACCACTAGAAAACTGGAAATGGCGCTGCAGCTCAAGCAGTAGAGCGCTCGCCTTGAGCTGAGGGACAGCGCCCAGGCCCAGAGTTCAAGCCCCCCCCAAAAAAGAACAACTAGGCCGGGGAGGGGACCCTATGCACCAAAAGCCAAGAGAATAGAAAAGACAAGATGGGGGGGGCACTGAGGCTGCAGGCAAGGACCGTAGAATAACCGCAAGTAACCCGCAGGGAAGCTGAGGCCGCAGGGGTCCAGGGCTTCTCTCTCCCAAGTGCTCCCTGGGGCAGCTGTCCTCCTGGCGTGCTGGTGAGCAGCACCCGCCCACTCCCGCACCGCAGGAGCAGAGCCCGGAGCGGGGACAGGAGGCCTGGGAGCCAAGTACAGACTGGGCTCAAGCGGAGTCTCTCAGACTGAACTCCAGTACCAACTCTTTTCTTTTTTTCTTTCTTTCCCTTCTTCCCTTCTTTCCTTCTTTCTTTTTGTTGGTATTGGGGCTTGAACTCAGGGCCCAGGTGACCCTATTCTGAGTTTCAGGGCAGAGGCTGAGCAGGGCCTAGGAGGGCTCTGGGCAGGGTGGAAAGGCAAAGTGGTAGAGGCCTTTATGGGATCTGTGTTGTGCTCCCTGAAAGCTGCCTGTGGGGTCCAAGTCAGCCCCCACGTTCAATCTTGGCAGGGTACCAGTGGCATGTCCCTAGCATCTTCCCCGCGTGTGTGCAGGGGGCTGAGGGCAGCCTCTCACCCTGAATGAAGGTGATCGCCCAGGCTGAGGCACAGCATTGTCTCACCCCGGGCGGCCCCCAGCTCTGCAACCAGAGACCCATACCTGTCGGAATTCCTCCCAGGAGTTGGTCCAAGTCCAGAAGTGGGCCTTGTACTGGCCAAGGGTGACGGCCATCAGCGTGTTTCCACGGTAATAGAATATTGGCCTGTTGAGGGGGAGGGTCATAGTTAAGTGTGTGAGTAGGGGTCAGCGGAAGCGACAGAGGTCAGACTGCAGCAGGCGGGGAGGGGCTGGGAGGGAGGCTGGGGCAGAGGGCTTCCCCAGCATGCATGAAGGCCTCTGTTCCACCCTAGCCAAGAAAAGCGGCCAGGCCAGTACATCTGGGGCCCGGCTCGGGCTGGTGCCCTCTTGCTCACTCAGGGCCCCGGGAGGATGGCTTGGCAGGAGGGCACTAAGGCTGGCAAAAGATGGGTTCTCTTTCTGGAGACCAGATGGGCCTGAGAGAAGCCTGCAGCCACAGGCACTGGGCTCTCAGCGGCGGCACTCTGACCAGGTTTCAAGAAGAAAAAAATAGGCACTTGGAAAAAAAAAAAAGGCAGCTTTCCCCTCCTCCAAGACCTGGCCCCGCAGCCGCCTTGACCGGGGCTGAGCGCCTGCACGGCTGCTCCTCAGCTGCTCAAGACCCAGGAATTGAGAAAGGCTCCGAGCTGGGCACAGGGCAGTGTGGGGTGAGGGACCCCAGCTCAGGGTCGACGGCAGCACGTGAGCCCCTGCTGGCTACAGCCTGAAGCAGACAGGGGAAGGACCTGGGCCACGACCACAGATAATCCGAGGGGCCGTGACGGAGATGGTGGCAGCGGCTGCCACAGGCGGGGACAAGGCCCGTCCTCCAGCCCTTGCGGGGGTTCCCCAAAGCCGGGGCCTCTCTCAGCAAGCCCCCCTCACCCCCAGCAGTGCAGGGCCTGGCCGAGGGAGCTGTGGGCAGGTGCAGAGCCACGACCACGCCTGCCCCACACCCACCTGTCCGTCAGCTGGCCCTGCAGGAGCGTGGGGAGGAGGTCCAGGCCGTCCACTGCCCTGTCGCTGGGCGGCTGCAGGCTTGCGAGGGACAGGCTGGTGGTGAAGAGGTCCATGATGCTGCCCAGCTGGTGGCTCACCTGCGGTGACACAGCAGGCGCACCTGGGAAGCTGCCCCGGTCAGACGGCGGCCGGGGGCCCAGGGCCCGGGAGAGGAGCCCCACAGGGGGCAGGCAGGCAGGGCAGAGGCACGGGGCCGGTGGCACACCCACGGTGTGGGTGGCACATGCCCAGTGAGCCAGGCTTCCAGGAGAGGCAGGGCGCGCATGGCTGCAGTGTGCACCAGCACCAGGCTTGGCCCGAGACAGCACAGCGACCGCCTCTGCCCTTACCCTGGCACATGGGAGGCGGCAGCCAGGACCGCCAGGGGCCCGCTGCTTCTTATGAGCCTGCCTCCTGGGCCGTTCACTGGCCCCCCAGTTCTCACTGACCCCACTACTGGCAAAGGCGGGTGGGTGGGAAGCACAGTGGCCAGGGGCGGGCACACTGCTGGCGGCCTGGCTTGGCGGGGGGGGGGGGGCGGCACACTGCTGGCGGCCTGGCTTGGCGGGGGGGGGGGCACACTGCTGGCGGCCTGGCTTGGCGGGGGGGGGGGCACACTGCTGGGGGCCTGGCTTGGCGGGGGGGGGCGGCACACTGCTGGGGGCCTGGCTTGGCGGGGGGGGGGGGGCACTGCTGGGGGCCTGGCTTGGCGGGGGGGGGGGGGGGGCACACTGCTGGGGGCCTGGCTTGGCGGGGGGGGGCACACTGCTGGGGGCCTGGCTTGGCGGGGGGGGGGGCACTGCTGGGGGCCTGGCTTGGCGGGGGGGGGGGGGCACACTGCTGGGGGCCTGGCTTGGCGGGGGGGGGGGGGGGCACTGCTGGGGGCCTGGCTTGGCGGGGGGGGGGGGCACACTGCTGGGGGCCTGGCTTGGCGGGGGGGCACTGCTGGGGGCCTGGCTTGGCGGGGGGGGGGGGGGCACTGCTGGGGGCCTGGCTTGGCGGGGGGGGGGGGCACACTGCTGGGGGCCTGGCTTGGCGGGGGGGGGCACACTGCTGGGGGCCTGGCTTGGCGGGGGGGGGGGGGCACTGCTGGGGGCCTGGCTTGGCGGGGGGGGGGGGGGGGCACACTGCTGGGGGCCTGGCTTGGCGGGGGGGGGGCACTGCTGGGGGCCTGGCTTGGCGGGGGGGGGGGGCACTGCTGGGGGCCTGGCTTGGCGGGGGGGGGGGCACACTGCTGGGGGCCTGGCTTGGCGGGGGGGGCACACTGCTGGCGGCCTGGCTTGGCGGGGGGGGGGGCACACTGCTGGGGGCCTGGCTTGGCGGGGGGGGGGCACTGCTGGGGGCCTGGCTTGGCGGGGGGGGGCACACTGCTGGGGGCCTGGCTTGGCGGGGGGGGGGGGCACACTGCTAGGGGCCTGGCTTGGCGGGGGGGGCACTGCTGGGGGCCTGGCTTGGCGGGGGGGGGGCACTGCTGGGGGCCTGGCTTGGCGGGGGGGGGGGGGCACACTGCTGGGGGCCTGGCTTGGCGGGGGGGGGGGGGCACACTGCTGGGGGCCTGGCTCGGCGGGGGGGGGCACACTGCTAGGGGCCTGGCTTGGCGGGGGGGGGGGCACTGCTGGGGGCCTGGCTTGGCGGGGGGGGGGCACTGCTGGGGGCCTGGCTTGGCGGGGGGGGGGGGCACACTGCTAGGGGCCTGGCTTGGCGGGGGGGGGCACTGCTGGGGGCCTGGCTTGGCGGGGGGGGGGGCACTGCTGGGGGCCTGGCTCGGCGGGGGGGGCACTGCTGGGGGCCTGGCTCGGCGGGGGGGGGGGGCACACTGCTGGGGGCCTGGCAGTGGGGGGCACACTGCTGGGGGCTTGGCTTGGGCAGGGTCAAGCACACCCAGGTTCTGTTTGGACGGTGCTCCCCTCACAGCTCCTTGCCCGGCCCTGGCCCAACTGCAGCTGGAGTTGAGGTTTTCACCATGCCATGAGGACCCTGGCAGCTGGTTGTCTGGAGTCCACGCCACCCAGACTGGAGGGAAACACCAGGGGCCATGTTTGTTTTAGAAACAGTCTATGGCGGGCTGGGAAGGTGGCTGAGTGGTAGAGCGCTTGCCTTGCATGCCTGAGGCCCTGGGTTCGATTCCCCAGCACCACATAAGCAAAAAAAGCCAGAAGTGGCGCTGTGGCTCAAGTGGTAGAGCACTAGCCTTGAGCTGAAGAGCTGAGGGACAGCGCCCAGGCCCAGAGTTCAGGCCCCACGACCGGACCCAAAAAAAAAATACAAAAAAAGAAACAGTCCATGGCCTTTGCCAGAAGGAAGGCAGCTTCAGGGGTCCTGGCTGCCCGTGGGGCTTCCCTCCTCCAGGGGTCCTGGCTGTCTTTGGGACTTCCTCCCTCCAGGGGTCCTGGCTGCCCGTGGGGCTTCCCTCCTCCAGGGGTCCTGGCTGCCCGTGGGGCTTCCCTCCTCCAGGGGTCCTGGCTGTCTTTGGGACTTCCTCCCTCCAGGGGTCCTGGCTGCCCATGGGGCTTCCCTCCTCCAGGGGTCCTGGCTGTCTTTGGGACTTCCTCCCTCCAGGGGTCCTGGCTGCCCGTGGGGCTTCCCTCCTCCAGGGGTCCTGGCTGTCTTTGGGACTTCCTCCCTCCAGGGGTCCTGGCTGCCCGTGGGGCTTCCCTCCTCCAGGGGTCCTGGCTGCCCGTGGGGCTTCCCTCCTCCAGGGGTCCTGGCTGCCCGTGGGGCTTCCCTCCTCCAGGGGTCCTGGCTGCCCGTGGGGCTTCCCTCCTCCAGGGGTCCTGGCTGCCCGTGGGGCTTCCCCCCTCCAGGGGTCCTGGCTGCCCGTGGGGCTTCCCTCCTCTCAGGGCTTTTTGTTGTTGGAAAGAGAGAAAGAAAAATGAGAAAAGAAGAGAACCCAATACACTCAATCTGGGAGAAATGAAGGCAGGGCTCGCTACTGGGCAGGGGTGGCGGGAGGGAGGGGTCGGGCCTCCGGCGCAAGCACACGGAGAACACACGCCCCCGCGTGTGTCAAGGGGAGCAGCTCACATGCTCGCCCCACAGCAAGAGGCCACTGGGGAGGACGCAGTGCCTTGAGATTTAACAAGGCCCCAGGAGCATCGCGGGAAGGCTGGGCATGGAAGCTGCGGGGACAGATGTCAGCCTTCTGAATCAGCTGTGCTGTGATCACAGCACACGGCCCGTCTCCCCGCCTGGTTCATTCAGTGTGTCCTAGGGGAGGTGGGGAGGGGACGGCCTCAGCCCAAGAGAGACGCCCTCTCCTTCAGAGTGAGGCCGCCAAGTGCCCTCCTCTCAGCTGGGAGGGAGATGGGGGCAGAGGCTCCGGAACCCCCTGGACAGCGCACGAAGTCCAGGCCTCCTGAGCCGGGCAGCGGCAGGGAGCTGTGTGGCCCGTGGCCAGGGTCTGCCGTGGTGCCTTGCTGGGGGACAGGGCACGCAGCCTACGTGGACGCCCCACCCCGGGCCTCCCTGTCCCCCAGCCCTTCGTGAGGCTGGGGTCACCAAACAACGTTCGCACTGTGCTCCTCCAAGCCATGGGAGGCCGCGCAGGGACGGGGCTTGGGGAGCCCCGCTCACGCGAAGGGCACCCCTTTTGTGTCTTTCGGGCCACGTCTCCACACGCCACAGGCTCAGCACAGCTGCCCTTCACAGGGTCAGGCCCAGGGTGCCTGCCAGCAGCCCACGAGGCCCTCCCTCTGCGGAGTCCAGTAACGTGGCAGTGGGGTGGAAAGCAGCCGGCAGGACTAAGGCTGATCGGGGGGAACAGGTCACGATGGGGGAGAGCAGAAAACAGCGAGAGGCCCTGTGCCAGCCCCTGCGGGGCGAGGGGGAACCCCTAGGGCCAGCGGGCCTCCTTGGCTCTGCTGGGATCCCAGCTTCTTGCTATGTGGGCTGGCGCTGCCGTCCAGCCCCACGCACGTGGGGCCTGCGCCTGCAGTTCTGGAATCCCACGGCCTCCCACACCAACACACAGGTGAAGAGCACCTCAGCAGAGACAAGGTCCCAGGAGACGACCCTGGGAGAGGCCGACCAAGGACAGCCGCACCTGTGCCCTGACTGCACGCCTACTAGGGGACTGCGGGTCCCGAGGAAAGGTCTCAGCTGATGCTGGCCTGCAGGAAGGGCTCTCCAGGGGATGAGGTAGACACTCGGAGTGCCTGCTGGGTATCTCCCTGAGACGGCAGGGAGCCCTGTGCGGGAGCCAGCCCACCGCACGCGGCCCGCCAAGTCCCACAGCCCTGGCCTGGCTGTGCTCAGGCCAGACGCTTCCAAGCTCCGCATGGCACCGAGGAAGGACCTGCTTCCCCAGCACCGCCACACCGACTGGACCCGCAGGAGCCTCCTTCCCAAGAGGCACCAGCGGCCTCTCGAGGTTCTGCGGGAGATGCGGGTCTCCACGGGCAGTGACTTGACTTACCTGGCCTGCAGCGATGTGCCCTGGCCACCACGCAATCGCCGGCTCCCGCATGCCACCTTCAAACGTGGTCTGCTTCCCACACAGGAAGGGGCCGTTGCTGCCACCTGAGGACCAGAGTCAGCACTGTCAGAGGGTGGTCCCACAATGCCCCTGGCAGGCAGTCACGGGAGGGCACCGGCCGCCCCAGGCCTCGCTGCCAGGTGGTCTTGGGAAAGCTCTTGCGATGGCTCCCCAGGATGTCTGAGGCCCGGGCTGTGTCTGCACAGGGCTCTAGGTGGCCTGCAGGGGAGGGGGAGGGGGCTCCCCTCGGGTGGAGCACAGGATCTGCCGTCTCAGACCCCAGGCCTGGGTTTTCTAGCCTGTGTTCACAGGCTGCTGGAGGCAAAGACCCAGCCTGAGAAACGGCTGCAGTTCCAGCCATGCAGAGTCAAGGGCTCCAAGAGGCTGGGCAGCCGGGGCCACAGGGATAGCACTCTCTACCTCAGGCCCTGAGCACACAGAGGACACAGGAACGGTGTTTACATGCAGGAACAGAACACCGTCACTACACTACCGAAGCCAGGAACAGAACACCACCACACTGCCAAAGCCCAGGCACAGAACACCACCACACTTCCAAAGCCAGAAACAGAACTCTACCACACTGCCAAAGCCAGGAACAGAACTCTACCACACTGCCAAAGCCAGGAACAGAACACCACCACACTACCAAAGCCAGGAACAGAACACCACCACACTACCAAAGCCAGGAACAGAACACCACCACACTGCCAAAGCCAGAAACAGAACTCTACCACACTGCCAAAGCCAGGAACAGAACTCTACCACACTACCAAAACAGGAACAGAACATCACCGCACCGCCAAAGCCAGGAACAGAACACCACCACACTGCCAAAGCCCAGGAACAGAACACCACCACACTGCCAAAGCCAGAAACAGAACTCTACCACACTGCCAAAGCCAGGAACAGAACTCTACCACACTACCAAAGCCAGGAACAGAACTCTACCACACTACCAAAACAGGAACAGAACATCACCGCACCGCCAAAGCCAGGAACAGAACACCACCACACTGCCAAAGCCCAGGAACAGAACACCACCACACTGCCAAAGCCAGAAACAGAACTCTACCACACTGCCAAAGCCAGGAACAGAACTCTACCACACTACCAAAGCCAGGAACAGAACTCTACCACACTACCAAAACAGGAACAGAACATCACCGCACCGCCAAAGCCCAGGAACAGAACACCACCACACTGCCAAAGCCCAGGAACAGAACACCACCACACTGCCAAAGCCAGAAACAGAACTCTACCACACTGCCAAAGCCAGGAACAGAACATCACCACACTACCAAAGCCAGGAACAGAACACCACCACACTGCCAAAGCCAGGAACAGAACTCTACCACACTGCCAAAGCCAGAAACAGAACTCTACCACACTGCCAAAGCCAGGAACAGAACACCACCACACTGCCAAAGCCAGGAACAGAACTCTACCACACTACCAAAACAGGAACAGAACATCACCGCACCGCCAAAGCCAGGAACAGAACTCTACCACACTACCGAAGCCAGGAACAGAACACCACCACACTACCAAAGCCCAGGAACAGAACACCACCACACTACCGAAGCCCAGAAACAGAACTCTACCACACTACCGAAGCCAGGAACAGAACACCACCACACTACCGAAGCCCAGGCGTCAAAGCCCCCGCTGGTGTCTCTCCCGCCACCCGCGGCAGCCACCCCTGCTCCCACGCACTGCAGCCTCCCGCTGCAGGGGCTGCAGACTGCTGTTCTTGGGGCAGTTTCCTCCCCTGGCCTCTCGGGCCGTGCCCGCTCCCCCTCAGGCCATGCTCCTGCCCGCCCTCCTCACAGGTAGCCGCTCTTATTCTGCCCAAGGGCGTGAAGGCCTCGGAGTAGAAGCCGCTCCACATTGGCCCAAGGCTGCCGTGGAGGGAACTTGCCTTCCTTGGGCGCAGAGATGAGGGCGGCGCCATTGTCGGATGTGAAGAAGACGAACGTGTCCCGCTCCATGCCCAGGCGCCTCAGGAGACTCAGTATCTTCCCAACGCTGTCATCGATTTCCCGCACGGCATCCCCATACCTGCGGGGGAGCCAAGCCGTCCGGGCGGCACGGGACACATGGAACCCTGACTTCCGAGTCGGCCCAGGCAGGCTCAAGTTCAGGTTCTTGCTGACAGGGCCACGGTTGGTGCTGTGGCCCCTCTCTGCCAGCCTTGGCTGGTGGTTTCAGAGACAAGGGGGCTCTGGACTTCCTCTTAATGGTGCCGCGTGCTCTCCCTCCCCCATGGAAATCCAGCCTGCTGAAGGCCCCACAGGGACCCGCCCCATCAGGAGCCTCCATCCCCCCATCGGGACTCACAGCCCTCGCTGGCTGGTGCCCAAGAAAGGTCTGGACGCGTAGACAGGGGCGTGTGTGGCATCGATGGCCCAGTAGAGGAAGAAGGGGCATTGCTTTGCCTGCTGTGTTCTGATGAAATCCAGGGCTTCCTGCCAAGAAGCTCTTCGTCCTCCTCTGCCACATGGCCAACCCTCCCCCACTGCCCAGCCACTGGCCCGCCCTTACCTCTAAGTAGATCTGAGTGAGATTGGCTTCCCCAGTCTTCAGATTAATTGGGAATTCTTCATAAAATCTGAGAATATACCAGACAGAATCCAGACTTTAGTCAAGAAAGTCCCTTCCCAAATGCTACCAGCAAAGTCACAGGCTGTGTTTGGAACAGGGCTGGGCTGGGTGGCTCATGCTCATCACCAGGTCTGGACTGCAAGCTGCAGGTTGGGGCCACACAGTGTGATAACGTATCTCAGGAAAGCCGCCATTAAAAAAAAAAAGACAATGTGGGGCTGGGAAGGTGGCTCAGTGGTAGAGCGCTTGCCTTGCATGCCTGAGGCCCTGGGTTCGATTCCTCAGCACCACATAAAGAAAAAAGCCGGAAGTGGCACTGTGGCTCAAGTGGTAGAGCGATAGCCTTGAGCTGAAGAGCTGAGGGACAGCACCCAGGCCCAGAGTTCAGGCCCCACGACCGGACCCAAAAAAAAAAAAAAGACAATGTGATGCTGCTGCTGTGGCTCACACCTGTAATACTAGCTACCCTGGGAGGCTGAGGATCATGGTTGGAAGCCAGCCTGGGCAGGAAAGTCTGTAAGTCTCTTATCTCCAATAAATTACTCAGAAAAAGCTGGGAGTGGTGTTGTGGCTCAAGTGGTAGAATGCTGGCCTTGAGCACAAAGAGGCTCAGGGACAGTGCCCAGGCTTCAAGCTCCACAACTAACAAGAAAAAAAAAAAGAAAAAAGAAAAAAAAGTGAACAAAATTCAAGAATTCTGCCTACACAGGCTCTGCACAGCCAGGTCCAGCCCATCCGGGAAACTTGCTTCCACTCTGGCTCTTGAGGTTGGTGCTCATCCCCCTCTCTGCTCTGCTGAGTGTTCAGGCTACAGCTGAGAGGTGAATTTCACACAGGCAGATGACAGCTCACCAAGAGGCTGTATGGGGTCCTGGACCTCCAAAACTGGGTGCCGGCTCTATGATGTCCCAAAAGAAACAGGGACCCTGGAAAGGCCAGAAATGGCCCCAGGCCCGAGTCTCACAGGCTCCAGGAAGAATGTCCCGGGAATCAACGCTCTTGGGACCCAGAAGGCCAGTCCTTGCCAGCAAGTGGTTCAAGAATCACCTCTCCTACGGGAAGCATGGCTCAGGCGGTGGAATGCCTTCACAGCCAGTGCAAGGCCCTGTGTTCAAAGCCACCGTCCATCCTGGTCCAGAGAAGCAGCGAAGCAGGGGCATGGGCGCTGGGCAGGGAAGGAAGGGCCCGTTACCTGCCGACCATCTCCCAGTCACGGTACACAGGGATGTTGGGCCGAGCCTTGTTGTCATAAGGCCCAAAGTGGCAGTTGGGGGAGCCGAACCATTCATCAAATCCGTGCTTCAGGGGGTGGAACTGGGGCCTGTGGCCCAAGTGCCTAGAAACAGGAGCCAAGACACTTCAGGGACCCCACCCAGGGGCGCTCCGAGTTCCCACGGCAAACCCATCCTCTTCACAAATGTTTAACAAAACAAGGGTGCCTCCGGCACTCACTGCGTGCTGAGGCCTGGAACACCAAGACATAAAGACTGCCCCAGAAGGAGCACAGGGCCTAACCCAGGGCGCCAGGCACCTGTGGACAGGCCTGTTGTCCTGTAGGTGCTGGGCAGAGCCTTCAGTATGGTAGGCAGTGGGAACTGGCCTCCAGGCCCCAGTGGCTTTATCCTGCCCATCTTCACTCTTATTTTTTTGTGGCAGCCCTGGGGCTTGAACTCTGAGCCTGGGTGCTGTCCTGGAGCTTTTGCTGTTAAGGCTAGTGCTCTAGCACTTGAGCCACAGCTCCAGTTCTTACGTTTTGATGGAGATAAGAGTCTCACAGACTTTCCTGCCATGACTGGCTTCAAACCTCAGTCCTCAGAGCTCAGCCTCCTGAGCAGCTGGGGTTACAGGCGTGAGCCACGGGTGCCTGGCCAATCTTCCTGGAGGGTCCAGCTCCCACCTGCTCTACCGAGCATGCTGAAGAAAGGGGCTCCAGCGCTGGCTGAGGTCACAGCCTGCGTGCAGCGCAGCTCCAGCCTGGGACACAGCCACAGCTTGAAAACAGCATCTGGGGGTTGGCGTCCTCTGCCAGACTGTGTTTGGACAGGAAGGGCCCTGTGCCAGGGCTGTGTCGGTCTGAGGCCTGGGGCTTGCCCCTCAGTGAGCAGAGTCACGGGCTGGCGGGGAGGCTGGGCTGGCGGCTTCAGGGAGGAGTACAGCCAGTCAGCAACTGGTCTGTGATTTTTGCAGGCCATCCCATCTGTCCAGGCCTCGGTTCCCCACCCACAGCTGCAGGGACTGCTGGGGGCGTGGCTGGCTGCCCCGCTCACTCCACAGCCCTCTGGCTCCACGTTCTTTCCCTCCTAGGTGAGTGTGCCTGTATCTCACAGTGACACCACGGGTCCTCAAGCTGCCCCTGGGCTGTGTGGCCCCTACTGTGGCACCTGTCCCTTCTGCATGTGTTGGACAGGTGGCCACCTGGCTACCGGTGACCTCATGTCCCTGTCCAACACAGCATAGAAGGCTTAAAAGCATGGTCATCAGGCACTGGCGGCTCATGCCTGCAATCCTCGCTACTCAGGAGTATCAGTTTGAAAACAGCCAGCGAGGAAAGTCTGTGAGACTCTTACCTCCAGTCAACCACCCAAAAGCTGGAAGTGGAGCTGTAGCTCAAGTGGTAGAGCACTGTCAGGACCAGTGCCCAGGACCTAAGTTCAAGCCCCAGGACCACACAAAACAAATAAAACCCAACAATAAAATTACATGGTAGGGCTGGGAATGTGGCTCAGTGGTAGAGTGCTTACCTAGCAGGCATGAAGCCCTGCGTTCGATCCTCAGTACCACATACACAGAAAAGGCCAGAAGTGACTCTGTGGCTCAAGTGGTAGAGCGCTAGCCTTGAACAAAAGAAGCTCAGGGACAGCACCCAGACCCTGAGTTCAAGCCCCAGGACTGGCAAGACAAACAATCACATGATCATGTCGGGGAGGAGTTGGATATGGGAGAAAAATGAGAGAGAGGGTAACAATGTAAAACAAGAAATGTACTCATAAAAACGAACTTTACAACTTTGGTGGGGAGGGTGGGGGGGAGGGTATGGGAAGGGGAAACAAAGGAGGAGGCAACAATGCTTGATAAGAAATGCACTCGTTATCTTGCCCATGTAATTGTAAGCCCTCTGTACGGTATTTTCACATAAAAAAAAAGAAAGACACGTACCCATTACCGTTACCTTACTTATGTAACTCTAGCCCCTCTGTACATCACCTTTACAATAAAATTAAACTTAAAAAAAAAAAAAACAGTCACAGTTTTGCCCAGCTTTAATTCACCTGTCTGTCCCCCAACAGCAGTGGCCAGTGCTGACCAGCAGGGGGAGCCAGAGCCGAACAAGGGCTGGCAGCACTTGGGCTTCATCTGAGTCTTATTCTCCGGCTGCGGTTTCTGCATGAGGCACAGCTCTTCTGCAGGAGCCCAGGCCCCACCTGCCTCCTTGGTTCTGTGGTCTAGATGAGAACCAGGGCAGTTCTGACTTGGGCCTGCTGGGACAGAGACCTACGGAGCGGTGGCGTGCCCGCCCTGGGCCTCTGGAAATCACCCTTGTACTGGTCCCGCTGCAGACTCCATTGCGGACCTGCCACCGCTATGCTCCAGTCCTTGGAGACTTCCCTCTAGGCTCTGCTCCAGCTGCAGCCATCCTGGACCTCAGCCAGCTCCACAGACTCACTCCTGCATTTGTGCCACCCTGCACTGATGACAGTGGCCAGGAGGCTGGTGGATGGGCGGAGCGGCACACAGGCAGCTCTGGGGCTGTGTTGGCAGCCCTGAGGGCAGCGTGCGCCAGGACTCCCCAGTGTCCCGGCACCAGCTCGAGGGCCGCCACCTGCTCGGCCACCTCATCCTAGCCGGCAGCCAGCGTTCTTCTTGCCTGAAGAGGAGCATGGTGTTCCTCAGGCAGCCTGCAGACTGCCTGGATTTCCTGAGAACTATTCTAGTCTTGGCAGGTTCGGAGTCCCTGTGACTGGCACGGGCAGTGGGAAGGGCTCCAACAGGGCAGAAAGCAGGGGCAGCTTCGCGAGGGAGGAGGGCCTGTGGGCACCGGCGGGGTGGCGGCCATGTGTCCTCACACCCAGTGCCCCGGGGGGAGAGACTAGTGTTTCTGTGCAGACGCAGGAGTCTGTGCAAGCTGACAGGGTTATCCTGTGGTCAGGGCTCCGTTACACTGACAGACCACACTGTTCCTGCGCTTCCTAGCCGCTGCTGCACACTTTAGAATCAAGTTCCCACCACCACATGGAAACCCTCTGCTGGCTAGGTGTGAAGGAGCGTAGTGTGAAGGAGAGCAGTGTGAGGGAGCATGGTGTGAAGGACAGCGGTGTGAAGGAGCACGGTGTGAAGGAGCATGGTGTGAGGGAGCGCGGTGTGAAGGAGAGTGGTGTGAAGGAGCGCGGTGTGAAGGAGCACGGTGTGAAGGAGCATGGTGTGAAGGAGCACGGTGTGAGGGAGTGTGGTGTGAGGGAGCACGGTGTGAAGGAGCGCGGTGTGAAGGAGCACAGTGTGAAGGAGCGCGGTGTGAGGGAGTGTGGTGTGAGGGAGCACGGTGTGAAGGAGCGCAGTGTGAAGGAGCGCGGTGTGAAGGAGCGCGGTGTGAAGGAGAGTGGTGTGAAGGAGCGTGGTGTGAGGGAGCGTGGTGTGAAGGAGCATGGTGTGAAGGAGCGTGGTGTGAAGGAGCATGGTGTGAAGGAGCATGGTGTGAAGGAGCGTGGTGTGAAGGAGCGTGGTGTGAAGGAGCGCGGTGTGAAGGAGCATGGCGTGAAGGAGCGCGGTGTGAAGGAGCACGGTGTGAAGGAGCGTGGTGTGAAGGAGCGCGGTGTGAAGGAGCATGGCGTGAAGGAGCGCGGCGTGAAGGAGCGCGGTGTGAAGGAGCATGGTGTGAAGGAGCGCGGTGTGAAGGAGCATGGCGTGAAGGAGCGCGGTGTGAAGGAGCATGGCGTGAAGGAGCGCGGCGTGAAGGAGCGCGGTGTGAAGGAGCGCGGTGTGAAGGAGCATGGTGTGAAGGAGCGTGGTGTGAAGGAGAGTGGTGTGAAGGAGCGCGGTGTGAAGGAGCGCGGTGTGAAGGAGCACAGTGTGAAGGAGAGTGGTGTGAAGGAGCGCGGTGTGAAGGAGCGCGGTGTGAAGGAGCATGGTGTGAAGGAGCGTGGTGTGAAGGAGAGTGGTGTGAAGGAGCGTGGTGTGAAGGAGCACGGTGTGAAGGAGCACGGTGTGAGGGAGCACGGTGTGAGGGAGCGCGGTGTGAAGAAGAGTGGTGTGAAGGAGCGCGGTGTGAAGGAGCGCGGTGTGAAGGAGCGCGGTGTGAAGGAGCGTGGTGTGAAGGAGAGTGGTGTGAAGGAGCGCGGTGTGAAGGAGCACAGTGTGAAGGAGCGCGGTGTGAGGGAGTGTGGTGTGAGGGAGCACGGTGTGAAGGAGCGCAGTGTGAAGGAGCGCGGTGTGAAGGAGCGCGGTGTGAAGGAGAGTGGTGTGAAGGAGCGTGGTGTGAGGGAGCGTGGTGTGAAGGAGCATGGTGTGAAGGAGCGTGGTGTGAAGGAGCATGGTGTGAAGGAGCATGGTGTGAAGGAGCGTGGTGTGAAGGAGCGTGGTGTGAAGGAGCGCGGTGTGAAGGAGCATGGCGTGAAGGAGCGCGGTGTGAAGGAGCACGGTGTGAAGGAGCGTGGTGTGAAGGAGCGCGGTGTGAAGGAGCATGGCGTGAAGGAGCGCGGCGTGAAGGAGCGCGGTGTGAAGGAGCATGGTGTGAAGGAGCGCGGTGTGAAGGAGCATGGCGTGAAGGAGCGCGGTGTGAAGGAGCATGGCGTGAAGGAGCGCGGCGTGAAGGAGCGCGGTGTGAAGGAGCGCGGTGTGAAGGAGCATGGTGTGAAGGAGCGTGGTGTGAAGGAGAGTGGTGTGAAGGAGCGCGGTGTGAAGGAGCGCGGTGTGAAGGAGCACAGTGTGAAGGAGAGTGGTGTGAAGGAGCGCGGTGTGAAGGAGCGCGGTGTGAAGGAGCATGGTGTGAAGGAGCGTGGTGTGAAGGAGAGTGGTGTGAAGGAGCGTGGTGTGAAGGAGCACGGTGTGAAGGAGCACGGTGTGAGGGAGCACGGTGTGAGGGAGCGCGGTGTGAAGAAGAGTGGTGTGAAGGAGCGCGGTGTGAAGGAGCGCGGTGTGAAGGAGCGCGGTGTGAAGGAGCGTGGTGTGAAGGAGAGTGGTGTGAAGGAGCGCGGTGTGAAGGAGCGCGGTGTGAAGGAGCACGGTGTGAAGGAGAGTGGTGTGAAGGAGCACGGTGTGAAGGAGAGTGGTGTGAAGGAGCACGGTGTGAAGGAGCGCGGTGTGAAGGAGCGCGGTGTGAAGGAGCACGGTGTGAAGGAGCGCGGTGTGAAGGAGCACGGTGTGAAGGAGCGCGGTGTGAAGGAGAGTGGTGTGAAGGAGCACGGTGTGAAGGAGCATGGTGTGAAGGAGCGCGGTGTGAAGGAGCATGGTGTGAAGGAGAGTGGTGTGAAGGAGCGCGGTGTGAAGGAGCGCGGTGTGAAGGAGTATGGAGTGAAGGAATGCGGTGTGAAGGAGCACGGTGTGCAGGAGAGTGGTGTGAAGAAGCGCGGTGTGAAGGAGTGGTAGGGGGTGTGACCGAGCACAGTGGGTGTGGCAGTGTGGAGCGGGTGTGACCGAGCACAGTGGGTGTGGCAGTGTGGAGCGGGTGTGATCGAGCAGGGTGGGTGTGGCAGTGTGGAGCAGGTGTGACCGAGCACAGTGGGTGTGGCAGTGTGGAGCGGGTGTGATCGAGCAGGGTGGGTGTGGCATGGCAGTGTGGAGCGGGTGTGATGGAGCACGGTGGGTGTGGCAGTGTGGAGTGGGTGTGGTGGAGCACGGTGGGTGTGGCATGGCAGTGTGGAGTGGGTGTGCCGGAGCACGGTGGGTGTGGCAGTAGGGAGTGGGTGTGGTGGAGCACGGTGGGTGTGGCAGTGTGGAGCGGGTGTGATGGAGCACGGTGGGTGTGGCAGTGTGGAGCGGGTGTGATGGAGCATGGTGGGTGTGGCAGTGTGGAGCGGGTGTGATGGAGCACGGTGGGTGTGGCAGTGTGGAGCGGGTGTGATGGAGCACGGTGGGTGTGGCAGTGTGGAGCGGGTGTGATGGAGCACGGTGGGTGTGGCAGTGTGGAGCGGGTGTGATGGAGCATGGTGGGTGTGGCAGTGTGGAGCAGGTGTGATGGAGCATGGTGGGTGTGGCAGTGTGGAGCGGGTGTGATGGAGCACGGTGGGTGTGGCAGTGTGGAGTGGGTGTGGCAGTATGGAGCGGGTGTGATGGAGCATGGTGGGTGTGGCAGTGTGGAGCGGGTGTGATGGAGCATGGTGGGTGTGGCAGTGTGGAGCGGGTGTGATGGAGCACGGTGGGTGTGGCAGTGTGGAGCGGGTGTGATGGAGCACGGTGGGTGTGGCATGGCAGTGTGGAGCGGGTGTGGTGGAGCACGGTGGGTGTGGCATGGCAGTGTGGAGCGGGTGTGATGGAGCACGGTGGGTGTGGCAGTGTGGAGCGGGTGTGCCGTGGGTGTGGCAGTGTGGAGCGGGTGTGCCGTGGGTGTGGCAGTGTGGAGCGGGTGTGGTGGAGCAGGGTGGGTGTGGCATGGCAGTGTGGAGTGGGTGTGATGGAGCAGGGTGGGTGTGGCAGTGTGGAGCGGGTGTGATGGAGCACGGTGGGTGTGGCAGTGTGGAGCGGGTGTGATGGAGCACGGTGGGTGTGGCAGTGTGGAGCGGGTGTGATGGAGCACGGTGGGTGTGGCAGTGTGGAGAGGGTGTGATGGAGCAGGGTGGGTGTGGCAGTGTGGAGTGGGTGTGGCAGTGTGGAGTGGGTGTGATGGAGCACGGTGGGTGTGGCAGTGTGGAGAGGGTGTGATGGAGCACGGTGGGTGTGGCATGGCAGTGTGGAGTGGGTGTGATGGAGCAGGGTGGGTGTGGCAGTGTGGAGCGGGTGTGATGGAGCACGGTGGGTGTGGCAGTGTGGAGCGGGTGTGATGGAGCACGGTGGGTGTGGCAGTGTGGAGAGGGTGTGATGGAGCACGGTGGGTGTGGCAGTGTGGAGCGGGTGTGATGGAGCACGGTGGGTGTGGCATGGCAGTGTGGAGTGGGTGTGATGGAGCACGGTGGGTGTGGCAGTGTGGAGTGGGTGTGATGGAGCAGGGTGGGTGTGGCAGTGTGGAGAGGGTGTGATGGAGCAGGGTGGGTGTGGCAGTGTGGAGCGGGTGTGATGGAGCAGGGTGGGTGTGGCATGGCAGTGTGGAGCGGGTGTGATGGAGCAGGGTGGGTGTGGCATGGCAGTGTGGAGCGGGTGTGATGGAGCAGGGTGGGTGTGGGATGGCAGTGTGGAGCGGGTGTGATGGAGCACGGTGGGTGTGGCAGTGTGGAGTGGGTGTGGCAGTGTGGAGCGGGTGTGATGGAGCATGGTGGGTGTGGCAGTGTGGAGCGGGTGTGATGGAGCACGGTGGGTGTGGCATGGCAGTGTGGAGCGGGTGTGCCGGAGCACGGTGGGTGTGGCAGTGTGGAGCGGGTGTGCCGGAGCACGGTGGGTGTGGCAGTGTGGAGCGGGTTTGCTGGAGCACGGTGGGTGTGGCAGTGTGGAGTGGGTGTGGCAGTGTAGAGCAGGCTGTGATGGAGTGTGGAGCGTGGGAGGGGCTTGGAGACAGTGACAGCAGGGTGTGTTCACTGTCTGGTGCTTGAGGCACCTCTGTTCCTGGCTGGTGTCCCAGCTTCCGGGACCTGGGGCTCTGCCAGTGAGCCCGGGGAACAGCCCTGGAGTGCCACATCAGCGTTCAGAAGGCTCCCTGCTCCAGAACTCATTCTTGCCCCCGAACAATCAGTCCTGACGGAACACGACGAAGCAGAACTGACTGCCCGCTGCAGCATGTTCTGGAACTCACCACTTGCCCACGATCTTGCTGGTGTAGCCGGCCTCCTTCAGGAGCTCAGGCAGCAGGCGCTCCGAGCTGGGGATGCCCCCCACCACGTCCTGCGGTGTGTACGCTGGAAGGACAACGTGACCCTGAGCTCGGGGCATGCCCTGAGAACCCCCCCCCCCACCGCCGTAAGGCAGCTGCCACCAGGGGCAGAGTTAGGGTGCAAGTCAGGGTTGTCGCAGGCATGCGCACATCAGCACCAGTGCAGGTAAGGGTGGATGTAAACGAGGCCCACTGGCTCACGCCTGTCACCCCAGCTGCTCACAGGGCTGAGATCTGAGGACCTCAGTTCAAGGCCAGCTCAGGAAGGAAAGTCTGTGAGACTCTATCTCCAATTAATCACACACACACACACACACACACACACACACACACACACAAGCTGGATGTGGCATTATGGTGGTGATAGTTTGAACTCAGGGCTTCGCGCTTGCTTGGACTGCTTGCACGACTGACATTCTATCACTTGGGTCATGCTGCAATCCTGCTTTTTGCTGGTGATTTCGGAGGTGAAGTCTCACAGACTCATCTGTCTGGGCTGGCTTTGAACTTTATCCTCAGTAGCTAAACCTCCTGAGTAGTTAGGATTGGATGGGAGCCACTGGTGCCAGCATGATGTGCTACTCCCCAGCCGCCCCGAGCATGCAGTCAGCCCCTAGCGGGAGGGGCGCCAGGGGGCTCGGGGTCCTCCAACCTCCGGTTCTCATCGAGCCAGTGTAGGAAGGAAGCCTGGTGCCTCTATCCACCTAACTCTGTTTTTAGGGGAAGAACAGGATCTGGTTCAAAACAACCGAAACAAACATCTGGCCTGCAGCGGGAGCTGCGCTGTACAGCTGAGATCCACCCTCCCCACACCTGGCCACAGGGCCTACCCTTTCCTGGGCATGCCGGGAGGACTAACCGTTTCTGGCGTGCGCGTTGGTGGTGTAGAAGCCATTGCGGATGGGCAGCCGGCCTGTGAGCAGAGCTGCCCTGGCTAGGTGGAGGGGATGAGGAGAGTCAGACCCGATCCGCAGGACCGCAGCCAGTCCCTCAGCCCCACGTGCGCCGTCCCGTGCGCGTCTGCCACACACACTTCACACCCCAGCTTCACCTCACCCAAGGGGCGTGCCCGCACCCCAAGTGGATGGAGGCCCGGGCCTCGGCCCGAGCTCAGCGTGTCTGGAGGCTAATGCCGCTTGGCCATCCTCCTCACGCAGGGTCACCCCACTTGTCCGCTGCTCCTCTTGGGCTAGCACTTCCGCAGGTGCCCTTCCAGCGGGTGAGTACCCACCGGGCGGGGGCACAGCTTCACTCCCTCTGCTATGCCCGGGACAGGAGGTGCTCCCCAGACAACTTCCTCAATCCTGCCCCAGCAGCGGGCATGGCCCTCCCCTCCCCTCGCCCTGACAGAAGGGACCGCACCCCTCCCCTCCCCTCCCCTCCCCCTGACAGAAGGGACCGCACCCCTCCCCTCCCCTCCCCTCCCCCTGACAGAAGGGGCCGCACCCCTCCCCTCCCCTCCCCTCCCCCTGACAGAAGGGGCCGCACCCCTCCCCTCCCCTCCCCCTGACAGAAGGGACCACACCCCTCCCCTCCCCCTGACAGAAGGGACCGCACCCCTCCCCTCCCCTCCCCCTGACAGAAGGGACTGCACCCCCCAGGCTGGGCGGAGCGTGGAGGCTGTGCAGGGCCTGGCTGGCCTCCCCCAGCCCGGGTCAAGGGCCAGCGCTGACTTACACGGTGAACAGAGAGGGTTGGCAGAATAGAAGTTGGGGAAGAGCATTCCTTCCGCAGCCATCCGGTCCAAATTTGGAGTCTCTCGGGAAGGCTCCCCATACACCCCCAGGTCGCCCCACCCCATCTGCAGGGAAGAGCAGAGGAGGAGTGAGATTCGGTGAGCGGCATGGCTATCGTGGGGTGTGGCGTGGGTCCACTCCCTCAGGCTCCTGTGAGCCGCAGAGCCGACACCAAACCCCACAGAGCTGCAGCAGCTCAGCAGGGCCGCCGCACCGCCTGTCTTCCAGGCTTGCTCGCCGGCTCACTCTTCTTCTCCAGGGGAGATGTCTCACGTGTACCCTCCTCTCCAGCCGCTCTGGGCCCGGCTTCAGCACACTCGTGTGTCTGTTTTCAGCATAAGGAAGTTCAAAGGCAAGCAGCGAGGTTCTCAACGATGAACGGGACTCGCCAGACGAGCCCCAGGCCCCTCGGCAGAACTGAAAAGTCACACCCAGGCGTCCAGGATGCCCAGAGCAGCCCGCCGACCACTGCCGGGAGCCCTTCCAGTCAGCCCCCCAGTCACATCCACTTGGGATTTCTGGGTTAGGGCCAACCACCATCCTACATGGTAGTGTCATGAAGGAGATAGACGCCAGGAGACTGCAGGGCAGCGGCTGAGCAGAGCTGAGGGAGCCAAGGTGGGCCGGGACCTCCCCACGGACTCCGCCTGGGCCCACCCTGCCACCTGGCAGGGGAGGGCGGAGGCCTGCGTTTTCAGGCCTCTGCTTTGCCACCACTCATTATACTTCCCAGGACTGGCATACACAGCTCGGGATGTGATCCAGCCATAAAGGACACGTGCCCCAACTCTGCTGCACCCTGAACACCGTGCTGAGGAAGGCGCCAGGCACGTGGTGTGTGGCTCATTTATGCGCCATTCTCTCAACGGGCCGATCCACGGGGCAGAGCAGGATGCAGCCTGCCAGGGGCTGGCTGGCTGATCAGGGTGACTACGAATGGGTTCATGTTCGGGGTGATAGAATGTTCTGGAGCAAAAAGGGATGATAGCTGTGCAGTAGTGTGCGTGTATAGGTCGCTGGATTATAGTTATGCAGTAAATTTGACATCCTATGTGCACCCTACCACAATGACACAGTAATGCTCAGCCACGGAGGAGGGAAGGGCCGCCACATTGGACTGTGGCAGCCCTCCAAACACAATGTAAGCGGGACACGCACGCACAACTCACTCACGCAGACTGTCCAGAAAAAGCAAACTCACCACGCAGAAGCAGATTGGGGGCTTGGAGGTATGGCTTAGGTGGTAAAGCACCTACCTACCAAGTGCAAGGCGCTGAGTTCAAACCCTAGTACTGCCCAAAAAAGAAGTAAATAGGTTGTGGTTGTTGCACCGGTGTGTGTGTGTGTAGGTGAAGAATGACGGCAGGCAGGGCCAGGATTTCTGTGAGGTGACAAAATGACCTAATGTTCAGCACAGTGGCGGCTTCACAGCTGTAAGTATGCTGAAGCTACCGCTCCATATGCTTATGTTTCAATGTGGTTCTGTGAGAGCAAGCGCCGGCAAGCTGGTGCTCTGCAGATGTCTGGCAAGGCTCCGTGGCTGTCCTAGGCTGGCTCTTTGGACTCAGGGGGAAGTGGTCAGGGCCTGTGTGCAGGAGCGTGCCCCCTGGCTGAGCAGCCATGGCAGGCAGGAGATCCCCTGGTGATGGTCTCACATGGATGGCTTGGTGTTAGGGCTGCCAGGCCAGGCTGCTGTCCAGACACAATGCTGAATGCCCTCTCTCTGCCTATGAGGACTGTCCCGGGGGTGACCTGCTGCATCTCCCAGGTGAGGCTTCCTGCTAGAGGACTCTGGGAAGGCATGGTGCCCAGAGCTGCTGGGGTCAGGCTGAAGCCCTCTAGGGCACAGGGACTGTGGGACTTGGCTCTGTTTAACCCTTTCAATGTTGAGTCCCTGTGGAAACCATTTGAAGTAGCTGAAACAGCTTTTCCATCTGATGACAACGACATTGGGGCCAGCTATGGGGAAGGAGACAGAGAGGAAGGCAGAAGGCAGGGGCCGGGAGGCTGAAGCAGCTGCACGAGGTCCAAGTGGATAAGGCACTCAGGGACGTGAGTCACTATGACCACAGGCCCTGAGGCAAGTCTGGGATGGAGCCAGCCAGCGTGTCTGTGGTGGGGGTGGAGCACTCTCAGGATGATCTTACCCCTCCCCCACAGGGCAGCTCCCCCAAGCCAGCTGGAGGTTCCTTCCTGCTCTACCTCCTGACGTACAGCTTTGTCCTCACAGCACTGCAGTGGCTGCACCTCTGAGTGTCCATATTCTGGATAGGAGGAGCAGAGAGGCAGAGGCAGGGCACACGTGCAGGGCCTTGGTCTGTGCCTGACGCCAAGTTCAAAGGTCAGATCTCAGTCAGCAGGAAGGTTTTCGTCGCTGGCCAGGAGGCAGAGCAGGAATCAGGATGTGTGCAGACAGCCGCAGCTGTGTGCACAGCAAGCTAGCCCAGGGGTCTGCACTGGGGCTGGAGGGGCGGTCTGGGGGACCAGGGACGCTCCGTGGGTCCCATTCCCATGGCCCTACAGTGGGAAATCCAGGTGAACTCAGATGGGTCCAGGCCTGGGGCTGGGTGGGCCAGACCCACGTAATTGCCAGCTCACAGGTTCAGACGTGGCAAGGCGTCTGCAGGACAGGGAGAACGTGAGGTGAGGGAGCCTGGGCAACAGCGGGCGGAGCAGCCCGGAGGCCTTGTGAACACTGGGCTCTTGGGGGTCCCTGTGCTGCCTCAGGCTGCACCTTTTACCTCCCAGCCACCCCTGCCACACTGAGAGCCTGCCGCGCTCATCACCAGCACACCTGCCTGGCGTGCCCACAGAAAACCTAGCGGGAACCTCCCAGCTGGACAGGTCAGCAGGCCGTGCTCGGTCAGGAACAGGACCCCGGTCAGGCAGAGGGACCCCTGGAGCAGAACTACTGCCTAAGTCTGCTGACGGCAGGAATTAGTGAGTCTAAAGTTTCCTGAGTCCACCACCAGCCTGATGAAGCTGGGGTAGCCTAGCTACCCTAATTAGAAGCCCGGGAGTTTCCAGTTTTGCTTAAGTTATTTGAGTTCCTTTTCTGTTATTTGATTAATACATGTTTTTGACCAGGACTGAGATGTTGGATTTTTTTTTTTTTCCAGTACTGGGGCTTGAACTCAGGGCCTAGACACTGTCCCTAAGTTTCTTTTGCTCAAGGATAGCAGTAGAGTACTTGGGCCACAGACACTTCCAGTTTTTTCTGTGTATGTGGTACTGAGGAATCGAACCCAGGGCTTCATGCATGCGAGGCAATCACACCACCAAGTCCCCTCCCCCTGGAAAGCCCCAGGGTGTTCTGGAGGTGGCTTGGTGCTAGTTGCCTTCCACTCTAAAATGGTGCTGCCCCATAGGATGATTTCACATTTTCTAGAAGCCACACTAGAAAAGTGAGTAGGTAGCAGGGTGCTAGTGGCTCACGCCTGTAATCCTAGCTACTAAGGAGGCTGAGATCTGAGGATACGGTTCAAAGCCAGTCCAGGCAGGAACACCTGTGAGACTCTTCTCTGCAATAAAACCACTCAGAAAACCAGAAGTGGCGCTGTGGCTCAAGTGGTAGAGTGCTCACCTTGAGCTGAAGAGCTGAGGGACAGCGCCCAGGCCCAGAGTTCAAGCCCCAGAACTGACAAAAAAATAAAATAAAACAAAGTAGAAAAGGTTTTTTCAGAAATGACAGAGCCAAGTCTGCAGAGAGCCCTCAGGATAGGAGCCTGAAGAAGCTGAGAGCCCCAGGAAGGCAGTCGGCAGCCACGTACGTATGCGACGGTGGAGAGCACGCGTCCAGGGCTTCTAGCTGTGACCTCTGGGAGATAGGATTATGGTCTCACCTTAATTATCCAGTCTTTTACATTTAGATTCAGATTCTCTGAACTCTAGACAGGTGTGGTGGTGTCTGCCTGTAATCACAACCTTAAAGTCTCTGAAATCTGAGTGCATCTTGCACACGCAGCCCTTCTAAATCGGACCAAGACCACCTGCAGATTGTGGCCACCCAGCCAGTCAGCACAGGACAGGTCTCTGGACACACAGAGCTGCATTGACCTTTAGTAACCAATGAGCACCTGCAAAAGCCCCAAACTGTCCTTACCCCATTACCAGGCCATGTTCCCCAAGAGGAATGTGCTTTAAAGAGAGGAAAGTCGGGCTGTCATTTCCTATTGATGCCCCCATGTGAAGTCGCCACTCCATTCCTGCTTCAAGGACTGTCCCATTGGACAACCAGGGACAGACAGCCCATCACATGGCTGGTGGGAGGAAGGGCCTGTACCCTCCTCCTGCACACACGTCCTCGGGTGCCATGTCCTCTTAGCTCCCACTGCGCGCGTGCATGCACACGCACACACACCTCCTCTCAGCCCCCCCCCCCGCACGCACACGCACGCACCCCTCCTCTCAGCTCCCCCTGCACACACACACACATGCACACCTCAGCTCCCCCTGCACACACACACACACACACACACACAGACACACACACACACACACACACACACACACACGCACACACGCACACCCTCCTCTCAGCCCCCCCCACGCACACGCACGCACCCCTCCTCTCAGCTCCCCCTGCACACACACACACACACACACCTCCTCAGCTCCCCCTGCACACACACACACACATGCACACCTCTCAGCTCCCCCTGCACACACACACACACGCACACACCCCCTCCTCTCAGCTCCCCCTGCACACGCACACATGCACACCTCTCAGCCCCCCCGCACGCACACGCACACGCGCACCCCTCCTCTCAGCCCCCCCGCACGCACACGCACGCACCCCTCCTCTCAGCCCCCCCGCACGCACACGCACGCACCCCTCCTTTCAGCTCCCCCTGCACACACACACACACACCTCCTCAGCTCCCCCTGCACACACACACACATGCACACCTCTCAGCTCCCCCTGCACACACACACACGCACACCCTCCTCTCAGCCCCCTGCACGCACACGCACACACGCACACCCTCCTCTCAGCTCCCCCTGCACACACACACATGCACACCTCTCAGACCCCCGCACGCACACGCACGCACCCCTCCTCTCAGCCCCCCGCACGCACACGCACACGCGCACCCCTCCTCTCAGCCCCCCCCCCCCCGCGCACACGCACACGCGCACATGCACACCCCTCCTCTCAGCCCCCCCGCACGCACACGCACACGCGCACCCCGCACGCACACGCACACGCACGCACCCCTCCTCTCAGCCCCCCCCGCACGCACACACCCTCCTCTCAGCCCCCCCCCCCCCCCCCCCCCGCCCTCACTCCCGCCCAGTCCCGGCCGGGGGCCGCCCGCGGGCACTCACGTCGTCCATGAGCAGCAGCACGATGTTGGGGGGCCGCGAGGCGCCGGGGGTCCCCAGCCCCGCGGCACTCAGCACTAGCAGCAGCTGCCACCCTCTCGGCGCGGCGGGCGCCGCGGCCATGCCTCACGCGGCCCGCGGAGCCGGACGCCAGCGCCCAGCCCAGAGCCGCGCGAGTCCGAGTCGGAGCCGGCGGCCGGCGGCGCGGGGCGGGGCGGGGCGGGGCCTCCCGCCGCTGACTGACAGAAGAGGCGGGCGGTGGAAAGACAGGAACGAGAGCCGGCGAGTGACGGGGCGGGCGGGACCACGGCGGGAAGGGGCGGGACCAACGCTTCCGGATGGGTAGGGCCAGAGCAGCCGGAGCCCGGTATGATTGGTTGTGTCCCGGGAGGCGGAGCCTTCTCGGCTGAATGACAGCTGGAGGTGAGGTTGAGGCCGGCAGCGGGTCACATGACGCGACGCGCGTCCTGCCAAGATGGCGGTGTGCATCGCGGTGATCGCCAAGGAGGTGCGTTCGGGCGGGTGGGCGGCGACCCCCGCGACCCGAGGGCTGCAGCGGCGGCCGCGGCCGCGTGGTCCCTCGCCACCCCTCTGCCCGCCTTGCACGCCGCGCCCGGGGCTGGGCCCCCCGGAGAGCCGGGCGGGCCGGGAAGCCGGGCGGGCCGGGCGCGGGCCGCCCTCCGCCCTCCGCCCCCGGCCCCGGCCCCGGCCCCGGCCCCGGCCTGCGCGCTCCGCCCGCCGCCCTCCGCCCTCCAGCCCCGGCCCCGGCCCCGGCCCTGGCCCCGGCCCCGGCCCCGGCCTGCGCGCTCCGCCCGCCGCCCTCCAGCCCCGGCCCCGGCCCCGGCCCCGGCCTGCGCGCTCCGCCCGCCGCCCTCCAGCCCCGGCCCCGGCCCCAGCCCCGGCCCCGGCCCCGGCCCCGGCCTGCGCGCTCCGCCCGCCGCCCTTCAGCCCCGGCCCCGGCCTGCGCGCTCCGCCCGCCGCCCTCCAGCCCCGGCCCCGGCCCCGGCCTGCGCGCTCCGCCCGCCGCCCTCCAGCCCCGGCCCCGGCCCCAGCCCCGGCCTGCGCGCTCCGCCCGCCGCCCTCCAGCCCCGGCCTGCGCGCTCCGCCCGCCGCCCTTCAGCCCCGGCCCCGGCCTGCGCGCTTCGCCCGCCGCCCTTCAGCCCCGGCCCCGGCCTGCGCGCTCCGCCCGCCGCCCTCCAGCCCCGGCCCCGGCCCCGGCCCCGGCCTGCGCGCTCCGCCCGCCGCCCTCCAGCCCCGGCCCCGGCCCCAGCCCCGGCCCCGGCCCCGGCCCCGGCCTGCGCGCTCCGCCCGCCGCCCTTCAGCCCCGGCCCCGGCCCCGGCCTGCGCGCTCCGCCCGCCGCCCTCCGGCCCCGGCCCCGGCCCCGGCCTGCGCGCTCCGCCCGCCGCCCTCCAGCCCCGGCCCCGGCCCCGGCCCCGGCCTGCGCGCTCCGCCCGCCGCCCTCCAGCCCCGGCCCCGGCCCCGGCCTGCGCGCTCCGCCCGCCGCCCTTCAGCCCCGGCCTGCGCGCTCCGCCCGCCGCCCTCCAGCCCCGGCCTGCGCGCTCCGCCCGCCGCCCTCCAGCCCCGGCCCCGGCCTGCGCGCTCCGCCCGCCGCCCTTCAGCCCCGGCCCCGGCCCCGGCCTGCGCGCTCCGCCCGCCGCCCTCCAGCCCCGGCCCCGGCCCCGGCCTGCGCGCTCCGCCCGCCGCCCTCCAGCCCCGGCCCCGGCCCCGGCCTGCGCGCTCCGCCCGCCGCCCTCCAGCCCCGGCCCCGGCCCCGGCCTGCGCGCTCCGCCCGCCGCCCTTCAGCCCCGGCCCCGGCCCCGGCCTGCGCGCTCCGCCCGCCGCCCTTCAGCCCCGGCCCCGGCCCCGGCCTGCGCGCTCCGCCCGCTGCCCTTCAGCCCCGGCCTGCGCGCTCCGCCCGCCGCCCTTCAGCCCCGGCCCCGGCCCCGGCCTGCGCGCTCCGCCCGCCGCCCTTCAGCCCCGGCCCCTGCCCCGGCATGCGCGCTCCGCCCGCCGCCCTTCAGCCCCGGCCCCGGCCCCGGCCTGCGCGCTCCGCCCGCGGGCGGCCGCGCCTTGCCTTCCGCTCCCTTCCCTCCGCCCCGCTCTCCGGTGCGGCCCTGGCGGCCTCCTCGCCGCCCCAGACTGGCCAGCCGGCCTGTACGCCGCCATCCAGCCTCAGTGCTCGGACAGGGCCTGCTGCGGGAGCCCCCGGGGTGCGCGGAGGCCACGGCCGGGGAGACTGCCCGAGGCCAGGGCCGTCCACGGGTGTGCTGCTCCTGGCACCGACAGACTCCCTTCCTGATGGTGGAGTCGTGTCCCCATTAATCCACGTCCAGAAAGCTGTCCGGAGTCAAAGGAGGGGATGGAGCCCAAGAGAAGAGCTGTGCATTCCAGGGTCAGGACCCTCAGAACTGGAGATGAGTGGGTTTGAGGTGATCGTGTTTTGCGTGGTGTGTAGGAAGCAGGATCACAGTGCCATGCTAGGATGGCCTGCACACAGTGAGAGGCAGAGTGGATCCCTGGCGAGTGACTCACCAGGTGACAGGGTTTGTGGTCAGGCTGTGTTCAAAGCCATTTTCCTGAATTGTCTTCACACCTCTGCAAGCAGCACGTAGGCCTGCTGAGTGGAAAGCAGTTCCTACTGCAGCGTGGAGAATCAAGCTGTAGATTTTGGAGGCGTTGCATTCTCCACCGATGGTTGGTTGGTTAGCCATGCACACACCTCAAGAGGCGCATTTTAGAGCTGAAACCTGCGGGTGGGTGGACTGTTCAGCTATCACCATTCTTTCTTGCAGAATTATCCTCTCTACATCCGCAGCACCCCCATGGAAAATGAGCTGAAGTTCCATTACATGGTGCACACATCCCTGGATGTGATAGAGGAGAAGATCTCTGCCATGGGGAAGGCATTAGTGGACCAGAGGGAGCTCTACCTGGGCCTACTGTACCCGACCGAGGACTACAAGGTGTATCCTTCCTGGAAAGAAAAACATGAGGGTTTTCAACTGGATGGGCAGCTGGGGTGGCCTGAAGCTAATGAAGGCCTGAACTCTGGGCCTGAGCGCTGTCCTTCAGCTCTTCAGTGTAAGGCAAGTGCTCTACCACTTGAGCCACAATACCACTTCCAGCTTTCTAGTGATCAATTGGAGATCAGAGTCTCATGGACTTTCCTGCCTGGGCTGGCTTTGAACCACGATCCTTAGATCTCGGCCTCCTGAGTAGCTAGGATTACAGATGTAAGCCACTGGTACCTGACACCTCTAACCTTTTGGAAGACTAGTTTGGAAAAAAAAAAGAAGCTGGAGGACCCAGGCCTCCTAAGTTTGTACCTGTAAGATGTCTCCTCGTGTTTCAGGACCATCACCTTTGGGCAAGGGTGATTGTTTCACTTATTTCACTATAAATGATTGTTACTTCATTATAAATATTTACGTACATAAATGTATTTATTTGCTATATCATTGTTAGGTACTCTCAAAATGCGTGGCAAATCCTTTGGAAAAAGTGCTCAAGATCACGGAGTTCAAGGACATTCTTGTAGGGAATAATATAGCTGTCCATGCTGATAGTGACCCAGGAGCAACTGACATGGCCTCCAGAGGAGGTTCATCTTACTTGTGAAGACTTGACTGTGTGAGCAGGGCCCAGCATTCACTTAGACCTGTGCAGGTGGTCAGTTCACAGGGCCTGTGAATTTTGGGCCTTAGCTTCCTCTGCTCCTGCAGCAAACACTAATCAGTGCCCAAGGAATGTCCTGGCCTGGGCCTTTGCTGGGATTGGAAGGCGTCAGGCTTCTCCAGAATGAGGCACACAGAGATCCCAGGTTCCCAGGCTCTCGACCGGGATGTGTGTCATTTGTTGTAACCGAGTCCTTGTGTCAAAGCAAACTCCTTAGCCAGCTGTGCAGATACGGGTATGTGACCAACTCCAAGGTGAAGTTTGCCATGGTGGTGGATTCCTCCAACACAGCCCTTCGGGACAATGAAATTCGTAGCGTACGTTCCAGGGGTTGGGGGCCACGCCTGGATGGGTGGCTGGGTTCCATTTCCCTTTCTTTGTGGTAAGATGCTGAGGAGCCAGAATTCTGGTACTGGTCTTCTTGCAAGTTTATTTTAGCTGTTGTTGGGTTTTGTTCCAGATGTTCCGTAAGCTGCACAATTCCTACACAGATGTGATGTGCAACCCCTTCTACAACCCTGGTGACCGCATCCAGTCCAGGTGGGCCTACTCTCCTTACCTTGCTGCAGCCTTCTGGTGTGGAAAGTCCCCAGCCTCCCAGTTTCAAAGTGGCAAGGCCTTTTTACCAAATCATTGCTGATGCAGACGGCCCTCTACCCAGCAGATGTGGGGTGTAGTGGGGCGGGGGTCTGTGTATGCCTGGGGACATACAGACAGTTCTCAAGGGTCCAAGCTAGGAGCAGCAGCCTTTAGGCACAGAAGTCATTATCTATCCTGCCTTCTGTGGTGAGCAGAGCAGATGCTTGACTACAGGTGTCTTTCAAACAGCCCCCAGGTAGAATTGATATGTGAGCATTCATGCCTGTAATTCATGGCAAGTGTGGGTTCTATGTGTATGTCTATCCAGGAATTGCTAAGGGACTCCTTCCTGCATGCCTTTCCTTGGCTGGGCACTGGTGTCTTGGGTCAGTGCTCTGTTCTAGGGGAGAGCAGGCAGGTGTCCTTGAACTGTGTAGGGTGAGGACAACGCTGCCCACGCACTTTGGCCTTGGCCTGGGAGATCCTCCAGGGAAGATGGTGGGACTCTGACAACACTGCAGAGGTGGAGTCCGTGTACCCAGCACGGCGGGCTCCTACCCCAGCTGTCTGTGGGGTCTTCTTCCTTGAAGCCCCTGGAGGGTGGGGTGGGGGATGGGAGCTGGTCCTGCTGAGCCAGTGGTTTCTCTTTGCAGAGCCTTCGACAACATGGTGACGTCGATGATGATCCAGGTCTGCTGAGAGGCGGCTCTGCTGCTGAAGACAGTGTACGCGCCAGTTTGGAGCCGGCCATCCCTTCTTTCCTCTTGCTGAGTGTGACAGGTGCACCAGGCGGTGGCCTTGTGCCATGTCCTCCACTAAAGGCCTTGTGAGCTGAGATCTGCTCTGTCCTGTATTAGCAGAGGACTAAGCTAATAACCTTCCAGGGACCAGATGCAGCAGGACCCAGTTCCCGGTGGAATGGGGTGGGGGGAGGGAGGCAGGTTGCCCCTAGGTAGGATCTGGGATGCACTGGGGAGGGCCCTGGGGAGAGGACGCGGGCCTCTGCTGGGTCCTCTCTGGCTGAGCAAGTCTCTAGGGGTCAGGGTGGAGGCGATTCAGGGTACTTACCTTCCCATGCTGAGTTCTGAATTGCTGTGAAATCAAGAAAGCCTCATGAGCCAGGCACCGGTGGCTCACGCTTCTCATCCTAGCTACTCAGGTTCAAAGCCAGCCCTGGCAGGAAAAGCTGTACAACTCTTATCTCCAATAAACCACCAGAAAACTGGAAGTGGTGCTGTGGCTCAAGTGGTAGAGCGCTTGCCTTGAGCTAAAGAGCTGAGGGACAGCACTCAAGCCCAGAGTTCAAGCCCCACGACCAACCAAAACAAAAAAGCCTCGTAGACCACACATCTGACCAGCTGCAGTTTCCAAATGCCCAGAGAGCAGGGGCAAGCCTTTTCCGGGTCTCAGGGGCCCCAGAAGTTAGAAGATGGCCTGGGGCTCCGGGGCCCTGCGGCCCTGCAGACAAGCCAGAGCTCCCCAGTTGGTTGCCTTCCCCAGTCCTGTGCAGCCGGCGTCTAGAGGACAGCCCGTGACCAGGGCAGTGGGAGCAGCTGCTTCCTGGCATCCGTGGTGGGGCTGGTGCCCCTTGGGTCACCTGACACCATGGCAAGCCATGGGGGCCATCTGTGGACCCAGGCCCATTGGTGACCCTGCTTCACGCTGGCTTCTGAGCCACCAGCTCCCGGCAGTCTCTGAAGGCTTGGTCAGGGCTCGTCAGAGAAGCTGTCTGCAGCTCTGACTTGCTTCCCTTCTAGGGAGCACAGGTTCATTTTTTAACTTCCCTGAGAAGCCCCAGGCCTACCTGGTGAGCAGGCAGCGGGGCCTAGAAGGACAGCAAGTGAGCACCAGTGCTGAGCCTGATACTTGTGTCGGAGGATGGGGCAGGATTGGGTGGAGCTGCCCGGAGTGGTCACCCCGTCTGCAGGCTGCCTGCCTCTGCCCGTTCCCTTGGGTTCCTGGAGACAGGGTGAGGCTGCGTGTTCCTTCCGTAGCACAGCAGGTGTGAGGTGTGGAGAGTCCTGTGGGAAAGCCCTGTGGATGGGGAGGAGGTGCCCTTCACCTCTGCCTTCCTGCCTGCTACTTGGCGGTGACCACTGGAGCTCACACTGCCTTCTTGAGATGTGGGGACGAGATTCACGCGCAGGATGGAGCAGAAAGCAAGAAGCCTGTGCGAGTGGCCAGCCCTGGACTGGCTACGCTCAGCCTCTCCTGTGAGAAAATAAAATTCGCCCTGTCCTGAGCCACTGCTGTGTGGGATTCCTGTTAGCAGCAGCCCATCCAGGCCTCAGGCTCTAGAAAGCAGGGCTTTGCCGCCTGCTGGCCTTTGTGCTGCCCACATCACCTCTGCGGGGCCTTATCTCCACACTCGAGGCTGAGCCTGGCAGAGCTGCTCAGGCAGCCTTGGTCAGCTGTGGCTCTTCGTCTAGGTGCCCTGTCGTGTATCCCTGCCTGCTGTGCTTGTCTGCCCACCCCATGCTTCCTGTGCCCACAATGGAGCAGTAGCCTGGGGTCCTTCCCACTCTGGGGGTGCTTGCTTCAGCTCCCCATCCCAGCTGTGCAAGCCTGAGTCAGGGAGAAAAAAGACCCCCAGGCCCTCCTTAGAGCAGCTCACTCTATGGTACGGGTCTGATGACGGGCCTTCCCACCTGAGGGCATGGTGGCAGCCATGCAGAACAGAGGCCATCCCCTCTGCTTTGGGGACACCCTGCTGGGCTACGGGAGTTATCCAGACCGCAGCTCAGCCCCTGCAGCCCACGGGCTCCTGAGGGCAGGCCCTGCCTTGGGAAGGCTCCCCCTTAGCCTCAGAAAGCAACCAGACCACTCCATTTCCCCAGGGCAGGTAGTCCTGGGAGCTGCAGTGGCTGGCAGGGCAGATCTGGTCACTACAAGACTCCTGGGGCTGGAGACAGGTCAGGCTGTGCGTTCTTGGAGGCCTTCCTACTACCACTGACCAGCTTCCTCCTGCCGCCGACCTGCTCAGAGCGCTCAGAGCAGCAATCCCTACAGCAATCCCTACGGTTCTGAAGAAAGAATGTTTAATGAGGGGGGCAGGGCCAGTTCTGGCTTAGAGCCTACCCAGATAGCCCAGGGCAATCTCACCTGGAGATCTCCAGTTAATGCCAGGTAAAGACATTTGCAAAGGATTCTGGTGAGGCAGCTATGTTTTGGGGAACACCATTCACCTTAGTAGACGCAGTGCTGTCTCAAGGTCAGAGGTTGAGTGACCCTGGGGTGTACGGCAGACCAGCACCCGGAGGCTGAGCAGGGTGGGCACCGGTCCCAGGTCTCAGTGCTGGAGGCAGGGTGTGGGTTAGGGCTGAGAGAGAGCGCTCGGCAGCTCCGTGGGGCTCAAGGAATAAAGTGAGCAGAGGCGAGGGGTCACCTCGGAGCTGTGAGCTTCTGTTAGTGACTCGTTTGACGAAATGTGCACTGGAGGACCTGGGCCTGGCCCAGCCTCCTTTCTGCCTCGGACCGCAGTCAGTGCAGGATGGCTCCGTCCATGGAGAAGCCGAGTGTCCCTACTTTCACCGGGGCCACCATGGGCCCACATGGAGGTGGGTGAGGCCTCCGCCACTCGTCCCTGAGCTGACGGGACAGGGCTCCAACCTGGAGGGTGGGCTGCGTGTTGGGGGCTGCCCTCTTTGCTCACAGCGCATCGTGGGGTACAGCGGGGACCCATAGCCATATCACATGTCCACCCTTTCTTTGGGGGACCCAGAGAAAAGACAACATGAGTCAGGAGGAGACAGCAGATCTATATCTTTAAAAAAACTCTAATTACTGATACTTTATTGCTGACACACACACACACATTTCTATTTTTCTTTAAAACCAGTTAGCTGAGGAGTCCAGGGTGTGAGTCCTGGCTGACCCTCCCCTCCCTCCTCTTCCCTACCCAGAGTTCCCAGGCCTGGTCCACTTGCCGTGCTGTGTGCATGGGGCGCAGGCCACCCCGAAAGGCCCTTACAGGCCGTCCTGACGCACAGACGTGTCCTGGAACAAGTGCTCCCCTGAGGAGCACGGCGGATCACTCCACACCCAGCCTCTACGATCGCCCGTCAATGTGATCTGAACCTCTGGGAGAGTCTTCCTCCACCTCTGCACAGGGAGCCAGCACAAAGGCAGGCTGTGGCTTTCGGGAGGGAGGGCTGTGGGGAGGTTGCGGATCCACCTCCCCCAGCTCCTGGCTCTCTTAGGAGGGTCCTCAGAAGTGGAGGGCACTTGGGGCCTGGGAGCGCGCAGGCCATGGGAGCCAGCTGCAAAGCCACCCCTGCGGGGCCTCTGGGGACCAGTGCGGGACGCACCCCAGCTGGGAGCCTTTGGGATACTGACTGGGCCCTGCCTGAGGGCCTGGTTGCCGTGGCTCTGGAGCTAGTGCGGACTGCGGCCGGCCCTGAGCCCCCGTCAGGGCCAGGCTTGCTTGCCTCCCCCCCGCCCCCCCGCCCCTGCCTAGCCACTTACCGGCCCTGCCTGAGTCCCCGCTGCGCTCTGGGTGGAGGCCTTTGTGGGGGGCTCTGAGGGCAGGGCATGGCCCTGGAGCCCCGACGTGCCCACAGTCCTCCACGGTCTGTGGAGCTGATCCCGGGGAAGTTGGTCCTCTTGGGCAGTACCTGGAAAAAGGCCCCGTTGGCCGCCAAGCCTGTTCACCAGCCCCCCCGGCCACCTCTCTGGAGCAGCCTGGAGTCTGGGCCAGGCTGGCCCCCAGGCTTGAGCTTCGCCACCTCTCCATCACCACTGAGGCCCCAGCTGTCCCTCCGCCACTGCCCGGACACAGCTGGGGCGCATGACCTACCCAGGCACCAGCCAGGTCCTGCCTCTGCCTGCCCTGCCCAGCACAGGCCCCAGGAGCAGAGAGGGGCCGGGCTGGGAGGCGGGGCGTCCCGAGGCAGGTGGCCTGCCGTGTTCAGTCACCGAGGGGTATTGCGCAGAGGGCTCGGCACCCAGGGTGGCCCACAAGCTGGAGATAGGCTGGACACACCTTGATGACGCGTCCTCGGAAGGTCCTCTGGTTCAGCTCCACTGCGGCCTGGACAGAGCTCTGGGAGGCAAACTCTATGTAGGCATAGCTGGGGGTGGTGGGGTCCAGGATGAGAGCCCAGGCCCCGTCTGCCCACTGGGCGCTGCCTGTGCTGCCCACACTGTCCACACTGCCCACGCTGCCCTCACTGCCCACTGCCATGCTGCCCACGCTGCCCACGCTGCCCATGCTGCCCACACTGCCCACTGCCATGCTGCCCACACTTCCCACGCTGCCCACACTGCCCACGCTGCCCACGCTGCCCACACTGCCCACTGGGCACTGCCCATGCTGCCCACACTTCCACTGGACATTGCCCATGCTGCCCACACTGCCCACTGGGCTCTGCCCGTTCTGCCCACACTGCCCATGCTGCCCACACTTCCACTGGACATTGCCCGTGCTGCCCACACTGCCCACTGGGCACTGCCCATGCTGCCCACACTTTCACTGGACATTGCCCATGCTGCCCACACTGCCCACTGGGCACTGCCCGTTCTGCCCACACTGCCCATGCTGCCCACACTTCCACTGGACATTGCCCGTGCTGCCCACACTGCCCACTGGGCACTGCCCATGCTGCCCACACTTTCACTGGACATTGCCCATGCTGCCCACACTGCCCACTGGGCACTGCCATGCTGCCCACACTGCCCATGCTGCCCACACTTCCACTGGACATTGCCCGTGCTGCCCACACTGCCCACACTTCCACTGGACATTGCCCGTGCTGCCCACACTGCCCACTGGGCACTGCCCATGCTGCCCACACTTCCACTGGGCACTGCCCATGCTGCCCACAGCCCATACTGACCCCTTGGGGTGCCCTGAGAACTTGTCACACAGGATGGTGACGCGATGAACCTCCCCGCACTGGTTGAAGTAGTTCTCTAGCTCCTGGGCTGTGCCCCTGTAGTCCACCTGTTCACAGACGGGCATTGCGCTGGGCACCGCTGGGCTGTGCACAGGCACGGCACTGTCCTGTGTGCACTCACTGGGGCTTTGCAGGAGTGTCATGGCATAGCGGGGGGGGGACCCCAAGGATGAGCCTCTGGCAGGGAATGGCCTGGTCACTGCCTCCTGCACAGGGCATGTCCATGCATCCTGGCTTGTGCAAGGTGCACATGGCCGCATAAAAGTAATACGTCTTGCTGAGTGAGGTGGCTCACGCCTGTAGTCCCAGCTACCCAGGAGGCTGAGATCTGAGGGATCACAGTTCAACTCATCTCTACCAAAATAAGCCAGAAGTGGAGCTGTGGCTCAAGTGGTAGAATGCTAGCCTTGAGAAGAAAAAACAGAAAAAGCTCAAGGACAGCATTAGGCCCCGAGTTCAAGCCTCAGGGCAGCTGTGCGTGCATGTGTGTGCGTGTGTGCATGTGCATGCACGCGCACACACGTAAATCTTGTCAAGCCAGGTGGTACATGCCTATAAGGCAAGAGTAAAAGGATCCTGGTCTGAGGTCACCCCCCAGGGAAAAATAATCAAGACCCGATCCGGACAATCAGGCAGAAAAGGGTTGGGATGTGGCTCAAGTGGTGGAAGGCTTGCCCAGCAAGCAAAGGCCTCCGAGTTCAAACCCCAGTCCCACCACCAGTCCTACCCCCGGTCCCACCCCTGGTCCCACCCTCAGTCCTACCCTCAGTCCCACCCCAGTCCCACGCCTGGTCCCTTCCCCGGTACCATCCCCCAGTCCCCCCCTCATCCCACTCCCAGTCCCCCCCCCCTTCCTCCCCAGCCCCACCCCAGTCCCACCCCCAGCATCACAAAGTAGGAACTCTCATGTGAAAGCCAGCACACAGCCAGCAGGCCCACACAGGCCCACGGTGTGCCAGCACGCCCAGCTCTCCAGGGCCCTGGAGGGACTTCTGTCTGCACCACAGATAGACCCCTGCTCATCTGACCACTATGAGGAACAGGGCCAGCTCCGTGTGTCCATGCAGGGGGTCCTGGGGTGGACGGCCAGCCCGTCCAGCAGAGGGGCCTGAGTGTCTGGGGCCTGTGTTAGGATGGGATCACCTGCCCGCCTCCCCACTCACGTTGCCCACAAAGATGGATCTGTGGTCAGCCTCCACCTTCTCCTTGGGGAGCTCTGGGAAGGGGCGTCCTGCAGAGGGAGGGCCTCGTGGTCAGACCTCCATGGGGGAAGCCCGTTCCTCGCCCCACCCTGGCCTCCAGGGAGGCTGTGCCCCCCCCCAGGGCACCGTCTTAGCTATGAATCTGATACCTGGGGTGGGCAGAATGGGAAGCCACTGGAGGCCCATAGGGGCCCCCAGCTTCCTACCTGTGGCTTTGGGGCTCAGCCGCCTCCAGGCTCTGAGACCCTTCTCCTCTCTGGCGTCTTCCTGAGAGCAGAGTGGTTCTGGTGGCTCCTCGGCCTGCTCCAGACCAGTGTGAGCTCAGGCTTCTGGCTCCTGCCAGCCCGCCCCAAGGTGAGCCCTCCGCCGGCCTGGCAGGCGACTCAGACCCAGGGAGCCACCTTCTCTCTGGACTAGGCACGCTCCTCCTGCCGGCGCTCAGGCTGGGCAAACGCCCCTGCTCGCACCCAGCTCCCTCACAGGGCCTGGCGGCCAACCGCCTTGGCTTCCCAGTGTCTCTCCCAGGCAGGAGGAGCCGCCAGCAATCCCCACCCGGCCCTGGCCCCGGCCCGCGCCCCACGTCCACACCCACACCCCACGTCCACACCCACACCCCACTGCTACCCGGTCAGGTACAGGGCACTGGGCCAGGTCCGCCAGCTCCAAAAGAGACAGGGAGAAGCCTTCATCGTCTTCATCATCCTCAGCTCTTCCAGCCCCTCGCCTGGGGCCTGGAGGGGTCTTCCTGGCTCCACCCCAGGCCCCCCAGCCCTGGGCCTCGGGGTCCAAGGACACGGTCTGAAGCCAGGCCTCGGTGGGAGGCGGGAAGAGCGCAGAGCTCAGGAAAGGCCACATGGGTGAACGACGGGGAGACCTGGCCAGCCTCGGCACCATGCAGCCCACGCCCGCCGGCCTGTCTTCAGCCATCCGCCGGGCCAGGTGCTCCCCCTCCAGCACTTAGGGAGGCCTTCCCAGCTGGCTGCTCCTGCCTAACTTGGCTTTCCCAGGCTGAGGGTCAGATATTGTGAGCCCTCCCCTGCGCGGAGGGAGAGCGAAGGGACCGGTCACCCACCAGCTGGGCTGTGTGCTGAACGTGCCCTGGGGGCACACCTGTCCCCAGACCACAGGCCCCAGCCACAGGGCTGCCCGGGCCTGCTTCCTGAGGGGGCAGCCAGGGCTTGGCCTCCTCCAGGGCCCCTCCCTCCTCCTGCAGGGCCCTTCCCTCCTCCAGGGCCCCTCCCTCCTCCTGCAGGGCCCCTCCCTCCTCCTGCAAGGCCCCTCCCTCCTCCTCCAGGGCCCCTCCCTCCTCCTGCAGTGCCCCTCTCCTCCACAGTGCTCCACTTGGAACTTTGCAGCCTCACCTCTCCTTAGTCTAACTGGCTGTGCCCCTGATTCCCTATTAGGTGCCAGGGCCAGATGTGCACACGTCCCTCCCCCACTCCATAGGGGCCCTCTGGCGCCCCTGCCTGGCCAGACCTGCAGTCATGGTTCCTGGGACTGCCCCCACACCTCTCCCCCGGGAGCCCAGGCTAGCAGTGGACACCTGCAGGAGCTGCTCCCCGCACTAGAGCTGGCTGGGCAGAGAGGTGAGGAGATGAGGCCTGCTGCCCTCCAGGGAGGCCATGGGCCTCTGTCCCCAGCCTGGCTGCCCACACCACAGCCTGGAGGCCACACCACAGCCTGGCTGCCCACACCACAGCCTGGAGACCACACCACAGCCTGGCTGCCCACACCACAGCCTGGAGACCACACCACAGCCTGGAGACCACACCACAGCCTGGAGGCCACACCACAGCCTGGAGACCACACCACAGCCTGGAGGCCACACCACAGCCTGGCTGCCCACACCACAGCCTGGCTGCCCACACCACAGCCTGGAGACCACACCACAGCCTGGAGACCCACACCACAGCCTGGAGACCCACACCACAGCCTGGAGACCACACCACAGCCTGGCTGCCCACACCACAGCCTGGCTGCCCACACCACAGCCTGGAGACCCACACCACAGCCTGGAGACCACACCACAGCCTGGCTGCCCACACCACAGCCTGGAGGCCACACCACAGCCTGGAGGCCACACCACAGCCTGGCTGCCCACACCACAGCCTGGAGACCACACCACAGCCTGGCTGCCCACACCACAGCCTGGAGACCACACCACAGCCTGGAGACCCACACCACAGCCTGGAGACCACACCACAGCCTGGCTGCCCACACCACAGCCTGGCTGCCCACACCACAGCCTGGAGACCACACCACAGCCTGGCTGCCCACACCACAGCCTGGAGACCCACACCACAGCCTGGAGACCACACCACAGCCTGGAGACCCACACCACAGCCTGGAGACCACACCACAGCCTGGAGACCACACCACAGCCTGGCTGCCCACACCACAGCCTGGAGACCCACACCACAGCCTGGAGACCACACCACAGCCTGGCTGCCCACACCACAGCCTGGAGACCCACACCACAGCCTGGAGACCACACCACAGCCTGGCTGCCCACACCACAGCCTGGAGGCCACACCACAGCCTGGAGACCACACCACAGCCTGGCTGCCCACACCACAGCCTGGCTGCCCACACCACAGCCTGGAGGCCACACCACAGCCTGGAGACCACACCACAGCCTGGAGACCCACACCACAGCCTGGAGGCCACACCACAGCCTGGAGGCCACACCACAGCCTGGAGACCCACACCACAGCCTGGCTGCCCACACCACAGCCTGGAGACCACACCACAGCCTGGAGACCCACACCACAGCCTGGAGACCACACCACAGCCTGGAGACCACACCACAGCCTGGAGACCCACACCACAGCCTGGCTGCCCACACCACAGCCTGGAGACCCACACCACAGCCTGGCTGCCCACACCACAGCCTGGAGACCACACCACAGCCTGGCTGCCCACACCACAGCCTGGCTGCCCACACCACAGCCTGGAGACCACACCACAGCCTGGAGGCCCACACCACAGCCTGGAGACCACACCACAGCCTGGAGGCCACACCACAGCCTGGCTGCCCACACCACAGCCTGGCTGCCCACACCACAGCCTGGAGACCACACCACAGCCTGGCTGCCCACACCACAGCCTGGCTGCCCACACCACAGCCTGGAGACCACACCACAGCCTGGAGGCCCACACCACAGCCTGGAGACCACACCACAGCCTGGCTGCCCACACCACAGCCTGGAGACCACACCACAGCCTGGCTGCCCACACCACAGCCTGGCTGCCCACACCACAGCCTGGAGACCACACCACAGCCTGGAGGCCCACACCACAGCCTGGAGACCACACCACAGCCTGGAGGCCACACCACAGCCTGGCTGCCCACACCACAGCCTGGAGACCCACACCACAGCCTGGCTGCCCACACCACAGCCTGGCTGCCCACACCACAGCCTGGAGACCACACCACAGCCTGGCTGCCCACACCACAGCCTGGAGACCCACACCACAGCCTGGCTGCCCACACCACAGCCTGGAGACCCACACCACAGCCTGGAGACCACACCACAGCCTGGAGACCACACCACAGCCTGGAGACCACACCACAGCCTGGAGACCCACACCACAGCCTGGAGACCCACACCACAGCCTGGAGACCACACCACAGCCTGGAGACCACACCACAGCCTGGAGACCCACACCACAGCCTGGAGACCACACCACAGCCTGGAGACCACACCACAGCCTGGCTGCCCACACCACAGCCTGGAGACCACACCACAGCCTGGAGACCACACCACAGCCTAGAGACCACACCACAGCCTGGAGACCACACCACAGCCTAGAGACCACACCACAGCCTGGAGGCCACACCACAGCCTGGCTGCCCACACCACAGCCTGGAGACCACACCACAGCCTGGCTGCCCACACCACAGCCTGGAGGCCACACCACAGCCTGGAGACCACACCACAGCCTGGAGACCACACCACAGCCTGGAGACCACACCACAGCCTGGCTGCCCACACCACAGCCTGGAGGCCACACCACAGCCTGGAGACCACACCACAGCCTGGAGACCACACCACAGCCTGGCTGCCCACACCACAGCCTGGAGACCACACCACAGCCTGGAGACCACACCACAGCCTGGAGACCACACCACAGCCTGGAGACCCACACCACAGCCTGGAGACCCACACCACAGCCTGGCTGCCCACACCACAGCCTGGAGACCCACACCACAGCCTGGCTGCCCACACCACAGCCTGGAGACCACACCACAGCCTGGCTGCCCACACCACAGCCTGGAGACCACACCACAGCCTGGCTGCCCACACCACAGCCTGGCTGCCCACACCACAGCCTGGAGACCACACCACAGCCTGGAGACCACACCACAGCCTGGAGACCACACCACAGCCTGGAGGCCACACCACAGCCTGGAGACCACACCACAGCCTGGAGACCACACCACAGCCTGGCTGCCCACACCACAGCCTGGCTGCCCACTCTGTTCTTAGCTCCATGCTGGGGTCTGCGAGGGCAGGACTTCTGCGTGTTGTCACGGGGTCTGACCAGAACTGGCCCCAGCCCCACACAGCTGCGCCCGCTCCTGTCTGCAGGATCCCAGGGCTCTGTGCTCTGGGTCTCCGCCTCCAGGGAGCCTCTGCAGCGGATCCTCCCCGCCGGGTGGCTACTGTGTCTGGGCCTTGCTGTTCCTGGGGCCGGGGCTCGTCCAGCCTTCTCAGGAAGGCATCGGTGCTGAGTCTAGGCGCGTTGGTCCAGGACGCTGCACAACTGCTGCTGCTCTCCTGGCGTGTTGGAGGTGGGGCAGGTCCCGGAGCGGAGGGTCTGGGGGGCAGACCGCCCTCTTCCTCCTTGTGGGAGGCAGGATGCTCAGACTGCCTGGGAGCCAAGACGGCTTGGCGTGGCCCAGCCCTGGCCGCCTTGCTCTGAGCTCAGCATCTGCGGTGGAGACATCAAGTCACGCCGCACACCCCCGGGGGTGCTGGGGACCCAGCCGGCTCCATGCTGGCTTTCTCCACGATGCCTTCAAATACATCTGTCCCAAGCCTTCTGAGGACTGACCGCAGCCGCTTCCTCCAGGCAGCCAGCAGCACCCCCGGAGCCCTGGGCCAGGCTTTTGGTTCGGGATAGCCCTTCTCTCTGGGCTCTTCTGCTGTGTCCCCTCTGACCTCTGGGTCCCACGGGGCCTCCGTATGCCCTCAGGTCCCCTCAGGAGGGATGCCCCGCAGGCAGGGCCACCGCTGGCCTGGCCCTGGAAGCCTTCAGGGAGGTCCCTGGGGTCCAGGGTTGCTTGAAGCCCCTGCATGGCTCTCCAGAGGACGGAGAACCGCTGTGGCCAGGGTGGTGGCCCTTCCCTCTCCCGTCCTGGCCCTGCCTCCTTCCCATCAGATGCCCACCCTTGCTCTCAGCCCCTGGTGAGCATCTGTCTCTTGCTGAGCACTGAGAAAGCCCCGGAGTGTCGGTGAATGTGTCCAAGGAGAGGCCAGGCCACGTGGTACCAAATGCTCCTTTATTACACAGACGCAGTTGACCTGGACACCGGGACTCACCGTGCCGCAGGCCACATGTACAGGACAGTGTGTGTGGGGGGCATGCTACAGCACCCACGGAGAACCGGCACTGTGGGGTGCAGCTTCTTAGGAAGAAAACAGCTCAACAAACACTCAGTCCAGCTCCTTTGAGGAAATGAGAAAAGCAGCAGCAGAGGAAGCGAGCCGTCTGTTCCCAGCAGGCCGTGCGTGGCTGCGCCCTGGGGCTTGCCGCGGCCTGCCACGGATGGGGCTGGTGTGCTGGAGGCCGGCTGGGTTCCCACCGGGTAGGAGCTGGACGCTGATGCCCTTTTCAGTCATGTAGAGACTAGGCTGTACTCAGTCTGATGCCGATTGCCCTGTTTTCTAGATCTCTGGGTCACAATGCCAGGGGCTGCTGAATTGGAACAAAAAAAAGCAGGCACAGTGGAGTTTTCTGGAGCTTGGGAGCCTGTGTGGGCCACTGTCCCCACGCGGGCTGTGCCAGGCTGAGCCAGGCCTTGCTGTGAGCTGCCAGGCCTTGCTGTGAGCTGCCAGGCTGAGCCAGGCCTTGCTGCGAGCTGCCAGGCTGAGCCAGGCCTTGCTGCGAGCTGTCTGGAGGAGCAGAGCGGCTCCTCAAGGCCGGTCTGCCCCACTTCCTCTCCTGCCAGCATGGGCCCACATGTCCACAGGCCAGAGCTGCGGGGCAGAGCAGGGCAGGAAGGAAGCCAGGACGGGGCAGAGCTGGGCAGAGGAGCCTGTTGCTGGGTCCTGAGGACTACTCACCGTGGTCGGTGGAACTCAGCCGGGGCAGATCAGAAGAGCTGACTCTGAGCCATCTGGAACCCTGGCAAAGACAACAGAGAGGCACCGCATCTTGGGCTCTTGGGGGCAGGCCTCTAGAATTAGAGGCCAGTCCGGGTTTGCCCTCTCTTGGGCACCTCCGCCTGCGGGCTGTGGCCACCTAAATGCCTCCTTTGCAGAGCCCCGGGACCGTGTGTGGACAACCTCCCAGTATACCCATGTGCCCTGCTGATCTCTCCAGCAGGTCCGGACTGGCCAGCGGTCTGGGCCACAGATCCAAGCTGCCTACAGCTGCAGCAGACCTCCATGCCCGCAGGAGCTCCTGACCCCGGAGGTGCCAGGGTGGGCAGGGTGCTCAGAGGGGCTTCTGCCTCCTTGGAGGGTCCCTTAGCACAGCCTTGGTCAGCCCAGGTCAAGTGTAGTCGGCCAGCGGGAGGACTTGAGTGGTCCCCAGCTTTGGTACACTGAGGAAACGAGGTGCCACGGGGTACTGTGGGTGGAGAGGCAGTAGCGGAGATCGATCCTAGAGTGCAGACTCGAGCGGTGCATGCTGAGGGGTGAGGAGAGTCAGGCTGGAGTGATGAGTGGATGGATGGACACAGGGCTGGACGGGGTGGATGGATGGGAGGTGGAGGGAGGGCAGGTGTGCGGAGGGAGGGGCGGAGAGATGGAGGCACAGGCTGGGTGCGTGGCGGGAGGCGGCCGGGCAGCCAGGCAGTCAAGTGGGGGACCGACGGCAGATAGTCAGAGGCGAATGCATGGAGGCGTCAGTCCACAGCGGAGGCTGGGGGCCCAGATGCGAGTTCTGGTGCCAACTTGAGGATCTATTTAAACGCTGGCCGGTGAACAGTTTGGATCCTGGCCTGACTCCTGCCGCCCAGCCCTCCGGCTGCCCCGTCCACCCGACCCCTCGCAGGCGTCCCCCGAAGTCCCTGCTGGCTGGCTCCTCTTGTGCCCCCCGGGGGAGGGCCGGTTCTTGCCCGCTGGCAGTGGGGCAGGGGGCTGCGGTGGGCCCAGGCTCTCCTGCAACCACACATGGAGTGGGAGCCACTGCTCTCGCCTGTGTGGGTCAGGGGACTGGCCTGGAGGGCGTCTTCCCGGTGGGTGGCCCCCAGGACACCACCAGGGGCCTGGAGCCAGGGGTGAGGAGGGGAGGGCCTGGGCCGGCACGTCAGCCATCTGTTCTGTAGTGGTCCCTGGGCCGGGCCCCGGGCTCGGGACGCTGGCTGCTGCCTGGCTGTGCTGCTTTGCTTCCTGTCTGGTTTTGGCCTCACAGCAGGGGTGCCACTGCTGTATGGTGGGATTTAGGGGTGCGCAGCCCCTCCTGAGTGGAGGCTCCCGCTCTGCCGTCATGAGGAAGGCCGAGGCCTTCTCATCCAACTGCAGGCTGGCACCTTGGGTGCCGGGCAGCCACAGCCATCTATGGGACAGCTCCCACCCTCCGAAAGCCCAGCCTTGCCCCTCCCCAAAGCCAGGGGTCCTGTGTTTAGTTCTGCTCTAACCCAGAGCATCACGGGCCCCGGAGCCTCCCTTCCCACCTGCCTCCTGCCCACAGGTACTTACCCCCACCCCCACCGGCTGCCATGGGCACTGGGCTCGGTGTCCTGGCTCCGGCCACCCCTGCACCGTTTCCCTGACCCACTGGCTGAGAGAGTCCTCACGCACAGCGGACCTGTGGAATGGCAGAACCGTCTCAAGGGGCAAGCCCTCCCCGGCAGCTGGCAGGATCTGCCCCACCCAAGCTTTACGGCCCCTGGAAGCTGGGATGACCAGGTGGGCCTGCTGGCCTCCGGAGGGACGCCGTGAACGAAGGGTCAGGAGGACGCCATGAAAGGGGACGGTTGGCTCTGCACGCTGAGGCCCTTGGCCTGGCCGCCCCACCCCGGAGCGCACGTCTTCAGGAAGGCTGCCTGGGGCTCCTCAGGCCAACCTGGAGCATCACCAGAGACCAGGGCGCACCAGCACCGACAGCCTTCGAGGGCCTGGCTTTATTTTCCCATGGCACGGTGGCACCGGGGCCCCTACAATCACAGCCATTTCCCTGTCCATCCAGAGGGGCCCAGAAGGCTGCAGCCAGCCCACGGGCAGGACCGTGCGACTCCACGTCTCTGTGGGCTCTGTGCTTTGGGAGATCGACCAACTGGAAAGAACCGACTGGACTGGCGCCCGTATCTAACCCAAGCCCAAATCCCATACCAGTCTTGGCTTTTCTGAAACTCACAAAAACAAACTTCTGCTGGCGGAGGGGCCTGGGCGCAGGAGGAGAGGAGAGATCTATCTCGGCCTTGGGAGTAACGCGGTCGCTGCTGCCAGCCTCAGTGCTGGCACTGGTCTGGGGGCACCTGATGGGACCCTTTCTTGCAACATCCAAAGAACGGGTTTCGCAGCTGTGAAGAAACGCCGGTCGCCCCCGAAGCGGGGCCACGGGTCAGATTCCTTTGAAAATTTATTTCCTACATTTCACATACTTGTGTGGTTTCTCTCATTTTGTTTTTATTTGGCAAACATCTCTTCAGAGTCACCATCATCATCACCACCACCACCATCACCACGGATACCGTCTTTTGGACCTCTGCAGAGACTATTTACATTCACATTATGACTCCTGGCTCTGGTGGGGCCTCTGGACCCGTTCAGTAGCTGACCACCCTTATTGCACTGTTGTCACGGAGCTTTCTAGAGAATGCACGCAAGTGGTCTGGTGTTGGCTCTTCCGTTTGTGACAGGCGTGACTCTCGTTCCTTCAGTTCTTCCAGTGGGTGGAGGGCAAGGTGGGCAAGAAATGGAGTGTGTGGGGGAACACGTCTAACCAAAAAATCGGACAGAAAAGTATCACCCATCGCCCTGAGGACTGGGAGCACAGACGGGGGTCACGCGGGTGCGGGCCACACAGGGCTGCGTGCACATCTCCAAGGTGGGGTCCGGGCCAGCTGCCTCCGTGGCTGTTTTGTTTTGTTTTTTTTCTGTGAAAGCTAGGGAGGAAGGAGAGGAGCCTCATGGAGACACGGGTTGGGTGGTGACGGGCTGAGAGGTAGGGTGGGGCGTGGCGAGTAGAGGTAGAGCGGGGAGCACCGGGCGCGGACTCTCAGGGCGGCGAGCTCCTCACGCCTTGAAAAGCAGTCAGGATTCAACCCAAAAGGTCGCCACGGCTTCGTTTCGGAAGTATGCTCTCGGGGAAGAACACTTTAGCACTTTTGTGTTCTCACAAGTGGGAAGGTGAATTATAAAAAGTCACAGGGAGTGAGGACGGATGGGCGGACGGACCGACGGACGGAGGCGAGTTCCCTCGGATCCTGGGTGCACAGGGCAACCGCGGGAGGCCTTGGAACTCGGGCAGCACCTTGCCGCCTCTGCCCAGCCTGGGCAGCGCCCAGGGGCTGAAGGCCACCAAAGGCTGCGTCTCCTGGAGCCACGCCCCCTAACCCCAACATCCCAACACCCCCAAACAAAATCAAGGCCCAAATGAAAAAGACCAACATCCAAACAAACCCAAGAGGGAGTAAAACAGTGAAAAAAATACTTTGGCAGTGAGAAAAACTTTTGGATTTTGACTTCCTGTGTTGCTTTTTGGACTCTTCGGAGCAGAGGTGTGGCGGCATCCTTGGCGGGCTAGCTAGTAAGGTAGTTTACAGGTAGGTTTCCTTTGCCTTTTTTTTTTTTTCTTTAAAAAAAACTTTTTGGATTTTTACTTAAAGCCAAAGAGTCTGACATGAAAGGAAAAACAAAACAAAACACCTGACACCAAAAATGCTTCTCGAGTCAGAAACCGAAGTCTTCCTCACAGCCCCCGCCGATCACCACGGCCCTCGCGGTGTCGGGGGCGGCGGTCAGGACGGGGCTGTGAAATCACAGCTTAAGGAAGGGGAGAACTCCTCAGTCGTCTGTGTCCATTTTGAAGTAGCGCTTAAGCCAACGAAACAAGACCCACAGAAGTTCTTCACCGAAAACAAGCCAACACGTAGACTTTTTCCATGATAGAGAACGTACGTAAAAGTCAAAAGACAGGAATGAGAGACAGAGAGAGAGAGAGAGAGAGAGAGAGAGAGAGAGAGAGGGAGAGGGAGAGAGAGAGGACAGAGACGGGGCAGAGGGAGACAGGACAGGGGCAGAGCCGGCCACGCTGCCGGTGCTACGCCTCCGCCGCTGCCCCTGAGGCTGGCGGCCCCTCCCCTCCCCCGTGGCAGTTTCCCTGACGCTGGGGAAGAGGTGGTGGTCGTGGTGAGCGAGCGTCAGGCAGCTGAGGAGGCTGCCGGGATGCAGTGGTGTTGGGTCTGTGTTTTCTTTTGGAGAGAAGCAGTAGCAGCAGTGGCTTCAGCCCAGGCTCTGCGGGGCCGGGCGGGCAGCGGGGCACAGCGTCCGCCGGCCGGGGCTGGGGCTCGTGGGCCAGCAGGGCCGGGGGTCAGCGGGGCACGGCGGCATCCAGCGGTCCAGGCAGGCCCGGGGAGCAGGGGCGGGAGGGTCCGGCGGAGCCGGCCTCGCTGGGGCTGGCGGTGGCGTCGGGCTGTCCGGGCAGGGGGTCAGCCACGGCGGCCGCGGGGCCCTGGAGGCTCTGGCCGCACACGTGGTGGTGCTTCTCCCAGTCCTTGTGCTGGCAGAAGGACCCGCAGTAGCGGGCCGCGTTGCAGCCGCTGCAGGTCTCGCTGGCCTTGCGCCCGCAGTTCCAGCAGCTCTGGGGGTGGAAGGGGCAGAGGGGACAGTCGGGAGGGGCAGACCCCAAACGCCCCCTAACCCAGCCGGCAACCCTAAACTACAGAACCTGCCTCGGCCCCGGAGGCTGACACCGTGGCGGTGGGCAGACTGCTCAGCCGGCCACGTTCTGGAGAACAGGCAGAGGCAGAGCAGGACCCCCGCCCCGTGTTTTTTTGGGGGGCTGTGGGACAGAGAGGTCAAACTTGTCCCAGGAGTTAAAGCCCAGGTCCCCATTTGGCCTCCAAAGCCTCTGGCCTCCTGTGGCTCGTGTCCCTGGCCTGTGCTGGCCCTGCTGTCCTCTGCTGGGCGGCGGCCACGCTGACCCTGCGCCCCTCTGTGGGTCCGCTCAGCGGCCACCTGCCCAGTCTTCCCTGGCCCCTCCACCTCCTCGGGGCCAGGGCTGCCATCATTCTGTGAATGCTGTCTTTCCGCGTCCTTCCTCTCCTCTCCGGCTAGCTCTAGCCTGCATCTCCACAGCTGTGTCCAAAGATCTAGAGCAGAGGAAGGACTAGGTGGGCTTCCTCTCCTGACCCAGACCCCCGGGGCCAGCCTGGGCCGAAGCCATGCAGGGTTTGGAGACCTGCCCTGTCCTGAAGGTGCCACAGACGCCTCTCCTCACTCGTGTCACAGCCGGCCAATTTCCTGGGCAGGACGGGATGGGCAGTCTTCCTACCCCCACCCAGCTGGCAGAGTCCAGCACAGATGCCCCCTGCTCCCAGACTAAAGCTCTCACATGCGCCCACCAGCGTGGGCTGGGAGCCCAGAAGGATGTAGACTCTGGGGTCCCCACATCTCAAAGCGTCTGTTTTCACAAAGTAAAGAAGAGCCCAGTAGTCCGTGCCAGGACCAGGCCTCGGAGAAGCCGCCTGCCCTCTCGGCCCTCAGGGAGGCCATGGGGTCTGCACGGACAAGCAGTGTGGGAGAGGTGGCAGGTGGGGCGTGCCCCATGGCCCAGGGTGACCGCGGGTGGGGACGGCCCCGTTCCCCGGGTCACACAGAGGCTGAGCTCCGGCCCAGGCTTCCTGACCACAGTGGCTCTGGGGGCCTGGCCGGCAGTCCTACCTCACTGGAGTCCTCCTGCTGGTTGATGACCGTCAGGGCGTCCTCCGAGGCCTGCCGCTTGGCCTCGGCCAGTGCCCGCTCCATCTTGGCGCGCTCGGTGGTGATGAGCTCGTGGGCTTTGCGCTCTGCGTCAGACACGGCTTTCTGCAGCTCCGACATCGCCTGCCGCTTCACCTCGTTCACAGCCTCTTCTGCAAAACACATGGAGGGCTGTGGTCAAACATCAGCCTACCCTGGTGCCCGGGCCACCGATGTTCTCTGGCCAGGGAGGAGCCCACGTGCACACCTGACCCCTGCTGACACGTGCACCGCGCACGGGCCCGCAGCGCGCCCTGAGCACAGGTGTAGTGTGGTAGTCACAAGGAACAGAGATGCATGAGTGTGCCGGAGCTACCCCGCACCTTGCCGGACTGGTTCTAGCTCTGGGGCACGCAGGCTCCCTGGAGGCTGGGGCACCCACCCCGGAACCTGACCCCACAGCCAGGGAACCTGCGTGCCAACAAGCTCAGGCCGCTGGCTGGGGGTGGGGCCACTGAGCAGCATAGCCGTAGCGTTGGCTTCTCCGGGGACACAGCGGCAGCCAGGAGCAACCCTTGTCGGAGCTGGTTTCCAGGAAGGCTCCCTTTTCACTCACGTCTGTGTCAGGGGCTCTGATTCCAGTGTCTGGCTAGGCAGAGCCAGGGCAGAGTAGCCCGGCCGAGGGGGCAGAGACCCTGAGGGACCTCGCACCCACCACCGGCCCTGTCTGCAGACTGGAGGGTCAGGGCCAAGGCCTAGGACCCAAAGCCTCACACAGACCGGCCCGGGCCTTGTTAAACCACCCCAAGGCCTCTGGGGCCCGCCTCAGTGTATCCCGCGTGGAGAGAGGCTGTGGAGGCCGGCCGCAGCGGGGTGTCCGCGACACCCCAGGAGCGCCTGTCCACCACGCCGAGCGAGCAGCTAGCAGGGCCTCGAGGGCCCAGTCTACCGATGGTAGCGCAGGTGGCAACGCCACGCTGGTGCCGGCACACGTCCCACGGCCCCTCCCGGGGATAAGGCGAGGAACCCCAGGTGCACGCCGAGCCCGCCCTCCCATGCGGCCTCCCCAGCGTCCGCCCCAGACCCTCCCCTCCCTTGCTTTCTCCCCGCCACGCTTCACACAGAATCCACAGAAGCTCTGCCCCCTCACCTGAGCTCGCCCCCAGCCCCGGTGGGCGCTCCTCTTCCTCACGGTGCCAGTCAAGCCCCTTGTCTAGATGCCGCCCTCCCCGGCGCGCTCGTGAGCACGCGCGCATGCGCCCTCCCGTGTGTCTGCACCGGCTCTGCCGTGTGAGGAGCCGGTGGAGCGCCAGGTGCAGACGGGTGCCTCTCACCCCAGCTAGGGAGGGGCGCTGGCCGCCACAGCCCCGTCCCTCCCCGTCCCTCCAGCCCCCACTCACCAGCCTTCCTCCAGATCTCCTCGGGCACATAGCCTGAGAGCATCCTGGGCACAAACTCCCGGTGGATGTCTGAAACACAGGCGCAGGCATCACACGCGAGCCAGGACCATCCCTGCCTGCCTTCTCCCATCCTGGCCGGGACCATCCCTGCCTGCCTTCTCCCATCCTGGCCGGGACCATCCCTGCCTGCCTTCTCCCATCCTGGCCGGGACCATCCCTGCCTGCCTTCTCCCATCCTGGCCGGGACCATCCCTGCCTGCCTTCTCCCATCCTGGCCGGGACCATCCCTGCCTGCCTTCTCCCATCCTGGCCGGGTCCTGGGGGCGGGGCGCCCGGGTGCCCATGCGTGGAGACACTCCGTCAGGGGGCAGAAAGGGCAGAGTGGTGGATGTAGACTCAGACCTCCTTTGGGCTCTGCAGTCGCCATTGTGGTGGATGCACAGAGACCCCCAAGGTCTCTCCTGAGCTCTGGCCTCTGCCCACCAGGACCTGGGAGTTCTGAGCTTCCCAGAAGCCGGGTCCCTCTTTGTGCAAAGTGGAACGGCACCTCCTTTTGAGCGTGCTATCCTACTGGCCGTGCTGCGGCCAGCTCCTCTGGGCCTGAGTGGCACGGGCTACCCCTGTGCAGGCTGGCTGTCCCTCCGCCCTCCGAGCACACCTAGCTGAGAGCCCTCCGAGCCGCTGCTGCCGTTGAGGGGCCGGGCCGGGGCGGGAGCAGGGCCGCTCTTCCCATCCTCCGCGTCGCTGTAGCGCCGGATCCAGTGGTTGAGCTCCTCCCGGTCAGCCTCCTGGCACCGGCGCAGCACAGTGAGCGACCGCCGCGTCTTCTCCACCATGTCCATGATGCAGTTCAGGAGCTGAGGGTGGAGGCGAGACCGTCGGTGCCTCAGAGACAGCCTGGCCAGGAGTGCACGGGGGGCCAGTCCGGGGCCTCCAGAGGGCCGCCGGCAGCCAGGGCCCAAAGCTTGTTTGGATGCCCGGCAGGGCTCAGGCACTTGCGCCCTGGGAGACCCCACCCGAGGGACCACACGGAAGGGGGTTGAGACCCGAGCCACGTGGCCCCTCCTGGGATGTGGACAGCCATCTGAGGAGGCAATTTCTGGGAGGCCCACGAGGGTGCCACACACAGGACATTGGCTTTCCCCAAATGCCCTGCGAGACTTGTGCTCCACTCTGGAGCACCATGGAGCGGGAAGCGAGGCGGGAAGCTGGCCGGCCTGCAGGACCTGCCCGGACAGGTGGCTAGAAGGGCCCTGGGCAGGCTCCGACATGGTGGTGAGCACAGAGACGCCCACCCCCGCGCTCTGTGCTGGGAGCCTCAGGTGCGTGGTCAGCGGCCCCGGGGGACAGGGGTGGCTGTAACTCACATGGTTGAGGTGTTTCCACTCCTCTGCCCACTCTCGCTCGGTCAGCTTGTGGTCAATCACCTCTTCCTGCCGCGACCCAGGCACCACTGCAGGAGGGGTAGGCTCAGACTACCTCCGCTCAAAGCCCCACCCAGCTTCAGACCCATCGCCCCCTCACAGTGCTCCCAAAGCCCTACCTCCACCCCTGCACCTGCTGCCATCCAGCCCAGCCCCAGCCCAGCCCAGCTCCCAGGCCCTGTGTGACATCCCAGCCACCTTGGGAAGACAAGGTGGACACAAGGTGGATGCTGACCCTTGGCGCGGAGCCGGGGACATCAGGAGCCGGCCCAGCCCTGGTCGCTCGCCCTCTGCCGATGGGGCTGCCCCTTCCCAGCCTCCTGGATCCAAAGCAAGCCTCTCCCCCTCCTGCCACCGTGTCCACACTGGGGTCCTCACTGGGGTCTCACCTCCACCCCGCGGCTGCCTGGCTCCCACGGGTGCTTCTGACTTCCTCTCTAAAGCTGTGTCCACGCCTCCCTCGGGCCCAGGCAGCCCGTCCTCAGAACCCCCAGCCCCAGTGTGTGTCTCTCAGTTGTCTTTTAGGTGCAAGCGCTTCCTTGACCATTCCAAATCCTCCTGGGGGCGGTGTGAGCTCCCCAGGGCAGGACGCCATGTCCCCAGGCTGGGTTGTGGCCAGGCACAGGCCGGATCTGCAGGCCTTCAGCAGGGTCAGCGGCAAGATGCTCCTCTCCCACGGGCCCTGGGGCTGCCTCCCTGCCTCCCGGGGATGAGCAGATTTCCAAGCTCGCATGTAGGAAGCATGCAGAGCAGGAGGATGGAGCCGGAGCTGGGAGGTATGCAGTGGGGCTGCTCAGTACCCCTGTCCCCACCCCCAGAGGGCAGCAGGACACTGTGCCAGCTCCCCTGCCCCCCCCCCATTTCACAGACAGCAAACTCATCTGGCAAAGGAGCTGTGTTTGCCCAGATATCGCACAGGGAGAGGCCTGCAGCTGGCCAGACTGGCGCTATGCCCCTGGCACTGGCCAGTGAGATTCAGGGACAGAGAGGAGGGCCCCCAGGACGTCGCTGAGACCCGAGAGACCTTATCTGGCCGTGCATAGAGGCCACTCCTGTGGTTGTCCTGAAGAGTCAGAGCTCCAGGCCCCCACCGTGGTTTGGGGCCTGGGCCGTGACCCAGCGTTAACTGTGCTTTTGGGGCAAAGGCCTCGACTCTAAGCTGCCTTTGGTCCCTAGAGATCTCCCTGCCTGGAGTGCTGGCCTCAAGTTGTGGTGGCGTGGGAGGCGGTGGCCGCAGCGGCCGTCCGCCCTCTCCCTGGATGCCCGCAGGGCAGCCTGCACCAACGCCCCAACCAAAATAGCGCTGAGCTGTGCCCGACAGCTGGCGTTTATTTTTGCATTAGCAGAAGCGGGTGGGAATTAGCACCTGCCTGACCCAGCCTGGGAGCCAGACGCCCATCACCTGCTGAGGGGACCCTGGCTGGCTCTGGACACTGCGGCAGATGGGGGAGGAGGCTTTGCCCTGGAGGAGGCCTCCAATGACCCTGCTCTGGGGCCTCCTGGGGTCCTGGCTCCGCTCCCAAGGCACCTCCCTGCACACTATGGGGTAGACCTGGCGGGTAGCTGGGCTGATCATCTCCGGCTTCAGCACAGAGGAAGGTCTGGCGGGGTGGATCATGGGGCGGGGGGGGGGAGGGGGGTCTGGGGAGGGCGGGGCGGTGTTACTTGTATCTTTGGGCCTCAGTCTCCCCACTGGGGTGTGGATTGGGATAAAGGACAGAATGCAACCTCTGAGCCTGCTCCACAACAGTGGCCGGGCCTTCGAGCCTGATGCCCAGCAGGGCCTTACGCGAATGCCCCAGGCCTGCGAGATCCCTGCCTCACCCCAGCCCCAGGAAACCTGACGCCCCGCAGGGCCTTACGTGAAGTCCCCAGGCCTGGGAGATCCCTGCCTCACCCCAGCCCCAGGAAACCGAGACGGGCCACGTGGCTGCTCAGGGGCTTCAGGCCCAGGGGAGCTGTGAACACTGGCCCCGACGGTGCCCCTGTGAGGAGAAATCCTCAAGCAGGGAGGCAGGCTGTTCCCAGAGAGGGCGGGGGAAGTCATGTCTGCCCCAGAGAAGGCCCGGGTCGCATCAGGGTTCAGGAGCCTACAGCTGCTGGTGGCGGTCTCACGGGAGCACACAGGCTGCCCGCACCCCAGCTGCATGGTCACACTTGCTCTGCGTAGGGCTGGCATCCGCGACCTGCCCTGGCACACTGCTTACCGGGCTGCCGATGGCGCTCCCGCAGCTCCCGGTCGGGGGGTCGGTAGGCGTCGCGGAAGTGGTGGGCCATGGCCATGTCCTCCAGGCGGTAGTGGGGCGGTGGGGTGGGGTGGGGCGGCGCGCTGCTAGGGCTGCAGCGCTGGGCGGGGCTCTGCGTGCAGGCCCGCTTGCTGAGGTGGTCGGGGTGCAGCGGGTCACGGTCTGACCTGTTCTCTTTGGTCCTGGCAGGGAGAACAGGTAGGGGGACCACGTATGGATCACCAGCTGTGGTAAGAGGCTTAGGCACTGGGGGTGCGGCAGAGAGGGGCAGGGATATGGAAATGGGAGTGGAACCAGCCCGGCCCTACTGGGGCCTGACCCAACCTCTGCCCTGTCCCTGGAGGCGTGATGGGGTGATGCTCCTGGGGACCCCAAGTCCAGCAGCTTGCCCTCCTGGCAGGGGTGTATGGAGGGAATGATGCAGGCACTGGCTGTACTGGATGTGGCCCCCTCGGTCCCCACAGGACAGCAGCCCAGGTACCCGGGGCCCTGGACTCAGGAGGTCGCTTGAGGCCTGTGGTCCAACACAGGAGAACCACTAGGAAATGCCTTCCCGTGAGTGGACACTCCTGAGTCTCTGTCTTCCTGGGGCTCCCAGGGCCATCTGAGTGTGCAGCCTGACAAGGCAAGCTAATCCTGGGGCCTTGCAGGAGAAGCGGAGGCCATGAGCCCATTAGTCCACTAGCTTGGCCCTGCAGGGCTCAGCGGGGCTGACGAACACTGCTGGACTTTGCTGCAGATGGGCTGGGCTGCCCTGTGGAGCTGTGGCTGGCAGCCGAGCACGAGGGGCAGCCGTCCCCGAGCACAGACACAGGGAAACCCTGGATGGTACCGGGCAGGCGAGTGCACGGGCATAAACCTGGGCGCAGGCGCGGTGAGGCCGGGCAGCCCTCCCTCTCCCTGGACGTACCTGTCAGGCGACCTCCTCTTGCCATTCTCGTTAACTTCCAGCAGAAGCTCAGAGGAGTCCACCGGCGAGGCGGCGCTGGCGTCCAGCAGGAGCTGCTCGTGCTGGGCCAGGTACTGGGCAGGTGTCTGCTTGGCCAGGCGAGCGCAGTGCAGGAGCTCTCGCTGGAGCAGGGGCAGGTTGGCCTGCGGGGGAAGGGGCTGGGGCAGTGCTGGCTGGGCCTCATGGCCCGCGGTGGTCTGTTGCTTCTGGCCGTGGCACGGGTGGGAAGAGAGCAGGGCAGGCCAGGCCCTGCCCAGCGCGGTGATTTTCGGTGCATGGGACTCCCATGTCGCTGCCTTCCGCAGGGCGCAGGGTGATCCTGACCTCGGTTCCCTGCTCCCGCCCCGTCCAGCGCGGCCAGCCACCGGCCTGGCAGCATGTGGCCACGTGGGTCCGATGTGAGAATACAGCTAGTGGTCCGGAGGGTGTGGACCGAGCTGCTATGGCTCCCTGAGTGCTCTCCAAGGGGCCCAACACCATCCACACACGAACTTATCTGTCTGTCTCACAGCTTTTCACTGCTTGGCTGTCCGGCCACGTCTGTCTGTCCACAGACTGCCTGACTTGTGTCTCACTGTTCCAGCCGTGCTGGCCCCTGCTCTCCCTCCTTCCCAAGGCCTCTGCACCGGTTGTTCCTGCTGCCTGGAGGGCTCCCCCGACCCATCCCAGGCCTTTCCCTCATCTTCCTCTCCTTAAGAGGCTCTGGGACATTCCCTTGCTGCCTGTGATGGGTGGTCCACAGCCCACTCTCCTGACCAGGCCCTTTTCCGGGACCCTGCCTGATCCCCGACTGCTCAGACCACCTGTCCCACAGGCTGGAGCTCAGGAGGACTGGAGCTCTGGGTGTGGCAGTGCATGGAGAATGAAGCTTCAGGGATGGGGTTTGGAGGCTGCTGGGGCCCCGTGGCAGGTAGGGTGGTTTGTGTTACCTTCAGGAAGGGGATGACAAATGGTCGCAGAGGGAAGTTGGTGGCCTCTTGGAGCTTGGAGTGAAACTCTTCGATGGTCAGCGTGGAGTTCTGAGGGAGGAAACCACCTTGTGTGAACTGATGGGCACTGAGCATGGCGCCCCACCAAGCCCTGGGGAGGGAGTTGTGGGGTGGCAGGTGGCTGTCGGCTGGGCACAGCGAGGGGGCACCCGGGCATCGGAGAGGGGCCCGCGACTCACCACCAGCCCCAGCACCAGCGTGTGCACGCGCTCCCCAATCTCGGGGGAGATGTCGCTGCCAAACTGCTGCAGAGTGGTAAGGAAGCGCTTCAGCTTGCTCAGCTGCCGCACCCCACAGGCCGGGGGCAGGTGCTGCGTGGACAGCGAGGCCGTGGACGAGGTGGCCGGCCCGTTGCTGAAGCCATTGGGTGTGGACGGGGTGCCGTGGGCGGCGGTGGGCGAGTGGCTGCTGCCGTTCATCACTGCGGGAGAGGAGGCAGGGGCGTGGCTGGGTGTGCAATGAATGGTGTGTAGAGCCAACGACAACCATCAGGAGCCACCACGACGGCTGGAGCTCCAGCGGCAGCAGTGTGGCTGCCGAGTCCTGGAGGGGGCCAGGCCCCCGCGGCGCGGCGCCCCGGCAGTGGCAGGAGCTGGCACTCCGGAAGGACCGGCTACAGCGGGACAGCCATTTGGGTATGGCCTCCCTGTGGACGGAGGTCAGGCCCAGGCCGGGATGCTGGGTCCCCACCGTCAGCCCGTGCCCAGAGCTGGCCTATGGCCTGCAGGCCCCGGGGCCTCCCTGTGGACGGAGGTCAGGCCCAGGCCGGGATGCTGGGTCCCCACCGTCAGTACGTGCCCAGCCCCCAGGCCGGCTCAGGTAGGCGGTGCCTCCACTTCCTGGCTCACCACCCCCAGCCTCCCCATCCTCACCCACTGGGCACCACCCGCTCCTCACGCCTACTCATCAAGGACCCCCGCTCACTGCCCCTACTGGGGCGGAAGGTCTGTGGGAACAGGGTCGCACTGATCAGTCCCCAGGAAAGCCCGGCAACTCCACCTCTGCCCTGGCCCCAGGTAGGAGCCTCCCCACCCCACCGGGAGCCTCCTGGGCCACCAGCAACTCCACTGCCCGCCTGGTGACCGGCCGGTGCCTGGGATGTTGCAGCTTGGGGTCGGGCGCGGGGTCTGGGACACCCAGGGTGAGGGGGTGGGCCCACCTGGTGCTTCTGGACACGGCGGAAGCGTGCACATGAGCCCTGGGCTGGTGTGCTGGGGACAAGCAGGTGACCGACGCGACAGCTGAGAATGTGGCAAGGCCAGCACTGTCCGTCACTGCAGTGTGACCGCCTGGCTGCCCGACACCAGGTCAGTGTCCCATGGCCCTAGCCAAGGCCCGGAAGGGGGGTAAGTCCTCACCCCTCAGCCTGGGTTGCTGGAGGCCAAGGTAGCCCCGGGCCTGCACCTGTGCTGCTGGCCGCACCAGCCTCAGCCATGGCCCCGGGTCTGCAGAGTGAGCACACACGGTCTGTGCTCTGCTCACCGTCAGCTGGGGCTCCCGGGCATCCATGCCCTGCCTGCCCCTTACGCCCACTCTGCTCCTGCCTCTGCGGCTCCCTGGTGCACGGCAGGACTGGGATTTGGAGTGGGCCGCTCAGGCCACCTGCTCCCTCAGGGACACCTCTGGGGCCACCTGTGGTAAGGGCCGTGCTTTTTGGGGGGGGGTTTCCAGGATGAGACGGCTGGCCCAGCTGCCACTACAGAACCCCAGTAGCGTCTGCTGTTCACTTTGCTCCTGGTGGACGGTGGAGGCCTCACTGTGTCCATCGGGATGGCACCTGCCCTGTCCACTCTGACCGAGGCCTGGGACATGATGTCTGCTGGCCATTTTGGCCTGGTCAGCCTAGCAGAGGGGTGTGTGTGTGTGTTTGTGTGTGTGCGTGCGTGCGTGTGTGCGCGTGTGTGTGTGCGTGTGTGTGTTTGTGCGTGTGCGTGCGTGTGTGTGTGTGCGTGCGCGCGCGCGTGTGTGTGTGCGTGCGTGTGTGTGTTTGTGTGTGTGTGCGTGTGTGTTTGTGTGTGTGTGTGCGTGCGTGTGTGTGTGTGCGTGCGCGCGCGTGTGTGTGTGTGTGCGTGCGTGTGTTTGTGTGTGTGTGTGCGTGTGTGTTTGTGTGTGTGTGTGCGTGCGTGTGTGTGTGCGCATGCATGTGTTTGTGTGTGTGTGTGCGTGTGGTGGGGTTGCATCCCAGCCCCTTCTTCTGGGGCTGTGGCTTGGCCGTGGGTCCCCGTCTTCTTCTGGGGCTGGGGCTCGGCCGTGGGTCCCCGTCTTCTTCTGGGGCTGGGGCTCGGCCGTGGGTCCCCGTCTTCTTCTGGGGCTGTGGCTCGGCCGTGGGTCCCCGTCTTCTTCTGGGGCTGGGGCTCGGCCGTGGGTCCCCGTCTTCTTCTGGGGCTGTGGCTCGGCCGTGGGTCCCCGTCTTCTTCTGGGGCTGGGGCTCGGCCGTGGGTCCCCGTCTTCTTCTGGGGCTGGGGCTCGGCCGTGGGTCCCCGTCTTCTTCTGGGGCTGTGGCTCGGCCGTGGGTCCCCGTCTTCTTCTGGGGCTGTGGCTCGGCCATGGGTCCGGGCGCCCCTCCGCCTGTCCTGCACACCTGGGCGCCTGCCCTACCTGTTCAGGCGACTCCCGCTCAGTCCCTATCCCTGGTCCTGCTCACCCCGGGAGAGGGACTGGCTTTGGGTGCTGGGTGTGGTGTGTAGCAGAGGTTTGGAGAGGTGCTGGAGCCCAGGGCGCTGGTGCAGGGTCCTGGGCCTCCACACGGCTGGGCGGCATGTGAGCAGGGAAGCCTGTTACTCCCCTCCGCGACTGGCCCTGGGGGCTCCTTTGAGGCGGAGCCTACCGTGGCCCGGCCACCTCCCGCCGTCCAGTGGTGCTGTGTCCACTGGCACATACCCCCACGGCTCACCGACGGCCCGGCTCCCAGAGGATCCCGCCGACACACAGGAACATGACCCCACCTAAACTGATGACGGCCTCTCGCGGTCACACCAGCCAAACCGGGAGATGCCTGACCACCATGGGGACCTCACGGTAACTGGGAGCTAGCATCTTGAGGCTGAGCCTACTGCCAGTAGAGCTCCAAGCCTTCTAGCAGCTTCTAAGACATACCAGTGGCATGTGGCGCGAGCCCCCCTCCACCAGGCCTGGCCAGCCCGCGCCTGCCCTCCCCGAGGCCCGCTTACCAGCTCTGCCCTGGGCGCTAGGTCCCCCGCGGCCTGCTTGCCTCTGCCTGTCCGGCCTCCCTCCCGCGGCTGCCGGGCAGTCTCAACAGCTTGCTAAAGAGATGCCTAAAATAGCCCCCAGCACAAGTGCCTGCACTCCACAACAGGTGTGTTACTAAGTTAGACTGCACACGTGTCCCCGGCGAGGTCTGGGGGCACACGCCTGCTCCCAGCCTGGTGGCCTCAGCCCGGGGTAGGAGAACCCCACGGGCAGCCCTTCAGCCAAACCTCTCCCTGCAAGTGGCTCTGGACAGCTCCCAGGAGCTGGACCTCCACGGCCACCACAGCCGGCCACCGTCCAGCGGCGTGGCAGCGGCACGGAGGCACACACCCGGCACCGCAACGTGGCCTCCCACGACGCCTTCTCCACCCTCAGAGCCCCGGCGATCCATGAGCTGCACCTGGGTTGTGCAGCCACCTGGCTCAGTCCAGAGACCACAACGTGGTGGCGTTGGTTCAATGGAGCCTTGACCTGTGTCGCCCCAGGAGACGCCCGCTGTGGGGCTGACGCTGGTGCCTCTGCCCACTAGTGGCTGGGGTCTGAGGGACACGGTGCCACGCCTCGCAGCCATGGCTCTACCAACCCATCTGGCCCTTCGTCCCTCGCGTTGATCCAGTGACCATGTCCCTTGTAGGCAGGGAAACTGAGGCCCCAGCGGCTTTACCTGCCCAGTGCCACCCAGGCAGTGGCAGGACTGGGCCCTGCCCTTCGGCGGTCCCTCTGTCCTCCCAGCCCTGGGCTGGCTTCAGGCTGATGGATGGCTGCTAGGGATACTGTCCACCGGTGGCCCCGGGCCTAGGGGCCATCAGTGCTGCACCATCAGACCCTCCCATTTCTGAGGAGGCTGGGAACCCGGAATGGAGCCGAGGCCAAGGCCTCCCTGCGGTTTTTGTTATTTTACTCACAGAGACAGACCATGGACCACTTTAAGCAGCCATGAAAACGGCCGTGGGGCAGAGATGTCGCAGACCCGTCCTCACCATCTGTAAGCAGAGCAAGAAGAACACGCTGTCAGGAGGGCGCCGTGCCTCCTGGGCCCCGGCCTTGGAGCACAGCTCTGGGACTGGACGTGGATGGCACTGGCCTCAGTTTCCCTCTCTAAAATAGTGGGTTGTGCTGGATGGTTCCGGCAGGACCCTCCTGGGACCACCACCACGGGGCTACCTTGTTCTGAACAAGCCTCAGCCTCAAGGGCCTGGGGTCCACCCCGAGGACTCCCCCGAGAGGAACAAGTGTTAGGGCCTCGACTCCTCACACTTCTGGGCCTCTGCCTTCAGCCTCCTGACCTCGTCAGCCGAGGCTTCGGCTCTCAAGATGGATTTGTAGCCTGGGCAGCCATGGGGCAGGAAAGCCGCAGTCTTGGAGCTGAGGGTCAAGGTCAGCGTCGGCCTGGCTGGAGGCACTGGCAGGAATCTGCCATCGGCAGCAGAGGCCTCGGCCAGGCCTGGCTGCCAGGCGCCGGGCACCGAGAACCAGCGGCTCTCAGGATCCCAGGGTCAGGGACAGCTCTGAGGACATCTTGGGGAAGGCAGAGAAGGGAGGCCTCCTCTACCCCGTGCAGCGGAAGCAGCGGGCAGGGGAGGGACGCCGCTGGCCTTGGGTTCCTGCGCAGACAGCGAGGCTGGAACCCACATGTAGACATGGGCCCCAGTCCCAGGGAGTGGGAAGGGCTCAGACCGGAGCCGCAGCACCACCCTGCCCTCCCGTGTCCATGCCCCCGGGGGCCCTGCGGGCCCCAAGGCAGCCCACCAGGAGCATCCATTCTCCAGCTGGTGCTTCCAGGACATGGACGCTGGTCCTGAGGGAGCAGCAGGCTGGAGGAGCCAGTGACCAGTCCCGCAGCCGCCCTGACCGCTCTGTCCACATGGGCCTTTGACATTCGGGCTCAGAGGTTTTAGGTGGTGCCCTGCAACACCCTGCCTGCCCTCCGCTGGCCCGTGTACACAGTGACCGCCTCCCCAGCGCCGGCTGATCTGCCACTCACATCAGCACCGCCGGTACACTGCCCTCCCCTGCGTCCACCAGAGGAGCAGGTCAGCAGCTGGCCGCCGCTTGTCCCGGCGGGGGGGGGGCTGCCGCGGAAGAGGGAAGGGTGACCCTGGCCAGCCATGTCCCGGGGGCGGGGGGACTGCCGCGGGAGGGAAGGGTGGCCCTGGCCAGCCATGCTACTGATGAGGACCAAGCCTGAGAAAAGGCACCATCACTGCACGGCTGGAGGGACGCGGCCGTGGCAGCCCAGGACCCCTGTGGGGCCACCTCTGCCCCCAGGCCACAAGCCACTGAGGACAGAGTCGTGCTGCTTGAGGTGTGTCCCTGCACACATGCGGGTGCCCCAGCGATCCTGCCACAGTCCGGCATGCCCTGGCGTCTCTTCCACGCACCCGGTGTGCCCCGGTGGCCCCTCTACACACCCGGTGTGCCCCAGAACGCCACACACTGAGTGTGCCCCAGAATACCACACACCCAGTGTGCCCCGGTGGCCCCTCTACACACCCGGTGTGCCCCAGAACGCCACACACTGAGTGTGCCCCAGAATACCACACACCCGGTGTGCCCCGGCAGCCCCTCTACACACCAAGTGTGCCCCAGAATGCCACACACTGAGTGTGCCCCAGAATACCACACACCCAGTGTGCCCCGGTGGCCCCTCTACACACCCGGTGTGCCCCGGAACGCCACACACCCGGTGTGCCCCGGCGGCCCCTCCACACACCCGGTGTGCCCCGGCGGCCCCTCCACACACCCGGTGTGCCCCGGAACGCCACACACCCGGTGTGCCCCGGCAGCCCCTCCACACACCGAGTGTGCCCCGGAACACCACACACCCAGTGTGCCCCGGCAGCCCCTCCACACACCCAGTGTGCCCCAGAATGCCACACACCCAGTGTGCCCCGGCAGCCCCTCCACACACCGAGTGTGCCCCGGAACGCCACACACCCAGTGTGCCCTGGAATACCACACAACCGGTGTGCCCCAGAACACCACACACCCAGTGTGCCCTGGAACGCCACACACCCAGTGTGCCCTGGAACGCCACACACCCAGTGTGCCCTGGAACACCACACACCCAGTGTGCCCCGGCGGCCCCTCCACATACCCGGTGTGCCCTGGAACACCACACACCCAGTGTGCCCTGGAACGCCACACACCCAGTGTGCCCTGGAACACCACACACCCAGTGTGCCCCAGAACACCACACACCCAGTGTGCCCCAGAACACCACACACCCAGTGTGCCCCGGAATGCCACGCGCACCCAGTGTGCCCTGGAACGCCACACACCCAGTGTGCCCTGGAACGCCACACACCCAGTGTGCCCTGGAACACCACACACCCAGTGTGCCCCGGCGGCCCCTCCACATACCCGGTGTGCCCTGGAACGCCACACACCCAGTGTGCCCCAGAACACCACACATCCAGTGTGCCCTGGAACTCCACACACCCAGTGTGCCCTGGAACTCCACACACCCGGTGTGCCCCGGCGGCCCCTCCACACACCCGGTGTGCCCTGGAACACCACACACCTGGTGTGCCCCGGCGGCTCTGGTACCAGGTGTCTGGAGCATCTAGGCCAGCTGGTGCTGTGCGGGACAGTGGTCTAGAGATGGCGCCTGGCAGCTGGGAACAGGGTGTCTCACACTGGGCCTGGTCACCGCCAGGCCTGTCTCCAGAGGGGAGATCCCCGTCCCCCAGAAGGCCACCACAGGCCTGGGCAGGCAGAGGCCACGCCTTCAAGTCCATGAAAGAGGGGCCTGGGAAGCGCCGAGTCCCCTGCAGGTAGGGTCACAAGGCCCTTTCCTGAGAGGGGCTTACTGGGGGCTGCAGCAGGGCTCCCAGACAAGTGCTCAGAGGGCTGGGTGGGGTTGACACCGCGTCTCTCCACCAGGGCATGCAGACCTGCCCCAGGCACCTGGGGCACAGAGTGCCCTGGAGCCACACCAGCCCCAACTGGGGGTCTGCTTCCAGCTGCTTCGGATCCCAGAGTCTGTGACTCATACTTTTCAAAGAAAAGGAGCCCGGAGGGTGCTGGCTGCCCTGCTCAGTACCCCCCCCCCCCCCGCCCAAGCCCCCTGAGCAGTGTGCGCCCACCTCGCCTCAGGCTGGCCAGACAGCAGAGTAGAACTGCATGATGTGTCTCTACCCACCCAGCCTTCCTTACACAGTGGCAGCCTTCAGAGCTCCTCCCCAACCTCACAGCTCCTCCCTAACCTCACAGCTCCTCCCCAACCTCACAGCTCCTCCAACCTCACAGCTCCTCCCCAACCTCACAGCGCCTCCCCAACCTCACAGCTCCTCCAACCACACAGCTCCTCCCCAACCTCAGCTCCTCCCTAACCTCACAGCTCCTCCCCAACCTCACAGCTCCTCCAACCTCACAGCTCCTCCCTAACCTCACAGCTCCTCCCCAACCTCACAGCTCCTCCAACCACACAGCTCCTCCCCAACCTCACAGCTCCTCCCTAACCTCACAGCTCCTCCCCAACCTCACAGCTCCTCCAACCTCACAGCTCCTCCCTAACCTCACAGCTCCTCCCCAACCTCACAGCTCCTCCAACCTCACAGCTCCTCCCCAACCTCACAGCTCCTCCCCAACCTCACAGCTCCTCCAACCACACATCTCCTCCCCAACCTCACAGCTCCTCCCTAACCTCACAGCTCCTCCAACCTCACAGCTCCTCCCCAACCTCACAGCTCCTCCAACCTCACAGCTCCTCCCCAACCTCACAGCTCCTCCCCAACCTCACAGCTCCTCCAACCACACATCTCCTCCCCAACCTCACAGCTCCTCCCTAACCTCACAGCTCCTCCAACCTCACAGCTCCTCCCCAACCTCACAGCTCCTCCAACCTCACAGCTCCTCCCCAACCTCAGCTCCTCCCCAACCTCACAGCTCCTCCCCAACCTCACAGCTCCTCCCCAACCTCACAGCTCCTCCCCAACCTCACAGCTCCTCCAACCACACAGCTCCTCCCCAACCTCACAGCTCCTCCCCAACCTCACAGCTCCTCCCCAAACTCACAGCTCCTCCAACCACACAGCTCCTCCCTAACCTCACAGTTCCTCCCCAACCTCACAGCTCCTCCAACCACACAGCTCCTCCCCAACCTCACAGCTCCTCCCCAACCTCACAGCTCCTCCAACCTCACAGCTCCTCCCCAACCTCACAGCTCCTCCAACCTCACAGCTCCTCCCCAACCTCACAGCTCCTCCCCAACCTCACAGCTCCTCCAACCACACAGCTCCTCCCCAACCTCACAGCTCCTCACTAACCTCACAGCTCCTCCAACCTCACAGCTCCTCCCAACCTCACAGCTCCTCCAACCTCACAGCTCCTCCCCAACCTCAGCTCCTCCCCAACCTCACAGCTCCTCCCCAACCTCACAGCTCCTCCCCAACCTCACAGCTCCTCCCCAACCTCACAGCTCCTCCAACCACACAGCTCCTCCCCAACCTCACAGCTCCTCCCCAACCTCACAGCTCCTCCCCAAACTCACAGCTCCTCCAACCACACAGCTCCTCCCTAACCTCACAGTTCCTCCCCAACCTCACAGCTCCTCCAACCACACAGCTCCTCCCCAACCTCACAGCTCCTCCCCAACCTCACAGCTCCTCCAACCTCACAGCTCCTCCCCAACCTCACAGCTCCTCCCCAACCTCACAGCTCCTCCCCAACCACACAGCTCCTCCAACCTCACAGCTCCTCCCCAACCTCACAGCTCCTCCCCAACCTCACAGCTCCTCCAACCTCACAGCTCCTCCCTAACCTCACAGCTCCTCCAACCACACAGCTCCTCCCCAACCTCACAGCTCCTCCCCAACCTCACAGCTCCTCCTCAACCTCACAGCTCCTCCCGAACCTCACAGCTCCCCACCAACCCTCATGGCCACTGAGGCCTGGCTGCAGGAGCTCATGCTCCTTCTGCACTGTGTCAGTCCTGGGCATGAGGAGGGCAGCCCTGTGCCCCGAAGTGTGGCAAGTGTTACGTTGTGGCGCTTCATTAGATGTCAGCGCATCTATCTGTCCATTGCCTCACAATGGCGTGGGGCAGGGACCGGCCAGGCCACAGAGGTCACACAGCCAGGAAGCAGAGGGGCTGGGATTGGGCCTTCGACGGGCTCTAGCAGGGTTGCATGCGTCCAGATGGGAGGGAGGGGCGGAGCCACTCACGTGTGTGCGGCGTGAAGGAGGGCGGGCGCGTGGCCCCCTGGGCGGCAGCGGCAGGCGGCGGGGGCGGCATGCTGGGGGGTGTAGACCGGGGCTGCATCTTCACCTCAGCTGGGGAGTCAGGCATGGCTGCGGCCTTCTTCCTGGGCTCTGGGAAGAAGGGAGAGTCAGAGAGGCAGCTGGAGGCAGCGTCGGCCGGGGGCACCTGGCTCTGGCCAGCCCTGCCGCGCAGGCGCAGGCCCCAGCCCTCCCTCCCCAGGTGCCCGCACCCACGGCCGATATCCACCTGCAGGTGACGCTGGTCAGAACCAAACCAGAGGTGAGTGTGGGCCAGCGGGGCGGGTGGGGGGCCAGGCAGGCCGGGGCCCTTCGCCCCAGCTGGTGTTCTGCAGAACAGGGAGCACCTGGGCTCCCCGGAGGCCCGGCCCCTCGGGTCTGGGAAAGGAGAGTCTGCACCTCCACGGTCAGGCTGACAGCGCCCCCTGTGGGGGGGGGCGGGAGCTGGCCCTGGGCACCGGAAGCTGCATTTTGGACAGTACTGGGGCTTAAGCTCGGGGAAGGCACTCTACCACTGAGCCATGACCCAGAGAACCTGTATTGTATTGTATTTTACTTTTTGTTGTTGTTGTTTTGTCAGTTGTGGGGCTTGAACTCTGAGCCTGGGCGCTGTCCGTGAGCTCTTCAGCTCAAGGCTAGTGCTCTACCACTTGAGCCACAGAGCCACGTCTGAGAACCTGTAGTTTAACCACTTGGGCTGTGACCTGCACAACTCCAGCGGGAGGGGTGTGAATTTTAGGGGTTCTAGGCCCGGCCCCAGATGTGTGGCCACAGGCCAATGGCCGGTAAGCCAGACCCCAAACTCCCAGAAGCTCTGCTCCAGGTCAGGCAACTGGAGAGGGACCAGGAAATGACAGCGGCCAGAGCAGAGCCAGGACCGGGCGGCCAGAGCCAGCCAGGCCGAGCCTGCCCAGGCATTCCGTGCAGGGAGAGGTGCTGCGAGCCCTGGGGGTCCCCGCTGCGCGGTCAGGGTCAGCGGGCGTGGGGCTGGGCGGGGACATCATCCACCTGCAGTAAACCGTATGGCCCAGTGTCCACGGGGGAACGGAGGAGGGGAATTCAACGTCTGGGTCTCTGTGACTGGGGCCACTACTAACTGTGGGTGCCCCTCCTCCGTGCCTCCCACCCTGCAAACACGGACAGGCCCAGGCTGCCAGGCCCTGCGCGTGAGCGAAGGTGGCACCGTTCCACACTAAACAGCACAGACCCCACCCACCCCACTCCCCCATCCCGGAGCAGAGGAGAGCTGCCCCGCGCCCCCGCACCGCCCGCAGGAAGGGTCCGGGCCGGGAGCAGCCCGCGCACAGAAGCCGTCCAGGCCACGGCACCTGCTGTCTCCAGCTGCAGCGCTGCCCCCTCCCCCGCCACGCCCCTCCCCCGCCTGTCCCGGCTGACGGCCGGGCACATGTGTGGCCGCAGCTGTGGGGCCCTGTCAGCACAAGCCTGTCTGCAGGGGTGGCAGCCGGTCGCCGGTGACAACCAAAGAAGGCAAACGTGGCTGGCTGCCCCTGCGGGAGCAGGCCCCTGTGGGGAGCAGGCCTGTCTGTCCTCAGCCGCCCTTCACTCGTCCAGGCTGCCCTTGGCCAGGGCGTGGGAGGGATGGGCCTAGCGGGGTGTGGGCAGGACCAGAACCAAGTGTCTCAAAGGCCAGGCCGGCCCTAGGTTACAGGTCTGGGTCGCGGGGGCACCCACTCCTCCAGAACCTTCTACAGAGGATGCTTACTTGGGCCCTGAGAACTGAACAAAACGAGCAAAAGGAAGATAAGCCCCAGAGGGGAGTGTGGAGTGGGGCAGAAGAGGACGTGGCTAGGCCCCTGGCTGACCAGCGCTGGAACCGGTGCACCGAGTCCCAGCAAGTACCATGGCTGTCCCCAGCACACGCTTCAGTACCACCAGCCCGTGTTACTCACTCCAGACACAGGAGCCAGGGGACTGTGCTCTGCGGGTGCCCAGGGAGCGGCAGGGTGCTGCCCTGTGCACGGCGTGTTTATCTCTAGGGCTGTGTGTGTGTGTGTGTGTGTGTGAGAGAGAGAGAGAGACAGACAGACAGAGAGACAGAGAGACAGAGAGACAGAGAGACAGAGAGACAGACAGCACTAGGGCTTGAATGTAGGTCCTGGGCTGTCTCTGAGCTCTTTTTTGCCAAATGGCTAGTGCTCTGCCATTTGAGCCACAGCTCCACTTTGGCTTTTATCTTTTTTCTGATTCACTTGGACGTAGGCGTCTCATGGACGTTCCTGCCTCAGAGCTCAGGCTCCTGCGTGGGCAGGATGGCAGGCGTGGGCCGGGGTGCCCGCCCGTGCCAGGCCCTGAAGCTGGCGCTGCTCACGGAGCGTCTGCAGGGAGGCCCGGGGCCACAGGCGCACATGGGGCCTGGATCTTAACCAGGACCTGCTGTTGCCTCTGTGGGGTCTTGCTGTCTTCCAAGCTGTCAGAGGTCAGGGGGCGGGGCGGGGCGGGGTACGCACTCCCGTTCGGGGACAGCACAGGGGCACGGGAGGCGTGCTGCGGGCACGAGGAGGGGCAGACGAGGAGACAGCTGGAGCACCGGGGCTCCGCACCGCGCCGGCCAGCTCGGATCTCGGCCCCCACGCTCAGCCTCCTGGCCCAGCCGGCACACGCTCCGGTGCCTCCTGTCCCCTCCCCGGCTCAGAGCCACACCATGGTCTCTGGCCGGGGCGCCCAGCCCCATCCCAAGGCCCGTGGAGTCAGGCCCCTTCTCAAGCCATGGCCCCGGGGTGGGGATGGCCCAACCTCTCTTACACCTGGGTGGCCAGGCCCTCTTCCCCACTGACTCCAGGAGTCTTCTGCAGCTGGCCTGTCTGGGAGCCTAAGGGGTGGTGGGCACTGCCCCTAGCCTTGTCTCCTTGTGAGGCATCTGCAAGTGTCCGCCTGGCTGTCCATCAGTACTGACGGCAAGCCCTGTCTGCCCCGCCTGGGGATGGGTCCCCCATGGTCTCCCACCCTTGGTCTCGGCTGGGCAAGGCTCTGGTCCACTGTGGAGTGGGGTGGCTGAGGTCGTGCCCCGCCCCGCCCCCGCCCCGGGGAGCAGGAGCCCAAGGAACATCTCAGGGAACCAGGGGCGGCTGAAGGCCGGCCCCACCCCCCTCCCCAGTCCCAGCCCCTCCCAGGCCCGGAGCACCCGTGTTCTCCAGACGGGTCCGGCTCCCAGCTGAGGGCCAAGCTGGCCCCCGAGGACGCCGCTCCCCAAGGCAGAGAGCTGGTGGGAAAGAACACAGAATGTGCTGGAACAGGCCACACCATCCATCACTGTCCCTGTCCACTGTGGTTCCCAGCCTGCCCTCCCAGCTGGGAACTGGCCCCAGCCCAGCACTCCAGCGCAAGGAGCCTTCCATGGAGGAGGCCCCTGGGGAGAAGGCCCAAGGCCCCAGCCGCACTTCCCATCCCCCGGCTGACCTCGCAGAAGCTATGGGAGAGCAGGCAAGTCCACGGCCTCCACGGGTACCTCAGGCTCCGTGCCCGTGAGCCGGGAGGAGCGCCCGGGTGTGAGGGCAGAATCACGACCAGGGGAAGGGAGACGCGTGAAGGAGACCTCCAGCAGAGCCAGTCTAGGATGGGGAGCTCGCTGACACGCCACACACTGGGTCTGGGGCACGGAGCCCCCATCTCCAAGCTCCAGCCTCTGTGCGTGGCTGGACTACAATCCAGCTGCCACCCAGGCCGGGTCACACGCGTGGCTTTCCTGGGAGTCGGCAGCACCAGCCAGCCCCCACCCCAGGACGTGTGTCGGAGCCAGGGCATGCGCGGTGTCACCCCAGAGCCGGCTGCCCCTCCCACTGACCCTGTCCCTCCTCCAGCCTCAGGGCCTTTGTATTAACTGGTTCCCTGGCAAGAGGGTCAGGCCTGTGGTCTGTCAGGCTCCATGTCTCTGACACACCTTTCTCTCTCTGGAGATGCTCTCCTGCCTCCTTCAGAACACCCCCTACACACCAGCTCTGGGAGGCCCCATTCTGTGTGCTGCTCGTGGATGCATCCCAGGGCCTACAACAGCGGCAGGCACTCAGGAAGTGCTTGTTATGATCACAAGAACCCGGGGAGACATCTCACTGACAGAAGACGATCCAGCCCCGCCTGCCCGCCCAGGTCTGGGGCAGTGGCAGGAGCTGCTTGGTGTTGGGTGACCTAGCTCAGCACCCTAGCCCTCTTCAGCAAGTACTACAGTGGCCTTGCCCCGGAAAGGACCAGGATTCTCCAAGCCTGCCTGGCTGGGTGTCCACATCGCTCAGCTGCCGTGATCACCCTGCCTCCCATCACCATCTGGAGGACGCTCTTCCCCTCCTTACAGACGAGGAAACTGAGGCCCAGACACATGTCAATGAGGTAGTGCTGCCCCCCAGGACCTCAGTGTCCAAGTCCACTGTGTCCCCCAGGACCTCAGTGTCCAAGTCCACTGAGCCCCCCAGGACCTCAGTGTCCAAGTCCACTGTGTCCCCCAGGACCTCAGTGTCCAAGTCCACTGAGCCCCCCAGGACCTCAATGTCCAAGTCCACTGTGCCCCCCAGGACCTCAGTGTCCAAGTCCACTGAGTCCCCCAGGACCTCAATGATGTCCAAGTCCACTGAGCCCCCCAGGACCTCAATGTCCAAGTCCACTGTGCCCCCCAGGACCTCAGTGTCCAAGTCCACTGAGCCCCCCAGGACCTCAATGTCCAAGTCCACTGTGCCCCCCAGGACCTCAATGTCCAAGTCCACTGTGCCCCCCAGGACCTCAGTGTCCAAGTCCACTGTGCCCCCCAGGACCTCAGTGTCCAAGTCCACTGTGTCCCCCAGGACCTCAGTGTCCAAGTCCACTGTGTCCCCCCAGGACCTCAGTGTCCAAGTCCACTGTGTCCCCCCAGGACCTCAATGTCCAAGTCCACTGAGCCCCCCAGGACCTCAATGTCCAAGTCCACTGAGCCCCCCAGGACCTCAGTGTCCAAGTCCACTGAGCCCCCCAGGACCTCAGTGTCCAAGTCCACTGTGCCCCCCCAGGACCTCAATGTCCAAGTCCACTGTGTCCCCCAGGACCTCAGTGTCCAAGTCCACTGTGTCCCCCAGGACCTCAGTGTCCAAGTCCACTGAGCCCCCCAGGAC